TTATTGCAGATCTACTATGAAGCGTTCTATCACAAATGATGCAATCTCATTGGCTATGCTACTCGTTATTCATTTAACAAATATATTTTATGTTACCCGTGAGCTAATGTTCAGTTATCACAGATGTTGTCAAAATGTGGTCAGAACAAAAACGTAACACACGAGGTGCTGCCTCCTAGTTTTATCTGTATCCTCTGTGATCAGTTACTGAACAGACCCTCAGTAACATGGGATCTATTGGTTTTGCATGGTAAAAAAGCAGAGTGTTCTTACTGGTGATGCCATCTATGCATCTGTCCTCAAGTAGAGAATAAGTAAGAACTAATCAGAAAAGCATGTATAGTTCAGCTTATAATATAATCTGTGATAGATATTTACTAGCCTTGGGGTATGTGATTGTGAACAAAGTACGATTAAAACATAGGCTAGCTGTCTTGTTGTTAAGTTTCCAATGAAAAACCATTAGATTATTTGCTCCCAATTTTTGCCTCTTCCACTATCATGTGATAGGAATTGCAGGCTCATGATCTAATTATAAAATAGATCTGCTCTTAGTTTCATACCCCTTATTTGTTAACATATTTGTAATGTTTACAAATATATTGTGTTCATTTTCAGGCAAGTGAGGTCTGGTATGTCATATTCGATAGAAGATGCGAAAAGTGAGTAAAAAGTATTTGTAAAGAAATAGGCAGAAATAGTCAGTGAAGTCATTTTGAATTTACATGAAACTCTACTGTTGTACATATGATCTGTTTACAACCCTACCCTTTTTGTATTTAAGTAACTGACCTCTTTACCCTTGTAGTTAATTGACCTTCATGGTATAGCAATCATTTGTGAAATCAAGACAGAATTCATGCATCAATATCAGTATCTGGGCAACTGCCCACCTACCCCTCCCCTAACCCAACATTAACCCTAACTTGTTATCAATTGACTGTTGTAGAGTTAGGGGAGGGGTAGGTGGACAGTTGCCCAGATACTGATATTGATCTGAATTCACTTTACCTGTTTGCCTTTTAGATTGACAATCAGCTAATTTCTCTTTACAGTATTCCCACTACATCTAACTTTAGGGTCACAAGAATAAAGTAAAGGATTGTCAAAGAAAGAAAGAAGCAGTGAATTTTTTGGACAAATTCTGCTTGTCAGCACCATAAGGAATGTATGGAGATCAGCATGGGGGACATGCTTTGTAGGGAAGATAACTGATCTGTTTTAACTCTACACCCCAACATCAGTATGCATATTCTCCATACTTTTCTCTATACATTTCCTATGGTAGTGACAAGGAGAATTTGTTTAACAATCAGGAGCTTCTTTGGTTAGTGATCATTTCCTTTTTTCTCATGACCTTCATGGCCAATTCAGGGATGCAGGTAATTTAGTGTTAACAACTGGGTTGAAAACGTAAATTAGCCATCGTAAAGGGTAAAAAAGCTGACGTTTCGAGCGTTAACCCTTTGTCAATCGCTCTGACAAAGGGCTAACGCTCGAAATGTCAGCTTTTTTATCCTTTATGGTGGCTAATTTACGTTTTCAACCCAGTTGTTAACACTAAATTACCTGCTATACTCTCCCACCGACGCAGCACCACAGTTTCTTTAGAAACCTACCCCTTTATTCAATTCAGGGATGATATGGTAAGGATAAATTAGATTCTAGTCACTCTTAAAATACCAAATGTTAATCATAAAGTTCTTGCTTTTTCAATCAATCACGAACCAGCGGATTTAGATGGCTTGTCAAAGCTCACCGACACCTTACATGAGAAGCTTCTATCATCAGGTGTCAATGCCATCCCATTAGACTCTGAAATGTTACAATTGGATTATCAAGCAACAGTTAGAAAAGGACAAGAGGAAGCTGACCTCAACAGGATTACGTTACAGAGGGTGCAAACAAACTGCGCTGCATTGAATAAAGCAATGAATATACCAAGGAAGTCATAATTTAGCCAAATGTTGCCATAAACTTGAGGATTGTTTTGATGCATCAACAAAAGGGTTTTCTCAAATCTTAGACCTTTTCACTTTCAAGATCTTGACAGTACTTCTCCTTACTGTCTGCCAAGCATTTCTTACAATTTTAGCAATGAGAATTTAAATTAAATAATATCCCTTGGTTGATGTTTTATTAGATTCTCATTGCCTGCCTGCTTGACAGTGGCTTGGCATTGTACAGAGAATTGACCTCTTGGCTGCTACTAAAAGGTTTATGTAGGTAGATGTTTCTGAAATAAAGAGGGTATTCATCTCTATCCTCTTGTATGCTGCATTCCAAGTTTATAACTGAGGCGACTGGCCTTTGTAAAATTATTGAGAATGACATGTAAATTTTGTTGACGAATGACTCTCAAGTACTCATGGGTAAGTGCTTTTCAGAGTTCATCACCCTCTGCTATTCAGGACAGTAACTTACAGTGTTCTTCCGAGACTTCTTTTGTAGCCAGCCATAAATTAGGCAACTTAACCCTTTAACTCCCAGATCAAATTTGTAATATTCCTAACTGTCAACCATACAATTCTTATAATGTTAGTTTAGAGAATTTAGTATTGGATCAACTCATCTCCAATTGATTTTTTTCTTTATTTTCATCACTTATCTAGTTGATATTGTATTGATATTGTAAGGAGAAATTCTGTCACTCGTGGGAGTTAAAGGGTTAAGTAAGTAAAGTAAAGAAAAAGATAAGTGTTTTACTAACAGTAACTGCTTTGTCAAATTAAAGAATTTCAGAATTGAGTTGCTGGTGTTATGAAACATTCCATCAACTGGGGGTGGGGGGCTAGGCAGCCACCAGTGCTTCTGGAGAACCTTGAAGTGAGCCAATGGTCTGGGAATAGGCACCAGATTTAATAGTGCAGTGGAAATTGGGTGCATTAGGTGTCAATTGTTTTCAATGGAAGTTATGTCTGATTCACAAAGATGTGACATAAGTCCAAGTTTAACTAATTCAATCTGATGGGATGGGTACCCATTACAGATGTCTGTCAGAAAGAGTGATGGGAGTACTCTTCTCGCTAATACAACATGTAGATGTGCACAATACTGGCTAAAACTCCTAAGACAAGGTCACCAAAGGACTTACATGTACTTAAATCTTAGAGTGTTCAAAATCCACTCCTTGCTTTCCTGTTCATTGTGTGGGGGAAGGGGAGGGTGGAGATCTCTGTGTCATTATAATTTATTGATTTTGAACCTCTCTTGCTCAAGTTTCCTATGCATTTTGTCCAAGATTGTGGTACATTATTGTTTATTATTTTGTGTATTACATAAACCCTTCAACTCCCAGAAGTGATTAACATCTAACTTCTCCCTGCAATATCCATACATTATCCAGCAAACAGGTACTGAGAATACTCCAACATATCAAGTAGAAGTTGTTGTCTTGATCCAACATCAAATTCTTGTAACTAACTTAAATGGAAATACATAATAGGTGGATGGGAGAATTGACTATTAGATCTTGGGAGTTAAAGGGTTAACCAAGAGGATGAACTCTTTGTTAAGATCTTTCTGACTTAGGCCACAATTAGGGATAAATTAAAAGATATAGGAAGTAAAACACAAAGAAATTACAAATAGCCTTTAATCATTTATTGGAAAATTTTTTTTCAAATATGCTTCATAGTTAATATGTAATAGACTCTTCAAGTTGTGACTAAGAAATTGCTACATCTATCAAGTACTCCCTAACTCACGGCAGCTTTTGGACCACAACAATTTTAATTACTTTTTAAGGTTCTCTCTCTCTGTTAATTCTCTTGCTTGCAAAAATTTAAATTTAAATTTAAACTTGCTCTAAGGCATGTGCTCTAAAGTCTTTTTGGTGATTTGTACCTGTGTCAACCCCAAAGTTCAGGCTTGGGTTTTCTGAGGAGTGTCTGAGTAATACAAGCTGTTACTGTCATTTATATTTTTTTCCAAGCTGTAGCTTGTGGGTGATGACAGAACCAAGTATAGGTCACTAATGCTGTGTTGTAAATGTGAATTGCAAACTGTATACCTGTCTTTCACCTAACTATATATCAACTGCAAGCAGACAATTTTACAATTAACCCTTTCCCCTAAAAGTTACTAGCATCTAAATTCTCCTTACAATATCACCTCTGAATCACACATTAAGGTCATGAGAATAAGGACAATGATCACCAGCTTAGATGCTTTTGGTTGTTAAACATATTCCCCTTATCAGCAACATAGGAAATGTACAGAGAACAGTATGGAAAATATGCATACTGATGTTAGGATGTAAAGGATTAATATGTAAAAATGTAAGTAGCTTAAATTGCCAAAGGTAAGGATAACAGTCACCTCTGTACAAAACAGTGATCCACTGATAACATGCAAAAATATTGCACCACATTAATATCTTAATCAAAGGTGTGGTAATGAAGTTCTCATCAGAACACTGAACAGGTCCTATTCTAAAATAATCATCCGCTCTCTGACATAGTCCCAGAAAAGACCCTCTACATTAATGATACTGATGGTCATGGAATCTCCGTTGAAGTTGAAAACTCGTTCATCAGATAGCCTTTATCATTGTCTGCCAGTTGTTCATAACCTTTCAGCATGCTCGGACACTGACTGCCTCGGCCAAAAGACCACCACACAGCTGCACCAAAGACCACTAAAGAGAGAAGTAGCACCATCACAGCACCAACCATCCCAGCATGACTGGATTTCTTACCATCACCTTCATCTTTGTCTTTCACAGCATCAGCCTCTCCAATGACATCAACATTATCAGCATTATCATTCTGTAACGGAATTTAAGAAAAACTGACAACACGAACAAGCCATTGTTAAGTAAAAGAAATATCTTGAACTACCCAACACCTAATCTGGGCTGTTAATGTGGCATTGGAAACTAGAGAGTTCTCCTGTTACTTCATAGAAATCTCCTGCTAACTTTAAATGCCCCAAACTATTTTCTCTTCAGATTTATATAATAAGCTCAGTTATGCACGCATTCTGATTGGTTCTCACCTATGATCTATTGGAGGACAGACGTATAGATGACATCATCATTAAAACTTTTTTTTAATTCTTTATTATATAAAACAAATAGATTCCAAGTTGCCATCTGTCTGTTCAGTAATAGATCACAGAGGACGTCAAAATGTAGTAAGAACATCAGTGACACACTCAGCTGCGCCTTGTGTGCCACTTTTTTGTTCTTACCACATTTTGACATCATGTGTGATCTATTACTGAACAGACGCACGACAACTTGGAATCTCTTTGTTAAGCAGAAATTATTCTCATGTGCTCTTATGTTACTTAACCCTGTAACTCCCAGGATGGGATTGTCAATTCTCCCCTCTATTTTTTTGTAAATTAGTTATGAGAATTTGGGGTTAGATCAAGACAACAACTTCTAACTGATAAGTTTGGGTATTCTCATCACCTGTTTGCTGGACAATGTATGAATATAATAGGGAGAAGTTTCATATCAATCACCTGTGGGAGTTAAGGGGTTAACAAAAAAAAAACCCTTCCTGATCAGGGGAGATTCCCAAACCTGATTAACCTGATTAGCATACTGGAAACTAAACCAGGAGCTAACAAGCAGGCCCTAATTATTGGAGAGAGAAGTAAATTGAAGCAAAAAAAGGAAAAATTCCAGATTACTTTCAACACTCAGTTTAAAGTTGCTTCAAAGGAATGTGAAATGGACTTAATCAGGCCTACCTGACTTTGAAGGTCCTGTAGAGCCCATCCTCTGACCTGTAATACACCTGGTTCTGTAGGTTCTGTTGGTTCTGTAGGTTCAGTTGGCTCTGTTGGTTCTTCAGTTGTTGTAGGAACTTGAGTGGTTGTTGCTGCTGTAGTTGATGCAGTAGTTGTGGTCTTCTGTTTTGTTGTTTGAATGGTGGTGCTTGCTGTTGTTGTTGTCGCTTGGGTAGTAGTTTGTTTTGCTGAAGTGGTTTTTTCCCTTTGTGTTGTAGTCTTCTGTTTGGTAGTTGGTGCAGGAGTTGTTGTCTTCGCTGTGGTAGACACAGCAGCTTGAGTGGTAGTGTCCTTAGCTGTGGTGGAGGGAAGAGTTGTGGCTACTTGCTTCGAAGTTGGTGTCACTGTTGTTGTTGTCTCTGCTGCAGTGGTCACTGCTTTTTGAGTGGTGGTTGCTTTTGCTGTTGTGGTCTTTTGTTTGGTAGTTGGGGCTTTTGTTGTAATATGGGCTGTTGTTGGATTTGTGGTGGTGTCTTTTGGTGTAGTTGACTGGGTTTTGGATGATCGTGCTGGTGATGTTGCAGTTGTCAGTTTTTCTGTTGATGATTGAGGATAAGTTGTTGTGGTTGGTGCTCCTGTTGTTCTTCCCCCTGTGCTTGGTTTTCTTGTAACTGGAGGTTGTACTGAGGGGTTTGTTGAATTGTACTTGGTACAATTGATATTTCTATGGTCATGAGTGTAGTGACAAGCTTTGGTACATCTGTCAGCCTATGACAGTAAAAAAAGTTAATAAAGATACATACCATTTGTCTAGGTATGCTAGTGTTGAATCTCTTTCCTTAGTGGAGGTTCTCTTGTAGATCAACTACTGAACACCATGAGGGCAGGCCCAAATCAGACAAGAGGTAAATGAACAGAAGTGAAGATAGTGAAGACTGGATACTGTAGAAGGAAAGGGTAATGGAAGGGAAACCCATTCTTAAACCAGGGAGAAAAACAATAAAGCAAGGTGTCCATTGATTTTGTTTGCAAGTATGCAAGTACTACAATCAGTGCCTGTTTACTAAAGAGCCTTTGACAACAAAAGAAGGGGAGTTGAATACCAAGTTGTCTTCTTGGCCACATTGTGAAATTGGCAATTGAACCCAGCTTTCGGTTTGTAAAAAATCTTAGTATGTAACAGATAAATTAATTTTAGGCCCTGGCAGGTGAACATAACCCTCTGACTCTTACAAGGGGATGTAAACATGCTGCCTTTGTTCACAAGTTAGACACACTTCACTTACTATGATCCTGTTGTTATAAGGACCTCCATCAATGTAGCAGGCATTTGAACCTGTCCAACCCCACCAGCACAGACAACGGCCATTTGAAAGACACCTCCCAGCACTGTGGTATGTCCCTGTGCCACACAGGGGATCACAAGGGATAGGTGGGTCAGTTGTGTTACCAGGTAAACTGCACACCTTAGGGGTAGGGATCGTGGCACATGATGCATTTAGATAGTCATGAGTGTAATGACAAGCTTCTGTACAATAATCGGCCTGAAAAGAAAGGACACAATTTTACTGATATCTTTTTATCATTTTAACCCATCAATTAGAATTTGGAGGTGTCAAGTCTATCCTCCAACTTAACAACACAAAGCATGTAACAAAAGAGTTTCAGTTTTTAATGAACTAAACACTATTGAAGTGTTAACTCAAGCTTCCTTTGGAATTTAGGCAAAGAATAAGTAATTTTTCATGCAAGATCAAGATAACTAGTCTGCATAGCTGGCAGTTTTGTAGGGGAACACCTGAGGGGGTTGCAAAGCTGCAAAGGGAATGAAAAATAAATAAAGGAAAACAGCTTGCATTTTTTTATTCAAGGATTCCTAATGAAGCTTGAGTTATCAAAATAAGCGCAGTTATTAAATCAATGGACAACACCCATCATTATAAGACAACAGCTGAATTTAGGCTGAGTTTTCCATGATGTACAATTTTGTGGCACATCCTTTGAATACGTAACTCCCAAGATCTATTTAGCCATTCTCCTAGTGGACTACCATACATTTCTTTGAAAATGAGGCTGGAGAATTTTGCCTAAGATAAATATAACACTCTTTAAGCGATAAGCTTGTCTCTTCTCATAATCTGTTTGTATCATGTAAGATAATGAATTACAAGGAGAATTAAGTAATATGTGTTAAGACAAAAGTAAAAAAACCTGCTCTTTGCATTTCATGACAACTAAAATCACATCAAAATTACTTATTCATGAGTACCATAATTCTGTTTTTAAGAGTTCCTGATAAGATGAATTGTGCATTAGGCCCAGTCCATCCCCACCAACAAAGACATTTTCCATCACTTTGACAAGTTCCTTGTCCTGGTGTGGCTGTGCATTTGGGGTCACATGACACAGAAGGTGGAGCTGAGATAACACAAAGATAGGACACTGGTGAACCATGTATTCATTTGTACATGAAATACAATGATACACTACTGGCTGTTATTCCTCAACCTGGGTATCTGCAGTGATTTACCACATGATTTTATTATGTCAGACATCTGGCCAATTATCCATGTAGCTTTAGATTGTCAAGACATAGGACCCTTACCTTTGGTTGTCCTTCCTGTACTTGGTTTCCCTGTGCTTGGGTTTCCTGTAGTCGTAGGCATTGATGGATTTGCTGTAGAAGTTTGTTTGGGCCGAGGGGGGGAGGGGATCTTTGCACATGCTATATTCCTATAGCGGTGAGTGTAATGACATGGCCTTGTACAATAGTCAGCCTGAAATCAAAACATATCATTTGCCCTGCGTTAATTGGGAAAAAATGTCATTTAAGCTCCACTAGAAGAATCTTCCTTCCAAAGTAACGGATCATATAGTGCTGCCATTTCATTTCATATTCCATACCAGTATTTGATTTTGGCGCAGTCCAGATAATATGTATTTTGCATTTGGCCCAGTCCATCCCCACCAACAAAGACATTTTCCATCACTTTGACAAATTCCTTGTCCTGGTATGGCTGTGCATTTGGGGTCACATGACACAGAAGGTGGAGCTAAGATAATGCAAAGATAAGACACTGGTGAACGACGTATTCATTTGTACAAGAAGTATAGTGATTCACTGTTGACTGTTATTCCTCAACATGGCTATCTACAGTGTTTTACCACATATTAATTTTTTCATATCAGACATCTGGCCAATTATTTGTGTAGCTTTAGATTGCCAGACAAAACCCTTACCTTTGGTTGTGCTTCCTGTACTTGGTTTCCCTGTGCTTGGGTTCCCTGTAGTTAATGGTGTTGATGGATTTGCCGTGGAAGTTTGTTTGGGCCGAGGTGGGGAGGGGATCTTTGCACAAGCCATATTCCTATAGTGGTGAGTGTAGTGACATGACCTCGTACAATAGTCAGCCTGAAATCAAAATATGTCATTTGCCCTGAGTTAATTGGGAAATTGTGATTCATGCTCCACTAGAAGAATCTTCCTTTGAAAGTAACAGGTCATGTAATGCTGTCATTTCATTTTACATTCCTTACCAATATTCGATTTTGGTGGAATCCAGATAATATGTATTTTGCATTAGGTCCAGTCCATCCCCACCAACAAAGGCAGCGTCCATTACTTTGACAAGTTCCTTGTCCTGGTGTTGCTGTGCATGTTGGGTCACATGGTGTAGCTGGTTAATGTAAACAGAAGAAATATCAGTCAGAAGTTGAGAACTTCTTCCAAACTTGAATTATGCAATTGATTTGTACTGAACAGTAAATTAACTTGTGATAAGGTGGTTTTTTTTATTTTAGGGTAACACAAAGGTTGGTATCCTCAAAATCAGTGTCTCTACAAAAAAATGCTTGATAGCACTTACAGTCTCTACTTTCTTGAGATTGACTTAACCCTTTAACTCCCAGAAGTGATTAACATGTAACTTCTCCCCAATATATCCATTCACTATCCAACAAATAGGTGAATGAGAATACTCAAACTTATCAGATAAAAGTTGTTATCCTTTACGTAACACCAAATTCTTATTACTAATTAACTGGGAAATGTGTAGCAGCTGGAGGGGAGAATTAACATACAGATCTTGAAAGTTAAAGGATTAGCAAGGAGTTTAAAATAGAATTGCAACTTTTCTAAAAATAAATAATTCCTTGTTCTTTCTTCATTATCCTACTTAAAGTTTATCATTATAGACCAGGACTTTCAAAATTCTCATTTTTCCAAACTTAAGCAACATTCCGTGATGTTCAAGTGTGCCATCTTGTATATAGGTGAAAAAGATATGGATTTTTGCATTTATCTAATTTAAACAGGTTACACTTATGAATACTATTAACTTATTAATTAATAGAATCAGTACCTGCAGAAAGCGATATAAACTGAAGGACAAGGAGGCCCACAGAACTTATCACAGCCCTGTTCATTCTTTAACGCTGATAAATGGTGCTGTAATCCTAAAATAACAATATACAATACAAATATTATTTTCACAGAGCTAGTTGACTGATCTGATGAAGTAGTTTTAACATAAATTATCATAAACCTGCAACTCTTAGGAAATAAGTTGCAATTACTTATTTTTTTAGTATTTCTTGTAACTTACAGAGGTGTTTACAACCTCACGAAGAACAAATAAAAATATGGTAACTTTAGTGCTACAGTAAAAACACAATGGGGCTGAAATAAACCAAGAACTCCTAGCAAGCCCCAGTTTTTCAAATGATGGATAATGCTGTCTGTGAGATAAATCCCTATCAGGTGGATAGTGCTGTATGTTTTGCTGACACTTATCCCCTGGACAGCAATTTTTTAATAAGATAGCGTCATCATCCTGTTGAACAACAGGGCTCGGGTTTCAAAGATGCACAAGCCATTGGGTAGTATAAGACTCTGAAGCTGACTTCAGGTTTTTCTGACATTTTTCAATGTCAATGTGTTAATCTTTTCATTCCCAAGATCTAAAAATAAATTATCTGTAATTTCTGCCATACATCTCTTACAACTGAAACTCTACGATTGTCAAATCAAACTGTATTAATTAATTCATCATTTCCTCATCACATCTCTACTTTAACTTCATATCAATATGGTACGGGAAATTAATCAACAAGTGGTGATCTCTTCTAGAGGTGAAACTAGGTCCACAACTTTTCTTCACATAATAACAGTTTCTAATATTTAGCATTTCTCAATTGTCCCAATGCTTTCCTTGCCTTTCCTGTTTAATCTATTTAATTCAATACACTTTGTCATGTGAACTAGGACAGTTTGACCTTCAGACCATCACAAGTTGTCTTTTTATATATGTGTGAGATTTTTATGCTAAATGTATACTTTCTAGTAATATTATACCGTGATTGGGCGAACCATTTAGCAACATATCATGGAGGTTTTCAAATGAAGCGATATATTAACGCTAATTTACATAAATAAAATACAAACAACTTTGAATCAGCGTCGGAGCTGACGATAAGCTTAAACATGCTGTATTTTCCTGTCAAAATGAATGCGATCTCATTTTTGAACTTGTTCCGCTTAAACCATCAACTAATGGAGCTCTATTGTATAGTTTAAAATAAAATGTAAAGCGGTTTTTGCGATGGCATTGACCTTACAAAGATATTCTTTTCTGTATGGAGCAAAGTAAGGAATTTTACCTAGAGTTTCCGCGATGCCTCCGCACTGAATTGTTTATTTCACGATCTCCTTGTTTTAAAAGCAAAAAATAGTTGATTTCGCTTCAGTCGACTAACAGGCCGTTAGATATTTCTATATTCAGTTACAGGAGACGCTATTTTGCTGTTTCGTGTCATCGAAGTCAAAACTTTTTAGGCGATAAGAATTCTTCAGGCCAGTAACGAATCGAAGGTGTCACGTCGAGTGTCGATGTCCTACCACTAAAATATCTTTACTACAAGAAGATAGCTAAGTTTAAGTTTAATTGTATCCTTCTACAATCAATGCTTGTTGTAAAGCAGTCAGATTCTCTAGCTATTTCTGTTACATCGCATTCCGAACAAAAGCACAGATTTAAGCTCGTTGAAAACGTTCTTGGCAACCTAATCTATTTCAGACACATTTATAATCCTATGCGAACAAAAGCGCCTCAAAAAACATAGGTAGTCGAGCTATACAATGAAGATATTGCTATTTATCGACTGCAAAGTATATTTCTTACCTCTGTAGGAATAAGAGATCTCTTGCTGTTGAGACTAGCTAGAAGTATCTCGCAATATCACAAGACTGTCCAAGAGGCTTATTCTCAGAACGTAACTCGAGATGCTGGAAGTAACGCAACTGCTTATTGGTTAAAAAAGTCTCGTCCCCAGGTTTTACAGAAATAGAATCTGATGTCACTTGTCGGATAGTAGAGGAATGCGCATTGGCTGAATGATACAATTGCGTCGAACACCTTAAACGCGTATAAATCCAATGCAATTAAAATTTGATCTGCGTTGATAAGACTTTCGATGTTCTGGTCTTTTTGCCTTTTTTCCAACTATCAACGCGCGAATAGATGTATCTGGGTGAAAGGTATTATCATTAAAAATTATTATATGTCTGCATTTCTTTTCCAAGTCTTTCCATTTCTATTTTCTTTCACTGATTACTAGCTAAGATCAATCCTTCAAAAGAGTTGTGGTCATTAAGACGAATAAGTGTCTGTTTGCTCTAAGATCTTTAAGGAAGGAGGTTTAAGGCAAGGTAAAGTAGACCGCCTATTTAGCGCCCTCGTTTTGCTGAATTTCAGTTATGGTCTGTCCGCTTATTGCACCGAAGACTTAGATCTCACTTTCATACAAAATTTTCGAGACAGGTGCTTTAAAAGAAAAGCCACATCAAAGAGAATGGACATTCGAGGCCTTTCAAGGCACGCTCAGTCGTTCCTGATTGGCTACTTAGTTACATCCGAAGAAAAATAAACAAAGTATCATCTTAGAAACAGAACTGTCCAGCGCCCGGAAATAAATTCTGATAAATTTATTAAGAATGTGTTTGTAAATAGGCTCGTATTTAAATGTAATCATAAGTCTTTATACCATGGGCATATTTCATCCGTATTTTCAGAATAACATTTTTTTAACGATTGTGAATGTTGCTTAAGATTCGTCTGTTATCATAGGAGGAATAAAGATTATATAACGATTATTATTCATCGGGGTATAGTGTCACCGTTTGTCTCGTGATGAAGTGTTCTGGAGATCAAGATCTTTCGACTGGGCGAGGAAGTCCATTGATTGAGGGTTGGGCATCACCTTACGAGGCATGATGCCTCGCTTTGATTGATTAGTTTTCAAGAGTTGTAATTGGCTGGGATCCCCTGTTTTCGATGTCAAAGCACTATAGTTACTGTGTTACGCTGGAAAGTTATGAGTCAATATAAGCCCGTGTCTGGTGAACTAAAATTTTCTGTAGACTCTCCGCAACCTCTATTTAACCCTCCTTCAGCTTCGTTCACCATGCACCATTTCCTAGAAATTAGTCGATGGAAATAAAGTAACATAGTGGTTCGCATAAAACGGTCGTTTCTCTGACAACCGCCATTTTCACTTATCCGCTCTTTCTCACCAGCCGAATTTCAGAAGCAGGCTAGTCACTACCCATCAGAAAAAGGCACACAAAAGTAAAGTTACACTGTCGTGCGTGGATCATCATGGCCTTATTCGCTGACTAGAAAACGAACAGTTCCGGATTACCAGTAATTCCTCGGCTAAAAGACGAGAAAAGAAAAGTGAAAAAAAACAAACGCTCATGACTAAGCGCGCGTGAACTCTCTTTACCACGTGCGCGCGAACTCTAAAGCGAGGTGTCACTCTTCTCGCGCCCTTAACTTCCCAGAGCTCACACAGAGCTGGTTTTTGTTACCGATTTCTATTGACTTACGTGACTAAGAATATTGTGCTAAAAGACGTGTCATATTGGACATAACCTAACGAAATCTGACACAGACAAAAGGTCTTTGCCTTTATTTGTTCTTTCAACAAGATTGTGTGTGTTCTGGCAATAACAAAAAGGTTAAATATAAATCTTCTTATAAAAATACATGACTGATTTCCTTCTTCATGTCAGAGAAATGGAGGAAATAAGTACTTTTTTTGTTTTGCTCCAAAGTCTATCTTCAAAATAATCATTGAAAAACTTTTTGGAAAAACATTAACCCTTTAAATCCCACAAGTGGCCATGACAGAATTTCTCCTTACAATATCTAAACAATCTCAAGCATACAAATGACGAGAATAAAGATAAGTTTCACATAGGTGATTATCAGTTGATCAAATAACAATTTCTCCAAACTAACATCATAAAAATTTAAATGGTAAACAGTAAGGAGAATTACTCATGAGATCTTGGGAGTGAAAGGGTGAAATAAAAATGAAATAATGTAGAAAAGAAAATGATACAACAGAAGCTTTGCAAAACTTTCTAAGCAATAGCCTTCTAAAGAAGATGAGAAGATAAGAATATATTTACAGACGAATGCAAGGTATGAAAAGGTACAGTTAAAACAAATGTCCATCATTATGAATGTGTTTCATGTCTAAGTTCACCAGAATCCAACATCATATTCTTGGAGCTGGTCTTAGATTCTTTGGCCTCCATATTCCTATACTGAGTTCACTGAAACAAGATGCTAAGACAGGTCCTCTGCTGCTAACCTGGTCAGGTGAAAGACATAGCAAATAGGGTTTGAGTCACAATGTCCCTTACATAAGACCTTTAATCTCCCTAATAATTGTAGTATACCTGTGTGAATGTACTTTGAGAATCTGGTGTTAAACCAGAACACAGCATCCTTAAAAGGCCCATTTACTCCTGAAAATAAAAGGGCATCATGAGCCCTTCCCTCTCCTTTAACCCTTCAACTCCTTGAAGTGATTAACATGTAACTTCTCCCTCTAATATCCATACATTGTGCAGCAAACTGGTGATGAGAATACTCAAACTTCTAAAGTTATCAGATAGAAGCTGTCATCTTGATCTTGTACCAAATTCTTTTAAACCAATTTACAAAGAAATATGTATCAGTTAGAGGAGAGAATTTACAATCAGATCTTGGGAGTTAAAGGGATAAAGAGTTCCCCACTCTAAAAAGTTCTCTCCCCCAGAACTACCCCTCTGAAATAAGCCTCCCACAATAATGAGCCCTCCCTCTCTAAAATGACCCCTCTCTAATAAGCCATCTCTCTCTGTGATAAGAGATGTTAGAACTGTGTGCTATCAATCCTTAGTTAATTTTTACTACAACTGTTTACACTCACTGATGCAACTTGTCCAGAATGACAATCAAATGAATGAATCACAGATAAGATGCGAGAGGGTTCCAACACCTGCAAACGGAGGATAATAATCATAATTAATAACCAAGGATTGTTGAAAGGGAGAGATATATCCATTGCTCCTTTGCAACCCTTGAGCGATGGGGGAGGGGGGAGGTTAAGGTGCATATGACCTCCTCCCTTAGTCAAGAACAAAGGGATAATTCATAACAATTCTTACAATAAAGCAACCTTGCATGTCCCTACTTCCCCCCCCCCCTCTCTTGAGAGAAATCCTGCCTATGTCCTTGTTACTTCTTACCTTAATAGATTTGTCTGTTGAGCAGGCTACAACTGCACCTCCATAGTGACACATAGCAGAGATTTTCCCTTTGGAATCAAGTTCAATGCTAGGCTTGGAAAAAAGGAACAACTAATTCACTTAACATTTCAAAACAAGTTGCATTTATAACAAGACACACTAAATCTATGCACTACCTTAGGTCAGAGATTTTAAACAATGCCAAAGTGCATATCAGAATTTTTCAGGAATTTGAAGGATTTTTCTGTCTCAATTCCCACACCACAACTTACTGTTATCTCTTCAAATCTATCAGCTGTTGTGTCCAACAGGTGCAGGCGACCTTCCCTTCCTCCAACTCTGAGGTAGTTATAGCCACAACTGGAACTATGGCACAAGCTGAAGACTGGACTCTCAAGCTACAAAAAGCAACATGACTTCAGAAAATGTATTTAAGCACAAAACACTTGTCTTAGGGGAGCAAATAGCCATGATGCTATCTTGCATCCTTATGTTTTTATTCAAGTCTAAATAGGCCCCTCTCAAATTAACTTTGGCCTCTTTTTCAAAGTGAGACCTGATGCTCAACTATTTGTATGAAATTGAGTTTAATTTGAATAACATTCAGAGCTGGAAGATGCAGTCATCTCAACTAAAGCTTATTACCTGCAGTCTACCAGCATCTTTAAAACCTTTTACAGCTGTCTGTTTAGCCTAAGAGCATGCTCTCTTATTTGTACTTGTGTTTGCAAAGCTGCTGAAGTATTTTACATCATTGGCAGGGGTTTATAGAGAAACTCCCTGATTATGCAGTCTAGATGATCAATGGATCACTTGATGTTATGGTAGTTATCAAAAATGCGAAAATCTTTTTCATTTTCTGTATCTGAACATTGTAACCACTTCATTCAATTCACTAACTGACAAAATCAGTTAATGGAACTGTATCACTGTTTCTAAATCTTATTAAAAAAACTAAGCCTCAGTTATTTGATATCCAGTTTGATCTTTTTTTGCCTGGGCCATCCTCTCTCCTTCTTGGTTATTTTCTGTTTCCTTCTTGGATCTTTTTCTACCAAACTAATATCTTATGGTTTCTTTTTTTCTTTTTCTTTTTTTTTCTATTCTGCCATTTTTGAAATATAACACATCAGTAAAAATAATACAAATTTAATACAATATAATGGAAAATTTAACATGTGGCAAGGTTACCTTTAGAGAAACCACGAGGGTTATACAAGCTACAGGCCCCTCATATTTTACAAAGGTAAGGTATTTAGTTATATGGCGTAATTTAGGAAAAAAACATTTAAGGTTAAAAAAGAAAGAACACTCACACATATTAAATATCAACTTTCAACTTGCACTTATGTTTACAAGGCAAAGAATGTCACTTTAACCCTTTCACTCCCAAGATCTAATTAGTAATTCTCCTTACTATCTTCCATACAATTCTTATGATGTTAGTTCAGAGAATTTGGTATTGGATCAACTAATAATCCCATGGTTGATATTCTTCTCTATTCTCATCACCTGCCTGCTATATATGGTATTGATATTGTAAGGAGAAATTCTGTCTTGGTCACTTGTTGGAGTAGTAATTAAAGAAGGACACTGACTATACCTTTACTGTTTTATAAACTTGAGCAGCTCTTCTATCATAGACACAAAGAGTTTTGTCCTCACTTCCACTTATAATAAACTTGTCATCCACAGACAGACACAACACTGGCCTGCTGTGGTTCTTTAATCTGCTTATGATATTGCCAGCTAAAGGAAAAACAACAACAACAACAACAACAACAAAAATCATGATAAATTCACTTCAAAAGTTTTGAAAATTTGTTTTTTCAGCATTATCCAAAGTACATATTTTACTTGTCTAAAAAAATATTATGTGAAACCCTTCAAAAATTGGATTGATCAGTTGATAATCTCTTATCCACGGTAAGAGGACAGAGTAGAATAAAATTTGGCCAGTAATCACACTCGCTGATCTACATTGTAATGACATCATAGTGGTAATAAGACCAGGTGGAGTCCAATTCAGCCTGTAACTATAAGAATGATTACAAAATTGGATGGCCGCAAAGCAAGAGTCTGATTTTTCAACCACAAATATGACTACACAACTGAATTTAATGACAAGAAGTCCTGTTACCAATTAATGATAACCATTACAATTTCAGAAGAAAAAAAACATTTATTTGAGAAAATATCTTGGATAGAGACACATTGACTTTTTCCCAATTTTGTAGGGTAAGTGGTTGTTGCTAAATTGGTTTTGAAATCAATTAATATGTGGTTGGTGGATTTAGCTGACCTAGTGGACTAAGTGTGATTGACTGCTTAAACTGTCTGATTACACATGTCTGATTATAGCCAACTGTCCAATTACACCTCTACAGGATAATTACTGAAAAGTAATGCAGCTTGTGCACCAATCACATTTGAGGAAATCGTAATATTTATGCATGATTAATAATGGTAATAGGACTCTGTGGAGTCCAATTCTGCTTGTGTTCATACAAGTGATTAACGAAAACATGATTTGTTAATCATGAGTACAATTACAGACAGAATTGGACAAAACAAAGTCCTCTTACCAAACTGTGACAAAATTTGAGAAAGAAATTAGACATCTGTTATACATTTTCATTAGAAAAAAAAACAATTAACTCAGCAAAATGCACAACAACAGCATGCACATGTGGCAAATACTGTCCATATACACAGGCATGACATGTCAACTGTCTTATTACAATGTCTAATTACAAGCATGATGCATGCACTGTCCTATACATGCTCAAATCATGCTCTTGATAACCAATCACCTTTGAGAATTTTATTACAGTTATGATTAAAGAAGTTAGATTATCTCACCTCTCAGGTCCCACAATGAAATACTCTTATCATAAGAACCAGATATAAGCATCTCTTGTTCCCATGACATACAAAGTACAGCTGCCTTATGAGTACTATGAGTGAACAGCAAAGAACACAAGAACATGAGACAGAAAGATAGACTGCATTCACTTCAAACAGGAAGAACAAACCATGTTTTCAATATAAGTTAGGGTACATAATGAAAATTACATTTCAAATGCAAGCAATTGTTACTAAAATAACTGTACACTTTTCTTTATGAATATCAGCTTGCCCAGCCAGTCATACAGAAAATCATGTGACACAATGAAAATCATATTTCAAATGTTCCTTGTGTAATTATCATAAAAATAATTGAATGTACATTTATTACTAAAAATTTGAACTTAATTTACTCTACAGCACCTTATGGTTGTCATCTCAACATTTCGTCCCTGAAGATCCCACAACTTTATTTTGCTATCCCATGATCCTGAACACACCCTAGGAGCTCCTGTGGGGTCACTAGAGAGGCACCACACCCAACCCTGAAAACAGAGATAACTGCTGTCAGTAACTACCTTGGGAATATAACCTAGTAAATATTAGGTAGCTTTTCATTTCCATGGTTAGTGCTCTGGCTCTGGTTGTCAAAGGGTGGATAATGCTATCCACCGCATTAATCTCCATCTGGTGGAAAACACAGTATGTTTTGTCAACACCTATCCACTGGATAGTGATTTATGCCTTGGATAGCATTATCAGCCCTTTGAACAAATGGGCCTTGGACTTTAAATCCTGACTTGTTCTGGTTAAAGCAATGATCAGAATCATTTTGCAGTGATCTCAGGAAAGAGACTCTTAATTTATAATAGTGTCTTCTCTACATCTTCAGTCAAGCCCAGAAACCCATTATGCCTGAGTAAGTCCATCACACACTACCCAACTGAGTTCTGTTACACAGATTACCTTAGTTTATGTCTATTTTTCTTGTAGTAAGTGCCCTTGTAGGCTGAACAGTCAGTTATGCTTATACTCAGTGTCCTAACAGCATTTGTCTTTCATGTGTTCTTATTTTAGTCATTATCTTTCATCAGCGTTATTATCTTCAACAGTCATCAGCTTTAGTGTGTCTCTCCTCGAACTACTGATTCCAATTCTTAACCCTTTAACTCCTACAAGTGATCAAGACAGAATTTCTCCTTACAATATCAATACAAAATCAGCCAGATAAGTGATGAGAATAAAGAAAATATCAATTTGGGATAATTAGTTGATCCAATACTAAATTCTCTGAGTTAAAATTATGAGAATTGTATGGTTGACAGTGAGGAGAACGACAAATTTGATCTGGGAGTTAAAGGGTTAAAGGAGCTTTCATGTTTTAGTAGATTAATAGCTGCATGCACTAACTAACATTAGCTTTTAACGGTTTTTTGTTGACTTAAAGCAAGAGTAAAACTACCTTGTGACCATCAAGTGCTTGCTTGAAAGACTTCTTTCCATATCCTGCCTCATCAGGAACAGACAAAGCATTTAAATTCCAGACCCCCACTGAACGATCTCTTGAACCTGAAATGCACAGCTCTCCACCCCTCATCACATGAACTGTATCTACTGTGGCAAAGTGCTGATCTTTAAGCTCGTAAAAATCCAGAGATGCCACAGGATCTTGCCAAAATGCATCCATGTCTTCATGTTGGACACATATTCTCTTCCAACTATAAAAAATTTAATGAAAAAATTAATAAAATCTTACTAACATGTTTAACGTAGTTAAAACAGTGTGTATATCTCCACTATACAATGACCTTTCAAGTAAAATTTCAAAGGCCTGAGTGAGTCTTTTTTAGTCTGATGTCCAGACCACTTTCCTCTCACTCAACCCTTAAACTCCCATGAGTGACCAAGACAGAATTTTTCCTTAAAAAATATCAATATGATATTAACCAGATAAGTGATGAGAATAAAGAAAAAGATCAATTTGAGGATAATTAGTTGATCCAATACTAAATTCTCTGAACTAACATTATACGAATTACAGGGCAAGCAGTAACCAGAATTACTGATAAGATCTTGGGAGTGAAAGGGATAACACTTTCTCCTACAACTTATCATGTGATTTTCATTCATATTCCTTGAAACAAACCCCCCTTATTTATTATTTTCAAATTTGCTTGTTCACTTTTTTCTCATTTCATTTGTCTTTTTGATCAGTATTTAAGGTTTGAAGCTAGAGGTTTCAAGACTTTCAGCATTTTAGATTGATAATGGCTTACAACTGTAAACAAAATTGACATGTGCACTGCCATCTTGAACTACAGACAAGATGGAGGTCATTCCTTTCAAACACAAAATGTGGTTCTATAAGTTTGGTTGTCTAGTGTCCCTGATGGATCAGCTCACTGAAAAGAAAAGACCTCATCTTACGTATATTACACAAACAGGAAAAAGAAAAGCACCTCTTAATGAAAATCCTGAAAGAGAAAAATACTCAGTCACATGAAACTGTTTGCACGATTTCCAACTTTCAGGCCTCTCTAAAAGCCTTAACCCTTTACACCTTCACATCAGTATGTCTATTCTCCATACTGTTCTCTATACATTACCTAAAGTGAGGACAAGGAGAATTTGTTCAACAATCAAGAGCTTCTTTGGTTGCTGATCATTTCCTTTATTCTCATGACCTTGATGTTTAATTCAGAGGTGACATTGTAAGGAGAAATTAGATGCCAGTCACTCTCAAAGGTCAAAGGGTTAAGCTATGCATGTAGCCAAAAATTTATCACCACAAAATTTGTGCAGATAAGATTGATAAAAAGTACTGGGATCAATATCAGTATCTGGGCGACTGCCCACCTACCCCTCCCCTAACCCAACATTAACCCTAAGCTGTTATCAATTGATTGTTGTTGAGTTAGGGGAGGGGTAGGTGGGCAGTTGCCCAGATACTGATATTGATCCAAGTACTGTAGCCTAAAAGAAATCTGTGCCATTTTTTACACCAGTGCTGCTTAAGACTAGTGTTAAACATGTACAAGACTTTGAAATAAACCAAGGTGTACAAAAGTGAGAGAAGTGTAACTGAGGAGAAGAGGAAAAAGAACTGATTCCTCTCAGTTTTCATTTTAAATTTGTTGACTTCATAGTAGAAAAATCAGGATGAAATATCTTTTTGCCAATCTGTGTATTCTAAATATGTACTTGTACTAATAATCAAATTTTGCAGCTAAAGAGAGAGATTCCCTTTTTGCAAAGTAATTTAGGCCAATTCTGTCTTAAAAACCACAAGTCAGAGGAGTAGAATGATAAAATTAGCTACATGCAACTTGCCCAAATAAAAGAAAAAAGAAAAAATCACTAAAGCCACCTGGATAAACCATCTTTTAAAATATACAGTAAGTAATAAAATTAGACAAATATTTTAAATAATTATGATCATGTTACTAACCTTGTCACATAGTCATAATCTTCTCTTTTATCTCTCTGTGGCCATCTTTTTCCAAACCTTGTCTTCCAACTAGACTCAGGAGATAGCAGATGATGAAAAAGTTTACAGACACCTGTCAACACACTTAGTGCAAACCGTGCATCAAGGTATGAAAAAATCACAAGAATCAACTCTGGTGGGAGACCTGCCAGAGATAAAGAATTCCATTGTCTATTGTCAGTTGTACATGTGTCATCAGAAGTTTCAATGCTGTTTCCTTCTTCTGTAGCCTTTACCATTACATCTGGAGAAGAGAAAGCTGGATCACCATTGTTACAGTTTCCACCACAACCTAACTTCATATTTTCTCTGGTTATTGAATTTTTGCTGTCTTCTAGTGAATAATCTTGGAAGCAATTTAGTTGGTGTTCTTTATCCGTTTCACCTCCACTCTGTACAGTGCCATCACAATGACAACCTCCGTTGTAACCCTCAACATCCATTAAGCTGTTCCAAAAACAAGGAATATTAATTTTATAATTTCAACCAGGCACATACAGAACTAAATTGAATCAATCGATATAACACTTCTACATCACCCTCCCATGAGCCCAAAATGAAAAGTTCAAGACAAATGAATTTTTCAGTAAGGCAAGGGCAGAGAGACTTGAAGTTTCCCTTTTAAATATGTGAAATGTGAAATGCTGTTTAAAGTGCTTGTCACTCCTGAATTTTTCTAAATTTGTACATGAAATGGGATCAGGACTCCCATCCCTTTGCCAGCCTCTTATAAGCAGTAATATTAACTAAAGGCTTTAGCTGAAATTTTTTCAAAGTTAACAATTGTTTTCCATAAATCACTAAAGGGTTACCAGAAATAAATGTTTAGTTGCCAGGAAAAAAAATCTGGCAATCTTTCTTGGTGTACCATAGGATCTCACAAAGTTTAAGAATCCTACAAGTAAGGACAATATTATTATAATATAAACTGTAACCCAGCTACTTGAACCCCCAAGGGAAAGAAAAAATTATTTGATTCAGCAGGGGTTTGAGTTTTCTGATAGTAAATGACTGAAAAAATAGGCTCAAGGTAAACTGGATCTTGTGCAAGTTACCCAGGGGTTTGAGTAACCAAGTTTGATTTTGATTTTTGATTTTTCCACTGTATCGTATATATTGTATTAATCAACCCAAAGTATCTCAGGAAAAAAGTAAGAAAAAGTTCAGTTAATTCACTTTAGCTGGCCACAAGACCACTTAACCCTTAATATCCAGGATGCATATTCTCCATACTGTTCTCTTTATATTCCCTAAGATGTTCCCAAGGAGAATTTATTTAACAATCAAGAGCCTCTTTAGTTGGTGGTCATTTCCTTTATTTTTGTGACCCTAACGTTTGAATCAGAGGTCATATTTTTGAGAGAAATTAGATGTTGGTAACTCTAACAGGTCAAAGGGTTTTAAAATAATAATTCTTGAAAGCTTTAAGTATGTAATCTTTTTTATTCAAAGAAAAGCTTTCCAAAGAAAGCATCGGAATATAAAAATTTTTGAGACCTTTCATTGTTTTTAAACTATTTTCAAGTCAGTTTTAGTCATTATTGTCTGATTTTTGTCTTCTTTAAATTTGACAAGCTTTCTGTAAAAATGACATAGAGGTTTCCTGGCACTTGTTACAAGTGGTCAAAAGTAACAGAAATTAAGGATGAGGGTTCTATCTGTTCAAAAATATAGAGTGCATGGTATAGAATATATATTTCTAAAGGTTTTCTAATGATGCTGCCCTTTGTTTTTGAGAAAGAACACATGCAAAATCCTCTATGTTTCTCAAAGCTCTTTTTGATACTCTTTTGTTGAACAAGAAACAAAGAAAGCTTTGTCTTCTTTAAACAAAGAGGACAGCCTCAAGAGGTTTTTGTGACAGTTATCTTTGGAAAGGAAGAAAAAAAACAGCAAGAAATTTTAAGAAATTTCTCAAGAATTAGTTTCCCCTTAAGTCAAACAAAAGCCCTGAAGCCAAAATATCTGATCAATTTGTTCTCAAAAAAAGAGTTTCTAAACAAAGAAGCTTCAAGAAATAGAGAAACTATCCCCAGGCTAGACCCAGGCAGTTTTCAATAATTTTTCAATAAGCTGTGCCATCAAAGGTGTAATAGGTAGTTGTGCCTGAGAAGGAGGTGTAAGGCAAAACCTTAACATGAGGGCCAGTTATTACAGACTAAATATACAGCACTAAGTGGTCTTCAAGGAGGCAGTAGACCACCAGCAACTGGCTTTTTCTTGAAAACCTCTTTTAAACCATGGGCCAAATATAAATTATTTTTGTTGCATCCTTTATAGATGTTGACATTAAAAAATTGTTCCCACTTTGCATCATAAAGCAAACTCAAGAGGAAGCTATTAAATATAACTTACACCTGGGGAGAGATTAAACATGGTAAACTTCTTTCTAAGTGTAAGCTGTCTACATATTGGCTCTCATTCATTAATTTCGATGTAAATATAAAACACTCTCCAGCAAATTCATTCTTTTTTATGTTCGGCAGAATGATGTAGCAGAAAGAAATCCACCATCACAATAGAGAAATGAAAATTTAAGATATAATTATAAAATACACCAAATGATGGCCCATCAGGTTATAGGACATCAAAACATTTCGCCAAAAATAATAGTCCCTAATTATCTGGGCTGAAATAAAAATAATTTTCTCAAAAGGTGGACACATCATTAATCAAAAATTTATTACAATTCAGACATTTGGCTCAAGCTTGAGTTTGCGTGCGTTCGATTAATTTCGTTCAAAGGTTGTCACGAGGTAATATATTTAGTGCGTCACGGCCTAGTTGGTTTGTACTAGAGATCTAATATTAGCTGTACTGAAAATTAACCGATTGAAAATCTGATTGGTTTTTATCAAAATCCACTTGACTGTACTGTCATAGACATTTCGAAAAAACTTGTTTTTTTTCCTCACGTGGAGGTTTTAAATATTTCTAACCGCAAAAATACATCTGGAAGATAAACATTCTGAACTAACCGACACATATCTGTCTTTCACGATCGCGGGTGTATTTGCTTTAAAAAGGGCTTTTCGGAACGACATGATTTCCGATAATGTTCGCCACAATTTTTAATCAACTTACCTTTCGAAGAAATATTATAACAGCAGTTAATTGACGTTACATCTTTCATGAGCCTCTATTCAACGAAACAAACAAAAGAAACCATCTCGAACAACCGATTCACCTGTATTCTTTCAAGTCCGAAAAATGTAAGGCGCTGAAAAAGATATGAGAGAACACTGGTGACTACTAAGAGTTACATTCCGAATGATGACGACTGTTTACCGAAGCTTGACGAGAGTTTGTCACTGATATTTTCACTGCACTATATCTCGTCGGATTTCGTCGTAAGTGTCTCCGGAGAAGATGACTTAGCAGTTTGTCCAGTCCTCTCTCCTCACTGTAAACAAGTCTGATTACACAACGGCACCGCAAAGCCTTCAGCAAAGCAGGAAGATATCAGTGTCAACATAGCCTGGAAAGCCTACGATCATATTTTTCTCTTTAGCGGCCGAAAAATCCCAAACTTTAGCAGCTAAAGTTTTAGCTGTCTTTGGGTTTCAAAAATATTGGGAAATCTTGATGGGAGAGGGGAAAAAATAGCGTTAAAAGTTTGGTAACGCAAAATCCCTCGCGTTTCGTGAGAGGTAAGTTGGGTTAATTCTTGGAAAACGGAGTTTTCCTCTTCATATTTTTACTGTTTCAGTTTCATGTGATTACGTAACGATATTCAAATACGTTTGTTTTTAGGCCACAGAGTTAGGATTAAAATCGTTTGGTCCTTGTCGGCCGCATCGTCTGACAATGAAGTTCTTGGACCAACTCAAATTACTCGTATGGAAAAACTTTACGCTTCGAAAGCGTCAGCACGTAAGTATTAAACAGAAATTCACGCCTATTAATGGCATTTTTTCATAGCGCGCCTGATGTTTTGTTCATCGAGGATATGATGTGGATGGATACCTAAGTTTCTTGCAGGGAAAAAAATTTAAACCCTTTGCTTTATTTTCATTCTTTGGGGCAGCTGCGTTCCTTGCAAACTATCGATCGCCACAGGTACCTGCGTTCGTTACCTTGGGTTCTTGTTTCGTCAGAAATTGTCGTCCTTTTTGTGTAAGAAAGTCGCAGATTATCTCTCTTGCCTTACAGCTGTGATGAGCTCGTTTCAAGACACTTTTTTGAACACATGACTTAAGAATGCGAAAGATGTTGTAAAGTGAGGATTCGTTCTGGTAATTTTGTGCGATTTTCACTTAAGCACCTTTCTTGTTTTGGTCTACAGCGTTTCTGCCAATTAGATCAAAGCTCTTTGTTTACAACTTGAGCGAGACTTGTATGTCGGCGAAGCAGTGTCATTTTTATTCGTTCCATATCGTATATTTTATTTAGGAAAATTAAACTTTTGAAGTTGAAGATTCCGAGTAAAGGATTTAGGCGTTTTTCCTCGTGCACCGTCCATTTCAGGACTGTGACGTAGCCAAGTATCAAATGACGTATATTTGGACAAATATTGCAAACCGCTTTCGATTTACCTTCTACGAAATGTTTTACCATTATTCTCAATTGCTTAGCGACTCAGGGTAAAGTTTTTAAAGGAAAAAACTTTCATCGATTTTAACTTTAACTTGGTGAAAATAGATTACACATTGACTAACTGAGCCGAAAATCTGCAACTCGCTACTGTGATGGAACAGTTTCACTATTGAAAACCAGACTAGTTAATCCCGTCGTTGCTTGAAGGAAGTTGCTTTAGTTAAAAGCAAATCTTGGATTTTACTTTTTTAGAGAGGAAAAACGTACCAGTACCAGTAAAATACCAACTGAGTATTCTAACAGCTTTTTATCATAGCATTCTTGAAGTATTGCCTCTGCATATTCATGATAAACTCACCTCAACCAACTTATAGTTGAGAAGCGTTAGTTCCATGAAATTTCTTAAATAAAGGTGTGGGCACCCAGAGCCATAAAGTTAATTGGCGGTTGATTTATCAAATATTGAAAGATTGACTAGTTTTGAGTTTTTTTTTTTTTTTTTTTTTGGTCCTTGATTTAGCAGATGTTTTTTGTGTTAGCTTGCATGCTATGCCACTTGAACCCCTTCCTGTTGTGGAACTGAAAGAGAGAGCAAAAGCGGAAAGATGGGAGAAAAGATTAAGAAGTAGATATTGCACTTTAGTTTTTATGAAAGCCTTTCTTGGGTGAAAAAATTGTAAAATTGACTGAAATATGGTCAGCAATGACTTGTTAGTGTAAATGATAAGATAGTATTACTGACTTTTTAAGGAGATGACATTCTAGAATGTGTAAGATTTATTAGCAGTCACTCAAAGAAGTTGCTTAAGGAGGAAGACATCCTGATCATGCTTGAACTATTGTGGATTCTAGTTCATCTATGTTCCTCTTCATTAACACTTTTTAAAAATATGTTCCACTACTTGAATGGTGGAGTTTAGGGTGCAGTTGTCTCAGATGTAATCCCAAATCATTTCTATTTGTAATCAACACAGACAATGTTTATATTGTGATGCTATAAATGAAACATTGATGATTGTTAATGATAACAAACTATAATTACTATGTGGTACAAATAATTCCTTGACGTGGAAGTTTAAAAGTAATCGTTCTCTTTCTAGATCAGTATATATGTGTATATATGTAAATGAATGTGGGGGTAAAGTTTACCTTGGCATAAAGTGCTCAATGCTGTGGTAACAGAGCTAAGTATACAGAAGTTAAAGAATTAAAGAGGACGCATTGATTCTCTGTGACTCTGAGTTTCGTGCCTAAGTGCTCGTCAGACAGAACTTAGGAACTTCGCTTAAGCGCAAAACTCAGAGTCACAGAGAATTGATGCATTCTCTTTAACTCTTTAACTTATGTGTATATATATATACATATATATATATATATATAGATATTTAGATAGATAGATAGATATCTGATACAGTAGCAAATGAAAAATATGAAGGTTTGAATTATTAGCTGAGGAAAAGATTGGACCATGATGTGTACACTTACAGTTTGTACTTATACAGTGTTCTTAAGGTTTAGTCTATAAAAATATTTACAAAGTTTTCAATTCATACCTTCAATGTTTTGGAATGTTACTTTCATTTTAAGGACTGCTTGGGTTAAATTTTAGTTTTAACTGATTGTCTAGTATGAATCATTGTAACGCAAAATGTTTACAAAAACTAAAGGAATCTATTCATAATTATTCTAGATAAAAGTGGCCCTAATTTGTGCTTTGACTGATTTAAACCCCTGTGTCGAAGATCAACCTAGTACTGTTGCCCTTGGCTGATATTCATAAGAAAGACACACTTGTACAATGTACTTGTATGCCAGCTGATATTTCACAATTATGCCCCTGTCAGTGTGCCTTTTGGCCATAAACTGTACATTATCAACAGTAATTCTCTGAAATGCCTTATTAATAACTGTGTTTACTTTAATCCTAGGAATAAGTTTTGTCTCTGATTGATAAAGTAGTCTATTTTAGTGTAGATCCGTAACAAGGCAGCTGCATGTTTTTAATCTTCTTTAGGTGATTAGGTTGACTGGTTTTCTCTCACCTTGTGAAGCATTAAGTTTTTTGTGGTTTAAGTCCAAGTTATCCAGGATAAACTTAGTTGACTATATCAAAGACACACATTTACCAGAATGCTTTTAACAATAAGGTTTTTTTTCATTCATTGCAATGGTAACTATTACCTTTTATTTTACCTTATATACATTATTCAACAAAGAATTTGTAGATCACTCAATGGAACTGAAATTATGTTAAAAGCAGTATGTAGAAAAAAACACTGATTTAAATGTTGAAATGAGTACACTAAAGGACCCTTGTTTTTTAATTTGAGGTTTTATAAAGATGTGATTAAGCAAATGATAGAACTACGTATATAATGTGCTAGTTAAAACTTAATTGACATTTAGTTATTGTTTGTTACGCATAATAATCACCACCCATAGATAATACTTCTCTTGTTTTGATGAATGTATTATATATTATGGAAATTAAGAGTTAAGTTGCAAGTATTAATTAACTGTTCCATTGTTTACTGATTTCAGCTGAGAAATTTGGTGGAAATTGTTTGGCCACTAGTGCTCTTTATAATTCTGGTTGCAATACGTAATCGTAAAAATTATGGTGCTACAAATATGCCTGATAGTAAGTATAAAATATTTTTTACTCTCACTGACCTTTAAATAATTATTTCACTTTACCAGACAGTGACATTCTGCAAGTTGTGATTCATGGTTGAAATATTTTCAATTGAAACTTGGATAATTTTTTTTTTAGAGTTTGATAATGTTGTCAGACAAAAGAAGAAGTAATTAAGAAAGATGATTTTCATCTTGTCACAATTGTGGGACAAAGAAAAAGTAGTCAAACTGGTAAAAATTAAAAAATTGAACTGGGCTGATACCATAAATTGGCCCTTGTTCAATGCCAAACACCTGAAATATCATTCAGCTTTAAAAACTATTTATAGTGGCCAATTTAAATATATCAACTTGGTTGATAAAACCACAATAGCTTGTTACACCCCCCACTGAAACAGCGCCACAGTTTTTATTACTAGAGACTTATTCCTATAAAACATTTTTATTTACTCTGTTTTGTCAACTTTGAATGTTTTTTGTTTGTCTTTGTTCAATTAATAGGTATTTACAGACCACGTGCCCTTCCATCAGCTGGTTTTTTCCCATTCGCAAGGTCATTTTTGTGTGACTTTAAAAACACAAAAACAAATGATCCTGATGAGCTGCTGAATGGATTGCCAAATCTGAGAAGTTCAAGGTAGGCAGGCATAATTATTTTGGTCTAGAACTACTAAGAGAAAGACAAGTCTTACAGGGTTGTTGCCAAGCGCCCGCTCTCTGCAAGTTGGCTGTCTGAAAAACAGGTGCTAGGTGGCTGGATTTTGGTGCAGGATTACTCAGTAAGGAAAAATTTGCTGGCAAAATTTGCTTGCTTGGAAAGAGATGATAGCTGGCTGGAATTTTTGGGCAGCTGTTACTTAGTTTTATCAGAGTGGTATGACTGTTGTTGGGTAAGGGGAAGGGGTAAGTGTGTAGTAGCTCAGACGCTGACATTGTTCAGATTTTGTGAATATGAAAGCCATCTTTTCAGTAATGAACACTACTTGAGCAGTAGTGAAAGTAAGGCCTGAATAAAAATTCAGGCCTTTATGGGAACTCATGACCTCTGTGATACCAATGCAGCACTCTGCCAACTGAGCTAATAGCTAACTGGGAGCTGGTCATTATGTTGATTCCAAATAAACCAGTGAAGTGGCGAATAAACGATTATGAATATATGAAAGTCGTATATTTGAATTGCGGATTAACATGTGAATATGAAAGCGATCTTCACAGTAATGTATATTTATCACTTATGATCTGAGAAACAACTATACCCATACCTAAATTTTAAACCTACGCATATTTTAAAACATGCAGACTACATGTAGACAACTGTTAAACAAGCTTTTTACCAAATTAACTTGACACTGAGTTTCTTTTCATTTACAGTTTGGGTAGATTGATTGAGGATGCCCTTCCTCTTATGGCAAACAGCACAGTTAGAGAAAGAATTCTTAGAATTAATTCAGATCGCTCAAATTTTGAGAGGGATTATCAAGCTTGGTCTGACTTAGTGAGATCTAGGCAACTACAGTGGCGTGGATATAATCTATCAGGTATTGAAAATTCCTCAGCAACGAGAACATACTGTCTTAAAAGATTGACCTGATGTGGGATAAAATTTTCTGCAATAGAGCATCCTTTGTCATAAACAAGGTCTTGTTTAAGAAAATTTACTTGATATGCTCTGAGTCTCTTTACATCAACCTTTGTGTAGACATGATTATTTATTTGGACAAATCATTGTTCTCCCTTATCATGGGTAAATGAAATTTTCAAACTGGTAAAGCAATCCTTTTACCTGTTGTATTTTCAAGAATTTCTAACAGTTTTAGGCAGTAGTTACAAGAGGTTTAATAACTGCAAGATATAAATGTTACTGATATTGCCGAAAAAGGAGAACATTGCAAATGTTACAGATGATAACAGTGTTTCCTTTTTTTAATTAAAATTGTTAATAACTATTACTAACAATAACTTTAATTTGGAATTACAGTATTATCTACATGTAGTGAACTGAAAAGGTAATAACTGAAAGCAACTGACAATGACTATTAGTCACAAGGTAGTGAAGCTAATGTTGGACATCCCATCCTCTGGAATTTTTTGTACATTAGATTGCAGTTAGAGGAGTTGCATCATGTTGGACCTGGTGTGGTTTTTTTTAATCATTTTTTTTTTATATAGCTGTCCCACTTGACCAGTTACTGAAGGATCCTGCTGAATTTCAGGAATTTCTTTACAACAAAACTAATCTCAGCCCAAAAGTGATATCAGAGCTCTTAAGTAGCACAGTGAATGTGCAAAAGGTAAGCACATGTATGCAGTTGTTGGAAGCTGTGTCAAACTTTGGAATGCAGCACATTTTAGGTTTGAGTCATTGGTATATACCACATCAGTGCATAGCACTTTTTTTGAGCACACTGATTGGCCAGTTCAGAAGTGAATAGCAAGTACTATTCACCCTGAGTAGCGGATGTGACAAAATCACGCCTAAAGAGTTTAATTTCCAACAATTTGTCAGTATGTTGAAAAATATAAACTTATTTTTTGGTATCTGTGTGGTATATAGTAAGAAATTATTCGCCTTAGTATTCGTAAAAGTGGTAGATATTTGCCTTGCTGCTTTGCAGCTTGGTAAATCCCCACCACTATTCACCTGCATTTTGGTGAATAACTGTTAATTATTGATAGTTATGATAATTTTTGTAACTCCATGATTAAAGTCTCCTCTTGTAAGCCTGTGGGTTTGACCTTACTGTTTTAAACCTTGGCTACATGTTTCAGGATTGAAACATGTGGCCAGGGTTTGAAAAATCTATCAAGGTTGAAAAATCCATGAGGCTCCAGTTGAGCTTCCAAAGTAATCTGTTGTTTCAGGGGTGATTGTGAGGATTTACAACAACCTAATGTCCAAATAATTCAACTGACCTGTTCTTACACTTGCATGGAAACTGTTAAGCATCATCCCTCACTTGACACCTAACTACAGATAATTAGTAATAAAGCCCCTCTCCTTGACAATTCTTCAATAAGGGCTTAACCCTGAAAATTCTCATGAGTGACCAAGACAGAATTTCTCGTCATGATATCAATACGATATCAAGTAGAGAAGTAGTGAGGAAATATTTCAATAATGGAATACTTATAAGTTGATCCAATACCAAATTATCCAAACTAACATGGTAAGAATGGTATGGCAAACAGTAATGAGAATTACTAATGAGATCTTGGGAGTGTACAGGGTTGATACTGAGAATGCTGTGTTGGAGGGCCTTCTTTTTTGTCTTTTTCAGATTGCAGAATTTGCTCAGCCATATATGATGTCAACACCAGACTCATTATCATGGCCACCTCAAAATCCACTCAGCTACTTTCCATTCCTGTCATCTGGTGAAAGCCAACAAAGGAACTTACTTTGGGCTCTGCTTTTATGGAGAATTGAAAATAGTCTTAGGGTATGGAAAGAAAAAGTTGATTTTTAGGTTTAGATTGTTTATTTTGTTTGGTGGAAGGTTTCTTGTTGTTGTTGTTGTTGTTTTTTTTTAAATTTTTTTACTTGTCTCCTCAATAGGTACTCAGATTTTTTGTAATTGTACCAAGCTCACACCAGACATCTTACATTCGTCAGATTAATTATTGTTCTTAATTAAAATTGAAGGATTTATTAGTTACATTAAGTGTTAAATTTCAATTTTTAAAAGGAAAAGGTAATGGTGAAGATAGAGTTGTTCATCTGGAGTTGGAGTTTTGAGAATTCTCTAGCAACTTTGCAAAAGTGCCTGGTTAAAATTTGGTGTTCCAGGAAACTTTTCTATATATTCACAGTCATATGAAAGAATATTTTTGCATGACTTTAAACAGTTCTGAATTGTTCCTGCTTCTAAGGTTCTTATTAAAAAATGGCAGAGTGTGCTATCCACTGGATAAATCACTTTGTAGAGGTTATCAAAGTATTGTTTGGAAACACTTTACCCCTGGATAGCAATTTCTTTGTTGGGTAGCATTATAACTGCCCTTTGAACAACTTGGACCTGGAAAATTTCTACTACATTCTAAAAATGTACCTAATAGCAGTGATAAGTTATTTAACTATAAATTTTCATGTTGTAATTTGCAGTCTGAAGGAGCAGTCAGTGGCAGTCTTGTGAGGCAGGTCATATGTGATGCTCAATCTCCAGTGAATCTTGGAGAAATTCTCAGTGGCCCTGGAAATGTGGTATGTTGATTGTAAGCAACTACCTGCTGGTCTCCATTAGCAAGTATATTGTTAGTAGTAAATCGCACAAAGCCGATAGATGGGTAATTTTTTTGATGGCATCATTTTGCTAACTGCTAAGAATGGATTGATTGTAGTAATCAATAAAGGATTAACTCTGTAACTTCCAGAAGTGATTAACATGTAACTTCTCCCTATAATATTCATACCTTATCCAGCAAAGAGATAATGAGAATTCTCAAACTTATCAATTAGAGATTGTTGTCTTGATCTTACACCAAATTCTCATAGCTAAGTTACAGGGAAATGTGTAGCAGCTAGAGGGGAGAGTTAGCTATCAGATCTTGGCAGTTAAAGGATAAGTGAACCTTTAACTCCCATAAGTGACCAAGACAGAATTTCTCCTTACAGTATCAATATCAATATCAACCAAGTGATGAGAAAAAAAAAACACATAAATCTGGAGATAATTAGTTGATCCAATACTAAATTCTCTGAACTAAACACTATAAGAATTGTATGATTGAAAGTATGGAGAATTACAAATTTGATCTGGGAGGTAAAGGATCTATAGAGTCAATGTTGCTGTGCATCTGTTCAGTAATCAGTTGACGTAAGAACAAAAAGTGGCCCACAAGGCACAGCCTTGTGTATCAGTGATGTTCTTACTACATTTAGACATATTTTAATTGATTACAGTACAGACCCATGACAACATGGAATTATTTTTGTTTTACATGATAAAAAAGCAAAATGATGATAATGGTAATGTCATCCATGCTTCTATCCTCCAATAGATCACGTGCAAGAACCAATAAAAAAGCATGTACAATTCAGCTTATGATATAGTTTAATTATTTTTTATTTTTGTTTTGAACATTGCAGACTGAGGTGAAGACAGCTTTGTGCAAACTGAATAACACTGTTCTTGGTGAACTTGGAAGTGAATTACAATCTCAGATTAAAGTGCCAAATGTCACAGACCTTCAGGTATTGCAACCTGAAACATTCCTCTTGACAAATGTTACTGTCTGTGCTAGATTATTAATTTCAATAGTACACAAGGTACAATCTGCATCTAAAGGATGCTCAGGGAAAAGTTGCTGACAGAATGAGGATGCAATTTAAAGATGAGGATGCAATTGAAAGATTAGCAAAATGGGACTGTACTTTTTGAAGCCATAAGATGGTGACTCTATACCAAATAAAATTTATGATCTGTTGTAGTTTCCCTGAGACCTTCTTTATAGACTTTTTACTTCCAGAAGTGATAATAACATGTAACTTCTTGCTATAATATCCATACACTATCCAGCAAACAGGTAATGAAAATAATCAAACTCATCAGGTAGAAATTGTTATCTTGATCTAGAGGGGAGAATTAACAGTCTGGTATTGGGAGTTAAATTATTAAATCCTGTTTGATGTTATTTAATTTGAATTTGTGTTTTTGTTTATTTTATTAGAGTTACAGAGGAAATTTGACAGATGTGCTTAACTCCTTAACAAATGATTATCGGAATATTGCTGAAGATGTAAGTATATATTGACCTATATTTGATTAATGGTCTTCTTAATAACAATTGTATAAATAAATTAGTTTCAATATTTAAAAACGAGCAGGATTTTATCTTTAAAACCACAAGCTCATTGACCTGGTTGAACGGCTAAAAACATTCTTGGAAAAGCGTGTGTCAAGAGAGTTCATAACAATTATGCTTTTGGGAACGTTATGTGTATGTCCTTATATCTGATAAAACACTGCATACTAATAAGGATGAGGTTTATCGATATAAAGTCACTGCACGTGATGTATTATCTACCATTTGATAGGTTAATGGGCTTATGAATTATTAATGAGTTTTTGAAGGTATTGATAACACCACAATACTCTGAGTAATTCCATATGTATTCGTGATTCCAATCCATTCCATACAGTACTGCTCAAAAGTAAGTTGACAGCCCCTCAAAATTAGAACCTTGTTCCTTAATTCTTGATTCTTAAAAACCTTCAGGATCAAAGCTCCAGTTGAGCTTCTGAAGTGATCTGCTGTCATTCTGTTGTTTCAAGGGTGACTGTGAGGATTTACAATAACCTAATGTCCAAATACTTGAACTGAATCTTTCTTCCACTTGCATGGCAACTGTTGAGCATCATTCCTTACTTGACATCTGAGTACAAAATGACCATCATTCTTAAAACACTTGAAATAAACACTGCTGTCATCCTAGTCTCATTCAACACTTTTACCACTTATTTACTCAGTTGTAACTCTTTACACCCTAACATCAGTTTGCATATTCTCCACACTTTTCTTGATACATTTCCTGAGGTGTTGACAAGGAGAATTTGTTTTCCAATCATAAGGTTCCTTCCCTGGTGACCATTTCCTTTATTCTCATGACCTTAATGTGTGATTTTAGGAGGGATATTGTAGGGAGAAATTAGATGCTAGTCACTCTAAGGGTTTAAAGGGTTAATTGTACTTGAATTCACTAGCAGAAAGTGGTTATTTAATTTGTAAGTAATTTGTAAGTAAGTAAGTAAGTATGTCTTCATTTAATGAAGGTGACACACGATTGTTAAAAACATATAAGCTAGTGGCCCTCAAAAAAAAATACGTATATATCTATACAAAAATTAAATAATTTATATATAGGTTTAAGAATCAAATTTAAGTGGGTTATTCCAAAAGTTTAAAAATATCATAAAAACAGTAAAAAAGTTACATTTGATTAAAATCTGCAATCTTTTTTTAAATTTATTTCCAGGTTCAAGCCTTAGAATCTCTCTCTCAAGTCTCAAGGGACTATTTTTATCTTATGCAAGAATTTAATGACAGAGATAATGGTGGAGGTTTCCGAGAAACACTTTGTGGTAATGGTCGCAGTCTGCCTGAGGACGATGGTACTGGAAGTGGCGGTGGATCGAATGGAAGCCAGGGCCAGGGCTGGCAACAAGCCCCTCTTGGATTGTTGGCAGCCGCGTGTGGCCAAGATTTGCCGAATGGTACTTTTGATGATGTTCCACCTGGCGTCAATCCCATAGACTATTATTTGAATATGACGCAGAATATGAATTTGGCCCGATATGATGATGATGAAGAAGAAAATGCAAAAAGGAAAGCTGATGAAAAGTCTTGCTCAAATCTTACATCTGTTTACGACAAGTATAATGTCACTGGGGATAAGGGTGAGTGTTACTGCTTTTTCTTTGCTTATTTTCTAGGTAATTTGTTGAAGTTAACTCTCAAACAGGGCTTGACGGTTTAACTTTGTCCAATCGTCGACTACAGGACATTGCCATATTAATTTTTAAAGCTATAAACGGCATTTTACCGGAATATTTAAGCGACTTGTTTGTCGTACGTAATAATGTGACAAATTTTAGGGGGTACACTAACAAGCTCGTCGTCCTGCGTAAGAAAACTGCAAACTTTGGCTTAAAATCTACATCTTTTATTGGTGCCAATATGTGGAATTCCTTTCCGGATGAATTGCGCTTAACGGCAATTCTTAAGGAATTTAAGAATGCCGTAAAAGAGTTACATTTGTCTTGTACAATCTTCTAAGATTTCCCCACTGTTATGATTTTAAGAGTTAGGATTGTTTACTTAATAAAAGTTGTAAGAAAGTTAGTGATTAACTGATTATTTTTGATATCCTGAACTTTTCCTTTTTCGTTATTTTCTTATTAGCATGTACTGCTAGGGGCTTCATCAGCCTCATCAACCCGAGTTGAAATAGTTACTTACTTTACTTTACTAGAGCTTGAGTCTCGTGTGATATAAAAACATATTCCGATGTGCGAGCGGCCCGTGTATTAAAAGAGAAGTGACATGCAAGCGCTTTGTCCATCGATATTGCTTTGCATACGAGTATCGTTTCCTCGAAACTACGAATGAAGATCCTCAAAAAGTTCTTTGTTCGTGTCAATCCTCGATCTTTGATAGTTAAAGCATTATAATTAATTTAGTAGTATCAACCGAGTTGGTAACGTGAATTGGCCACCGTGAAGAGTTTCAAAGCTGACGTTTCGAGCGCAAGCCCCACGTCATTCGCCCTGAAGATAGGCTAACGCTCGAAACTTCAGCTTGAAAAAATTCTTTATGGTGACCAATTTAAGTTATCAACTTAGTTGACTATATTTAATTAGACTGTTATACTCTCCCACCGACGCAGCACCACAGTTTCGTCAGAAACTCACCCCTTTTATTCTATTAATTACATGACGATTTTCTCGGTTTTTATGATACTTTCTTTCCAGACTCTTGTACAGTCATTGATCCAAAGTGGCGAGTTGACTGTGGTTGGCCAGGCATCTCAGCGGAACAATGCAAACGAAGGGGTTGCTGTTTTGATTCCTCGAAACCTGGAACTCGCTTCTGTTTCTATAAAGCTGGTATGTTGTACAAATCTAGAGCTTAATTAAAGAAATCACAACGGCCAATGAGAACTCTCAGTGAAAACAACCATACAGCCTTAAGGGCGGGAAAGCGCGGGCGACCAAGTCGTGATTGGTTTTTTGTTTTGAATCTGAGTGGTCAAGAGGGTGGCACGAATTCTCTTGACCAATTACAGAGCGAAAATAAAACCAACGTAATCACTCTATATATCTATTTCCTTTTGGTGAATCGTCCAAGACGCTGTAAACTGTGAAGTTCCTATGTGTTAATATAGTGTTTCACTCAAAGCTAATCCCCTGTAATGTCCGTTCACAGAGGACGCGGGATGTAACTGTTATTTAAACCAGTTCGTACGCAGTGTGGGCGGCGTAACCGGAAACGCAGGTCAAGGGGATAGAGACTCGGGATTTGTTCAATTCAGCTCATTGTTCTTAAAGGGAAAGATCCTGTACACTCCTGATAACAATGTGACCCGTTATATCATTCAACAGGTGAGATTTTAATGTAATCTTGTAAAAGAGAAGTATGCTACTTAATTTATCCTAATAAGGATCAATGTCAGTAGCTGAGCAGCCGCACACCAAACCCTCTCCTAAGCCAACAGCAGTCAAATGATAACAAGCTGGGGTTGATGTTGGTTTAGGGGAGGGATAGGTGGGCAGTTGCTCAGGTAATAGCATTGATCCGCTTAAACTGACTTCGGACGTCGCCATTTGGAAGTTTGCTCAGCAACCTGGTTTTTACCAACCAGCTCTCTCGGTAATTAGTGGTATCAGTTAGAAGCTTTCCACTTTAGCCATAGCAGGAGGTGTTTGCGAACTGCGCTTGGTGGTTTTTCGTGTGCAGTAGGCTATACATAACACAACTGTGGGAATTATTACTTAAGCTTTAATCGGACTGATATATTACATGCTATAATTTACAGATAAAGAATGAGCTGTCTGATATTACTCGGATACGAGACTTTGCCTCCTGGTGGGTGAATAATTCAGACTATATCCACAAGAGTGTTTTGAATTACACTAACCTGCTCAAGAGACCACTGGACTCGGTATGGAAAAATTGTTTAATTTTTTCTAGCTATAAACGCATTTCTTCCCTAGCTGGTTGACGGTTTAGCCTTCTTCTGGTATGCGATCCTGGTTAAGTGACCTGGGATTTCTTTGCTTTTTCTTAAATGATTTCGCTCTCTCGTTGGTCCAGAAAAGTCATGCCATCCTCTTAACCAATCAGATTCAAATCTAAAACCAATCACCGCTTGATCACTCACGATTTCCCGCGTTTCAGGCTGTTTACTGGGTTATGATTTGAGCGGCTCTGATTGGCTCCTGATAGATTTTTTTTGTACTGATTGGCTGATGGGATTACCATTGGTTTCGTATACTCAATTGAAGTGTGCTCCGAAGTCACACGAGTGATTGGAAAAAAACAATAATGGTAATAACAATAATATTAATAACGAGGAAAAAGTAAAAAGATGACGGCAAATTACTTGTTAATCAGCCTAATTATTTTAAAGCTGATTGGAGGAATTAAAGCCCTTTTACCAACTAAAAAAAATCAGCAAAATTTAAAGGCAAACTATACATAGGTGAAACGCAATTATGAAGAGAAATGTAACAATTCTCTTTTTTCACGAGAGAATTAACGGCGCGTGTGATTGACGTATACTACACGCGAATAAAACACACCTGTTGCGGAACCGTCCGTCACTATACAAAGGGAGAAATAACAATGTATTTCATTTAATTGTGATCACATTCCTTTGCGAAAGCAAAGAACCTACCTAAATTTGGTTTCCCTCTAACATGTAGCGTCGTAGCTCAGTTGTTAGTAACGCCCAAATAGTGTTTTTGAGGCACCGGTTCAAATCCCGTCGAAGCACGAATTTTTTCAAGTTTCTTTTCTGCAATTTCGGCTCACTTGTAAGGATCGTTTCTTTGCTTGGAGCAATAGGTCTTACGCATACTCGTTTGACCAGCGGTTGTGGCTGTTAACGAATATTTCTATCTAGAAAGCTCGTTGTAAATTATATTTATGATGGGATCGTATATCTTCCTCCCTTTTTAGAGGATTTGTGAACTATCGAATGTCCTGAGAACTGGAGCAAACCCAGACTGGTCTGAGGTGTCTTTGAACTTGTTAAATTCTTCTGCTCGTCGTAACATTACGATAATACCAGAATCGTTTAATGTCACCACTGTGCTGAATAGCTTGGATCAGTTGTTTGGAACGATCCTGAGAGTATTTAAATGCGCATCGCATGAGTACTTTGAAGGTTATAAAGATGAAGATTCCTTGGTTAAACGCGCCATCAATACGTCGGAGGTACCAGCTATTGCAAGTAAGTTCGCAATTTTTTTTGCCGTTTTTCTTTTAGGTTACGATTGAGTATTTTTGTTCGTTAGTTAAGTAACGACTCCAGCTATGAACAATCGCGCTATCCCCCTCCTTGCTTAGCCCTTTGATCCCCCCTAAGAATGACCAGCATCCAATTTCTCCTTACAGTATCACCCCTGAGTCAAACATTAAGGTCAGGAGAATAAAGGACATGATCACCACTTAAAGCAGCTCTTGATTGTTAAACAAATTCTCCTTGGCAGCGCCTGAGGAAATGTAGAGAACAGTGTGAAGAATATGGATATTGATGTTAGGGTATGAAGGGTGAAATGGAAGGTGGAAACCTTAAAAAAAAAAGATGCTATCACTTTTTTACCACTTAAGTTTCCATCGTGCTTCATTCCACGCAATGTTAGTACTCAAAACTTGACTCACAGTCAACACTTGCAAACCGAACTAAACATGAAGCCGTTGTGTGTTTATTGAAGATGGTTTGCTTTTTTTTTTAAACAGGTTTAGTGTTTGAAGATTCTGTCGGCGACCTCGATAATGTTCCCAAGTTTATCAAGTACAAGATACGACAGGACGTGGATTATACCCCAGCTACAAACAGGATACGTCGTTGGTAAGTCCAGCGATTTGTTCATTTTTGACCTTCTTGAGGGAGCTACTTACCCTTTGAGTGGCAACCCAAAGGCATTTCGTATGAAGCCAAATTTACATATTTTTCCTATGGACCGACTGGATGCTTTGTGTCTACATAGTATGAATCATTTTTTGACATGGGAAATATGACCTTTGAGCCCAAAGTACTTGATGTGATGGAAGTAGAACCTGCCCTTCCTCTTCACAAAGTGGGAGACACGGAGGCTTTGTGGCTTGTGCGATGAACTTCGGATTAAGAAGTCTTGGTTTCGCCCGGGCCAAGGCTCCTTGCATTTTGTTCTTGTTAACCCATTACACCCTGACACCAGTATGCATTTTCTCCATACTGTTCTCCATACATTTCCTGAGGCACTGATGAGGAGAATTTGTTTAAAAATCAAGAGCTTTTTAAATTGGTGATCATTTCTTGATTCCCGTTACTTAAATGTGTGGGTGACTTGAAGAAAAAATTGCCGGGGGGTTTCTGTGATGGACAAGCTTTTAATCCAATTTGAATTAGCGAAGTGTCCCTCTCCACTCAGGAGTATAAATAGGTACCAGCAACCTCCCCGGGAGACCTTAAAAAATTGTTGAGGGTGGGAGGGGAGGGTTGTAATGGAGTAGCATCTCATCCAATGGGAATTAGTAAAGTGACTTCCTCCGTGGTCGTCCAGTAATTGCTTAGGGTTAGGGTTAGTAGATGGGTATCAGCGACCTCCCAGAGAGACTGTCACTTGGGATAAATATGGGGGGTTTCTGTGACAGACTAGCATTTCATCTAATGGGAACTAGAAATACTCCTTAGTTACCTGATGTTTTGGGAACTGGAATGCGTTTCAATGGTTTGGGCCTCGTCTTCACGCAAATTCGTTTTCTGTTTTCAGGTATTGGCGCCCAGGCCCTCAAGATAGCTTCTTCAAGCAGAGATACTTCAATTTTGGGTTTTTGTACTTGCAAGACTTGATTGATCGCGCTTTGATGAACATATTGCTGAATGAGACCATTGAGGAACCGGGGGTATACATGCAGGAGTTTCCGTATCCATGCTACGTCAAGGACAAGTGAGTTTATCGGAATTTACAGGTTATAATAGATTGTAGAAGGCGTTTCTCGCTCGAGAGTCATAGAAACACAGGAAAGTATCATAGTGAGGTAACAAGGGTTCTCTGATTTAAAAAAAAAAAAAAAGAATTAAGTGAAAAACACTTGCTCTCTGTTTAGTAGCCATTTTCAGTTTGTAAAACGGAGCGTGGTCATTAACTGCGCGATAGTAGTGGAGGGGTGAAAAGCCGAGGGAGGTTTGGTGTTGATCAAAACGCGACTCAACCCCAGCCTCCCTCGTTTTTTCACTCCACTCCGTTTTGCCAACTGAACGCCTGGAAGAGGCTCGCTGTTCAGCGATTTATCGCATATGATAGCGGTGTCATTAAGCCTTGGTAAATCTGAGACGTGGTATTTAGTTCAGTGCTTTTTGTGGCCTTTGTAACTGTACTTATTGTATCTTCAGGTTTGTATTCTATATCGGTGGCACAATGCCGTTGTTCATGACCCTGGCCTGGATATTCAGTGTGGCAATGATAATCAGAGGTGTTGTTCACGAGAAAGAACGGCGTCTTAAAGAAGTCATGAAGGTAGCATCATCAAACTATCATTGATTACATATAACATTCCTAGTGATTTCACGCGGATTCTCAGGCGACTGGAAAAAATTACGTCCTTGTCAGCAATCGATCCATGGATCAGCATACCACGTGAGGGAAGTGGCACTACTTTCGTTTCTTCAGCTTTGAAACTCTTAAGGGTGGCCAATTTACATTATCAACTCAGTTGATAAAACCAAATTGTCTTGTTACACTCCGCCACCGATGCAGCAACACAGTTTCTTTATAAAACTATCCCATTTATTTACTTATATCACAGTCAGGATAAGCTCCCGTTGCTAATCTGGGCATACCTATTTTCAAAATTGCGCGTCCTTATAAATCGACCATTATACTTCGATTGAAGTCAATTCTCGTTTCTGTTTTTTTAGGTGATGGGTCTTGGTAATGGTGTGCACTGGGTGGCTTGGTTCATTAACAGCTCAATTCTTATGGTCATCACGATAGCTTTACTTGTTGCTGTCCTGAAAGGCGGCAAGATCTTATGGCACAGTAATCCTGTGGTTATCTTCTTGTTCTTGTTCGTGTTCATGATCGCCACTATTATGATGTGTTTCTTGATTTCGGTGTTCTTCGCCCGAGCAAACTTGGCCGCAGCTTGTGGGGGAATCATCTTCTTTGTCACCTATTTGCCTTATGTGGTAGTGCGGTGGTTCGAGCAGTATATGACTACGGGACAGAAAGCTATTGCGGTGAGTTTGATGTATTATAAATTTATAGAATATTTGGGATAGTACGCGCGCTCTCATTGGTCGATAGTCGTGTTTAGAAGAGAGGTTGTAGACAAGGTTGTGACGTGACGCTTTCATTTGACGAATTGTATTTTAGAAATGTTTTCTAAAAGCAACAGAAGACTTTTTCTGTGTTTACGCAGCCTCTTTTCCACACTCGTGAGGTTGAGAGAATTGTCAAAATTTTTGCAAACCCTCGACTGCGTCTTGCATACCTTCCTTGAATTCTCCCACGCGCGTGACAAATGCAAAGCGTCTTTATCCATAACGTTATTTATCAATATTCCACAGAGTTTACTATCCACGACATCCTTTGGTGTCTGCTGCAATTACTTGGCGCGGTATGAAGAGCAGGGGGTTGGTGCCCAGTGGTCAAACTTCTTCTCGAGTCCTGTTTCAGGCGATGGTTTCAGTCTAGGTTATGCAATATGTATGATGATGATTGACGCTGTCATTTACGGCATCCTCACTTGGTACATAGAAGCTATTTTGCCAGGTGAGTGGTGTTTTCTAATTATATGTATTGACTAAGTTAAACGCTTTTAATTAAGATAACACAACCATAACAGCCTGACTGGTTAACCCTTTAACTCCCAGAAGTGATTAACATGTAGCCTCTCCCTATAATATCCTTACAATATTCTGTAAACAGTTAATGAGAATGCTCAAACTTATCAGGTTGAAGTTGTCATCTTGATCTGACACCAAATTCTCATAGCTTGTTCACAAGAAATTGTATAGCGGCTAGAAGGGAGAATCAACAATCAGATCTTGGGATTTAAAGGATTTAGGGGCCAATTCACTACATTTTTGGGATCACAGACGATTGTTTCAATTGAGTGTCGAAAGTAATCAGGGATTGCATTACTTTTTCTTTTCTTCGCTCAGTGATTGGTCAAGAAAACTTAGGCCACTCTTTCTACCAATCAGAAGCAAAGCTACCCCCAATCACGTGACACGGTCACCCGCTTTTTCCCGCGCTTTCAGCAGCAAGCTTGTTTTCACTTTGAGTTTTTATTGGCTCTTTACGATATTTTGCTTTCTGCTGGTTGGTCTGTGCGATGACTTTGATTTTACTGTACGACACTCAATCGAATAGCGCTCCTAAAGAATTGGAAATCTTATAGTAATATCTTGCTAGTATAGCAAATTTCAAAGAGGTAGAGGTCGACTAAAATGAAACGATAAATATCTGAAGATAAAGAGATTAACCCGCATTGCAGATACAATCTTTGAAAATTTGTTTGAAAGGAACAAAACGCCACTGTCCCCCACTGAAGTATAAAGCCACTTACTTACTACCAACCACTGGCGCGTATCGTCCACTAAATTAACACTTGATCATTTTTCTTATCCTTTCACCTTTACTAGGCTGATCGGTTTGAAACGATTTTACCCGTCAATATTAGGCAGTGTGTGTGATATGCAAATCTGAGGTCTTTGGCTTGGCCAACTTCTAATAACGCATCTGTTAGATGTGCAGCAGTTACTAGAGATAATTACTAAACAAATCAGGAGCGTTGAAGTGTTAAGTAATCTTTCCACTGTGTGATTTCCACAGGTCAGTACGGTATTCCACGACCCTGGTACTTCCCATTCCAGAAGTCTTATTGGTTTGAAGTTGCCAACAAAAAGGTCTTGGAGGTTGATGCATCAGATACACAGCGAGTAACCAGCCGCTCTGAAAGCAGAGGAGCGGTGTCCTACAGAAGTGATGTAAGTGGAGGAAGATGAGAAGGGAGGGGGTAGAGAAGGAGGAATTGTAAGGGTGGGCGGGAGAAAGGATGGAGGGAGGAGGGGATGGAGATAGGCAGGAAGAAGGTAAGGGGTGTGGGAGTAAGAGGGCTGCAAGGTTGGAAGAAAGGACGACGGGAAGGATCAGGGGAGGGAGAAGGGTACGAAGGGGTGGAAGGGGCAAGAGTGGAATAAAGGAGGGAGTTAAGCAGGAGGTATTTCTTCAGCCTTCCTGAGCTCTACCTTCCCTTTGAAGAAAGGGTTTTAGCAGGTTCACGTCTCTGTCGGTCTTTGCGCTGGTGTTTTTGTTTTCTTGCTCATCTATGAAGTCATCTATTGTTCCTTCAAGGAGAGTAAACTTTGGCACTTCTTACGTGTCTCTGATTGGACGAACGATTTATTTTCACAGTCGTTCGCTTTTCTGATTGGTTGGTTGTGTATTTGGTACGAATTTTACGCGGGCTTTTTTTTCATGTCTAAATCTCGGTATGTATGAAATAAAAGATATTTAGACACGGGAAATCACTATGGACGGCGCATAAGCATTAAATAAAACGTAGTTAATAAGACATGTAAGATTTAGAAGCTTTTTCCTTTCTTTTTAGAGCGGAGGAATGGACGAAGTTGCCTTCCAAGACGAAGACAGGTGCAGTGTGACAGAGAAAGAACCCACTCAGCTCCCCTTAGGATGTTCAATCAAGAACTTGGTTAAGGTAAGGAAGGCTTTGCACTCCTCCCCTGAGGAGAAGTTTTGTCAATGAAATTCGCGGTAGGGTTGCCTAACATATATGCCAAGTCAGTGGGTTTCTACAGGAGATATGTGCATTAAGACTGGGAGAGAGAACTCGTGTATGTTTTTGTATATCTCTTCTAAACTTGGAAGCATCTCTAACCTGTGACCCCCAAGAGTGATTAGCATCTAAATTCTCCTTACAATATCACCCCTGAATCAAACATTAAGGTCATGACAATAAAGGAAATGATCACCAAGTTAAGAAGCTTTTGATTGGCAAACAAATTCTCCTTGTCATCACGTAGAAAATGTATATGGAACAGTATGGAGAATATGAATGCTAATGTTAATGTGTAAAGCCAGTTAACTCATTGCTTATCCTAGAAGTGGAAAGGACGCCTGTTAAATATGAAGCTATTATAAGCCTAACTCGCTAACTAGTTCTCTGTACAACAGCTGGTGAAGATTTCGGCATTGGAGCTGCTTTATTTTTGTTAGTTTTTAGGGATGCATCTAAATTTAACTCCTTCCCGCTTTGGGTTTCTTTTATTTTTCTTATGCCAGATTTACAAAGATGGCAACAAAGTTGCGGTAGACGGATTGAGTCTCAACCTGTACCAAGGACAAATTACGTCATTTCTCGGCCATAATGGCGCTGGAAAAACTACTACAATGTCTGTATTGACCGGTTTGTTCCCCCCAACATCGGGTACTGCCATCGTTAACGGGTACGACATCCGAAAAGATATCGATTTGGTTCGAAAAAGCCTCGGAATCTGCCCGCAATACAACGTTTTGTTTGATAATTTGACCGTGTCTGAACATCTGTGGTTCTATGCGTCGCTGAAGGGGATGCCTAAGGAAGATATCCCGGCCGAAGTTGAGAGGTAATTGATGACTCTAACTTACAGTTGTTATTGTAAGGTGTGGGTTTTTTTCCTCGCACTGTCATAGCAGAGATTATAGACACATTTATAATAACATTGACAACGTTTCGAATATTATCAGTAATTCCACAACAACAACACGAACAGCAACAGAAAAAACGACGGTGACCATTTCCGTGACTCCAACATGAAAGACACGAGTAGATCGCGATTGGAGGAAGAAGCAACTACCTAAAAAATTCTGACCACAATACTTAAAACGATTGAGGAACTATGGTAACCCGAGTGCGCAAACTTAAGTTAGTGCAAAAAAAACAAAAACTCTTGCGCGATGAGGTTACTTTCCTTGTATATCCATGGCCGATATTAAGTTATTATATTTTTATGTATGATCGTGATCAATCTCTGGGGTAGCAAATAAATGATTCTTTAAGGTGGACTGCAATTTAGCAATTGTAGAAAAGAAGCTAAGAGCAACGGGTTCGAACCCGTGGCTCTTAGATATTCATGCTATTGGTTTGTCATTCACGATTGATAGTGTTCACAACATGGTTACATGCCTCCTACGGACACGAAGACAGGTGAAAAAAAAGGGGTTTTTAATAAAAAAAAATACTACTTGGGCTTTTCCCAGTGCTTTCGACCCCATGGTTATGTTTTTAATTGTTATTCATTAGGGTTAATGTGATCAGTTAAATAATCTTTCCTTTTACTTCGTTAGATTCTTAAAAGATGTTGGCTTGGAGGACAAGAGACATGAATTATCTTCATGTCTCTCTGGTGGAATGAAACGGAAACTCTCCGTGGCCATGGCCTTTGTAGCAGGCTCCAAAGTCGTCATCCTGGATGAGCCCACAGCTGGTGTTGACCCATACGCACGGCGAGGAATCTGGGACTTGCTTCTTTACTACAAAACAGGTACTTTATGTGTGATTGCTTGGATATTGCTCCATTCCAAAGCAAAATCTTCGAATCTCAGACGGCATAGACAGTTATTATTAAGATCTTCGTAAACTGGACTTCCGTTTTTGATTGCTTTAGGCCGCACTGTGCTTCTCTCCACGCATCACATGGACGAGGCAGACATCTTGGGAGACAGAATCGCCATTATCTCACAGGGGAAGCTTCAGTGCTGTGGTTCTTCTTTGTTCCTCAAGGGACATTATGGCAACGGGTACTACATGACACTCACTAAGAAGGCTCCAGAGGAGAGGCCTGGTACGGCAAGGACCTTAAAGGACGTGACGTTAATGGGGTCGGGCCCTTCAACCGGGAGCTCTCTAGATGAAGGTCAAATTAGATTAAAGAGTTCAAGGGAATGTAGAGGTTATCAATTGACTTTCAGGAGGCCAAAACTAAAACAGTCGCAACAGCCAATAAGAACGAAGGAAAATATGACAAGAAGCCAATCGAAAGTCGAAGAAAATCAAGTAAATTTTCTGAAGCACGCCGGGAAAAAAACCCGAGTGGGCAAGTCGCGTGTAGTTTTAGTTTGAATCTGATTTGTCGAGAAAGTGGCGCAAGGTTTCAGAACCAATCACAGAGCGAAGTAAGGCAAACCAAAGCAACCTAGTAATGCTTTCGACTCTCGATCAGATATTTAATGGAAAATGTAGGCGAAGTTTATAAGGAAAACAATGACGTAGATTCCCTAAGTTAAGTAAGATTATCGTACTGTAAATTTATTCAATATATCTGTTTGCTTATAATTGTCCGTCTAGAAGTGTATTGTATTTTTTCTTTCCTCAGGTGTTGGTATGGACTCATTGGACGCTTCAGAACAAGGGAGCCTCAATTCCGTGCCTGCAAAATCCTCCTCAGACCCCTCTCTGCATGTCACTGAAGTGTTCTGTAAGGAGTCAGCGGTAACTTCCTTCGTCAAGGCCTATATCCCCTCCGCTGAACTGATCGAGGACATTGGGTCCGAGCTAACTTACGTTCTGCCCACTGAGTTAGCTGGAGAAGGCCGCTTCCAGGATCTGTTTGAAGAGCTTGATAGAAACTTGGATAAACTACACATTGGTAGTTATGGCGTGTCAGATACCACTCTTGAAGAGGTAACGTTGTAGTTTTTGAGAACACTTACTCCCAAGATATGAGTCGTAATTCTCGCTACAGGTCTCATATTTTTCCTTGTAAAATGTGTGAGAGAATTCGGTGTTAAATCAAGTCAATGTCTAGCGTGTGAAGTGGTCTATTCTCGTCGCCTATTTGCGGAATAATCTGTTGATACGTTAGGGAGAGGTTACTGTTTGATCAGCTCTGGAACCTGTGACTTGATTAATCTCTCTCTAAAGTCTATAGTTAGGAAGAAAATTGATCATGAGTGGAAGGTTAGTTAGGAAGAAAGGTGTTGATCATGAGTGACCAACATCTAATCTCTCTTACAGTAAGACTACTGTCTTGTTCATTGAGATCATGAGAATAAAGGAAATGGTCGCCAACCTAAGGAGCTTTGATTGTTTGACAAATTCTCCTTGTCGGTACCAAAGGAAATGTAAGAGAGCAGTATGGAGAATATATATACTGGGTTAGGGTGTAAAGGATTATCCAAACAGGATCAATATCAGTATTTGGGCAACGGCCCACCTACCCCTCCCCTAACCCAACATTCACCCTAACTTATTATCAATTGACTGTCGTTGGGTTAGGGGAGGGGTAGGTGGGCAGTTGCCCCGATACTGATATTGATCCAAACGAGCTAACATTGAGTGGGTGTAAGTCTCATGTGTTTTCTCCTGGTTTTAACTCAAAGGGCCGTTTACCTACACAAGGTCCAGCCCAAACCACGGTTTTGCTTAATCAGTGGGCCTTAGGCTTTCCCTGTAAGAGGGATGATTTGATTAAATAAATGTTCTTTCATTGTTAGCTTTCGGCCATTTTGACATAGTTCCCAAAGATAAATGTTCTGATAAAAGGTCCAGCTAAATTTAGGATTGTTTTGGACGCGGTTTTTGGTATACAGCGGCTAAACTTTGTTTAAATAACCGGCGCAAAGATTTTACCAACATCTTTTTATAGCTACTATTTTGGCGACGGAGTTACAAAGGTTGAAACATTTTATTGTTATAACGTGACGCTCACCACTTTCTTCATTCTTTTATTTTTCCTAATCAGGTTTTCTTGAAAGTAGCCGAAGAAGCCAACGCCGAAGAAGAAGGTAAGACCACCAAGGTGTTTTTGCCTTTCAAGACTTGATCTCTCATTAATATGTGAATACGCCAACAATACTGCGCATGTGTAATGCTTTATTCTGTACAATTACGATGCGAAAAACACAAAAAAACACTGGGACCGTTTCGTTATAGCTTACATCAAACGAATCTTGTTTCTCCACTTTATATCTTCCCTACGTCGCACAAACAATCTTACCCCTATCTCATTCTTTAAACACCGATTTTATTTGTTAAATTTAAACCACAACTTTTTATTTTGCAATTTTTGTTTTTCCATGATCACCAGACATGCTTGCCGCTGAGATGCCCAAACGCCGACCCAGTTTCCGCACTCAGCTGAGCCGCAGTTCAAGAATAAGCGACAGTTACAATGACAGAGAACAGCTATTGGCTGATGATAGTCAAGAATCAAATGGTGAGACTTGTAAACAACCAGTAACTGAACGATACTATTGCCCAGTCGCTATTTGTGTTTTGTGATCGAGAGAAGATTGGAGTTGAGTGGAAAGGGGCGCCCGAAGTCAAAGATAACCTTGTTCGCGGGCTCTCTTTCCTTATCTTCCGAGGGGTACTGGGAAGGGAAGAAGCCACGAGAGCGAGGTTGAGATTAACCAAGCGAGTACTCAGTGCGTACTTTATGTTTGGGGTACTTCAGTGGTTTTGTCTTTCTGTCACAGAGACTGCACTGATTTGAGTCAGACCTTGATCATTTTTTTCTATTTTTATTGTTTCCGTTGCTATTTGACATGATTCAACGTCAGGGTTGGAGATTCAAGCTAGAGAATATTCAATTTCGCTCGCAACGTTTTCTTTAATAGGGAAAAAAGTTTGGACAAGGTCTCTTTGGTTGCTGATGTCGCCAAGAATCAGCCAGTGCCCTTTTTTTTAACATTTTTTGACGTAATTGCTTTGAGAGGCTGGAAATTTTTGATATATTCAGCACCGGAGGAAAACAATTTTAAACTGGGAGCTTCAAGAGAAATATATGGGGACATGGATTGACAGAACTGGAAAAGATCCAGCGAATTACATCTGGGTCAACCCTTAAAACTCCCTAAAAGATCAACATCTATCTTCTCCTTACAATTTCAATGCATTATCCAGGTCATGACAATTGGTAAACTTATCAGACAGGTTTTGTTATAGTGATACTGATATAACACCAAATTCTCATAACTTATGTATAAGGAATCTTATAGCAGGAGGATGGGGGAATTTAAGAAGGATCACTGACTTATTTCATTTTAGCAGATGACGACACCCCCTCTGTGCTTGATGCCCTGGATGGAGTTTACGACGGAGAAAAGAGACTGACAGGTGTCAAGTTACTGAAAGGACAATTCTGGGCTCTGCTAGTTAAACGGTTCCATCATACCAGAAGAAATCGGAAAGGATTCATTTCTCAGGTAGAACTATTATTAATGGAAAAAGCAACAGTTGTGAAAGCCGAAATATTTCTGTGTTAGATCGATTTTTTGATCGATTGTTGTAAACCCAAAACCAAAAAATCTTAACGACCAATCAGAGCAATGGAGAATATCGCGAGGAGCCAATGAGAAATCGAAGAAAAAGAAAGCGGATCAATACCTACCCCTCCCCTGGTTCAACAACAATCAACTGTTATAAAGTTAGTGTAATTGTTGGGTTAGGGGAGGGGAGGGGAGGGGTAGGTGCACAGTTGCTCCAATACTGACTTTGTTCAAGAAAGCTCACTGCCTGAAAAGCGGGATAATGCGAGTGGCAAAGTTTTAGCTAGTTTTAATTTTTTCCTCATCGGTTGAGAGGGAGAAGCGAATGACCCATGACAGAGTGAAGTAAACACAGACAAATGCATTCACAGAATGCTTTCGACACTAAACTGAAAACTGCTTGAGATTGAAGGTTTTTGGAGCTAACCGTTCATGGAACTTCGGTATTACGACTGAGTCTGTCGTTCGTTTTTTCAGATTCTGCTACCTGCTTTCTTTGTCTGCCTGGCCATGCTCGTGTCACAGATCAGACCAGTTTCAGAGATGCCAGCACTTGAACTGAACACCGACATGTTCTTAGACCTCGATCCACATGAGCATTACTTGGCGTTTGCTTTGGATGACAATGGAAAGTCAGTTTTGACGCAAAACATGATGGATATGCTGGTGCAGTATCCGGGAGTTGGTGAGTTGAATAATCGACCTCCGTTATCCGCTTCCAAAATATATAGATTTGCAGCAGTATACGGGGGCAATATGCGTAGCCTATCACGTTACAGGATTTTGTACCGTCTTTAACATTACTCTTCACTGCTTTAGGGACGTCCTGTTTGGAAAATTCCTGTAAAAGAAAACCAATAAAATTCAGTCCGGCTCCAAAAGAAAATGTCAGTACTTTACAATGTGACTGTCGATCAACCGGAACTGCAAAATGTCCCGCGGGTGCCGGCGGCCCTAGGCCTTCTCAGTGGCAGTCGTTTACTGGTGACAGGCTACAGAACTTGACTGGGCGCAATATGACGGACTATCTGCTCAAGACGTATCACAATTTTATTCGAAAGAGGTAGGGATTCTATTGCGTTTGATGTTATTGCCATGCAGTCAAATGTTAAAGGTCCTGTGCTGCCAGCAGTGATCTTTTTTGTCGTTCGTTTACACCTTCGGTACAAACCAAAATGACGTCTTGGACTTCTTAAGTTTCCTGGCAAAGGCAGTGTCAATCTTTATATAATTTTCGTGTGCAAGACCTCGAAGGGAACAACATGACAGGTCTGGTTGTAGTAAAGGGTTAGGAATTTCGTGGCGTTTTTGCGTTTTTGCGGTGTCCTATACTGCTACCCATGTCTTTTGTCGTCGCTAGTTCAGCCCTTCAGTGCTATTTTGATTGACGTCATTTGTGCACAAAGTTCCGCAGAAAGACAGCACACTCCTCAATTTATGTTTGTGTATTAGGTATCCTCGAGAATGACATTCTCTCCCGAAGTGTTCCGTGCTCATGACATATCTGATCGCAATACAGGCGAACTCGCTTCGAAGTCATTAATAACGCTTTGTCCCGTGGTAAGGAAGAATGATAATTGGACTGAGATCGGAATTGGTGCTTTGTAAACTACCATAGTAATGCACAGGTGTCAAGAACTGTTTTCATAAGCGGCTGTGCCCGAAAAGGGGCCTCAAGGCGAAACCTAACTCGAACCTGCGAGCAGATAGACCAGCGGTGAAGTGGCTTCTTTTGAAACCCCTGATTTTATAACTGTTTTCTTTTCCTGTTGTGTTTCAGATATGGAGCTGTAACCCTCGGAGATAACTTCAGAAATCTGCCTAGCTCTTTCTCTCAGTCAAACGTTTCGTACCTCAGCGGTATTTTTAAGCAGCGCAATGCAAAGGTAAATCTGTCATTGAAGTGTTTATTGTTTCTCTCACATAACCTATTTACCACTTTGACTTAGTAAATATCTTACCACCGTTGCACTATATATAGGCACAGCTAAATAATGAAATGCTACGTCACAGGTGTGCGGTCAATAACGCGGGCTCAAGCGTAAGAGGGAAAAAAAATTCAGCGAAATTTTCAGGAAAAAAGGGCTGGCATTTAAACCGCGGCACCTTGTTGTCGTGGAAGGCATTTTCCTATTTCTAGTTAGCTCTCGTCACTCGCTTTATTTCTTTGTTGTTACAGGCCTGGTACAACACTAAGGGTTATCATGCTGCCCCGACATTCCTAAACATACTGAACAATGTGATCCTCAGAGGCAAGGCTCGCGAGAAAGGACTGAATGCGTCACTGTTTGGTACGTTAATGAAAGTGAACTATTGCGTTACTTTTCATGTCACGCATGGCTGGTGTTACTTTAAGCGCTTTTGATCGAGTGTCTGAATTTTCAAAACCACTGTAACTGCATCAGCCAATCAGACCAGAGGTGAACTTTGCTGGGAGCCAATGAGAACTTAGAGTAAATGAGTGCAAAAGGCCTGAAACGCGGAAAAACGTGTGAGTTACGGGTGATTGGCTTACGTTTTATTTTTTATCTGATTGGCCGAGGGGAAGATGCAAGTTTTCCAAACCTTTTTGAAAAAAAAAAATTTAACGGCAAAACCAATGCAATATCAGACTACCTTTTTGCACTCAATTTGGTAATCGAAATCGACAATATAATATTGTAAACTTAGCTTTGTTTGTCGACTGGAGATGTATTCCATAACATAAGTATGTTGCTTTTAATGTTGTTTTGTGGGTTTTTCATCAGGTATTAACACCTTTAATCACCCTATGAACTACACCAAGGAACAGCTGAGCGAGGAAAATCTGTAAGTTAGGCCCTGGAGCCGAGTTTGTATTTTGGAAATGACAAGGAAGTCAAACCACCAAGTAGAAGACTGGTCAAAGGCGCGATCTCTACACTTAGGGACATATCACCTTTTTTCAGGAAAAGGAGGGGTGGGGGGTGAGGGGTGGGCTGATGCATTTTTATCTTCCTCTTCATAATTTCCCGTGGCCCTGTTCTTGTCACACTGCATAAAGTCATGTGCCCCCTCCCCCCTCCCTGTGAGTGGCTTGTCGTTGGTCCTTACTTTTTTCTGTTGTAGAAAGGAAAATGAACTGCACAAGAAAACGTGACCGACCGCTGAGAAATAGTTGCAGCTCAACAGTTCATGACCCCCTCCCCATTTACACCAGCCACCCTTCCCCTATTACAAATGACAGGTCCTTTGTTCAGTAACTTGATGGACTTTTTCTCGTTTACTCATTCGGCCTAAATTTTTCATCTTTTATTGCTGTAATTTCTTTATTCAATCCTTAGTCACCTTTTTGTCTTTTTCGTTTATCATCACCTTTTTTGTGCTTCTCTATCTGCACAAGCCAATCTTTTATAGACTTCTTTGCACCGAAAGAAGATGCACCTTTTCCATAAGCTGCCACTTGCCACTTTAAATAGTCAGTTCTTTCAATAGAAGCCTACTGCCTAAAAGTTCGAAAGATTTAGGATGAAGACCACTCAAATTTGTTGCAGTGCTGCATTGATGCCTCTTTGTTTCATTCTTTTTAAGTTTCAACCGTATTGTTGACGTGCTTGTGGCCATCTGTGTGGTGTTCGCCTTGTCCTTCGTTCCCGCCAGCTTTGTTGTCTACCTAGTCAACGAGCGAGCCTGCAAAGCCAAGCATCTGCACCTGGTCAGCGGTGTGCGCCCGTTCATCTACTGGCTCGCTACGTACGTCTGGGACTTGGTGAGTAGGGGCTGAATGGTGGATATAAATACAGATCCTCGTACACGACACCACAGAGAAAAGTTTCCCTTCCTTCCTTCCTTTCTCCCAGCACTGTTTTTTTTTTCGTCTTTGCCTTCCTCGACAGTACTGTCATGATTGCTAACGTGTCATGTTTGTTTTTACAGTTCAACTACCTTATTCCAGCAGTGTGTTGCATCTTCATTTTCTTGGCCTTTGGTGAAGACTCTTACACTTCATCAAGTAATTTCGCACCGACCTTCCTTCTTCTTATCCTTTACGGGTATGTTGAACTTGAATGTCCTTTTTCAATTACAAGGGAAGGAAAAAATTCACTAAAACTATTACACGGATCAATTTGAACCCAATAATGAATTGCGTTGCATGGAAGTACCAATTGATAGTAATTTTCTTCTCTGAAAAGTCACCCGCCAGGTTTTCATTGTCATACTTGTGCGCTCTGATTAAACACAAGAGGCAGTATTTTTCTTCGCTATTCTGCCCTTAACCCTTTAACCCGTAAGAGTGACCAGCTTCTAGTTTCTCTTTACAATATCACCCCTGAATCACACATTAAATCCACGAGAATAAAGGATCACTTACTAGAAAGCTCTCGGTTGTTAAACAAATTCTCCTAGCCAGAACTGTATAAAATGTATGTAGAACAGTATGGAGAACATGCATACTGATATTGGGGTGTAAAGGGTTAGGCGTTTATGCATTTATTTAAAATTTGTATATTGAATTTATGGTTTACGGAGGTAACGCCTTTATACTGATGACTGGACTATTCTCATCATTTGTCTCTTTGAATTATGGGTTATGTCACATGGTAATCACGTGATACTGTTCTGGTTCTTTCCAACCTCACAGATGGGCCATCACACCTCTCATGTACCCGGCGTCTTTTCTGTTCAAGGAGTCAAGCACAGCTTACATCGTTTTGATTTGTGTCAACATATTTATTGGAATCAACAGTACTCTGGCTACATTCATCTTGGAGTTCTTTGTTGACGATCAGGTGAGGGATTGAAACGAATATAGATCTAAAGATTATAGAACTTAAGGTACAACAACTCGGAAATGCCGATGCTATTTCCGAGTTGTTGTACCATTGTTTTCTCCGCTGGGGTATTGTATGATTACTCTTATTTGACTGTTGCGTTCTTGGTTTATAAATTTAGGAGCTCATTGCGGTTGTCGAGATGCTGAAGAAAATTTTCCTGATTTTTCCAAATTTCTGTCTGGGCCGAGGATTAATCGATCTAGCTAGAAATCAGTTTATGGATGTATTTGAGAGGTTTGGTGAGTATCTTGTTTGTTGTTTGTATTTTCTTTACAAACAGTGGTATGAAGCAATGTAACCCATCCTTCTCACACTTCCCCTCTCTCCCGAACATAAATGGCGATTGTTTTCCCCCTTCCCCCCCCCTTTTTTTTATCAGTACAATTTCGGATGATTATGCCCATTTCAGAGAACGAACAGTTATCTTGTGTGACGTTTAGTTAACCATAGATTATATAGGGAACCACGGTAGCCTTTTTATTCGTTTCACCCTCAGGATATGAAAACTAACTCTTCTTTCCATCATTAACACAAACAAAAAATCTTCGTTTTGTTGTGTGCGTATGGAGATAAATGACATAAATATTGTTCTACTTTATATTTATTGCTTTGTTTTTATTTTCCTTTTAGGGCAAAATTTGGTGCGAGATCCATTCAGCTGGGACATCACTGGCCGAAACATTATGATGTTGATCATTCAAGGCTTTGTGTTCTTTTTCTTCACTGTCTTGATCGAATATCGCTTCTTCCTGCCGAAAAGGTTTGCTAGTTGTCTTTCCTTGTGATACTTTCGCAGTGTACTTTATGAAGTATGGAGTTGCTGCGATTACAGGGCAACTGCCGCTGATTACCATACAAGCGAGTCACATTTGTTCCTGGAAACCTGCAATGAGTGGCTAAAGCCTAGGCAAACTCTACTACTTTTCAATCTTTTCCCATAATTTTAATTTATCTCCTCCTCTCCCCCATTTCAATGTTGCCTGGTGTTAAGAAAATGCTCACTGATTTCAGGGAAGTAAGGGGAGGCGTGCCAACTAATTTCGCCACTCATTGTAGTCATAGTCTTTATGTAAAATCCCATGATCTGATAAAGTTAAGCACTTACTGCCCGGCTCCAAAAGAAACATTGTGCCTGAGGGTTTAAAAAGTTAAAGTTGTAGTAATGTGTCTCTTTTTTTCCCTACTAGACGGGTGAATGTCACACTCAAACCATCAGAAAACGAAGATGAAGACGTAGAAAAGGAACGAGAACGAATTGAAAGAGGAGAAGGAACGGATGATATCCTGCGACTCAAGAATCTCACCAAGGTAAGTTTTAAACTGAACGTAAGACGTGGTGAGACTTTATGGCACAAGTCTAGCGTTTTTCTTATATCAGAAAAACTTAGGAGACACATTTGCTTGACTTATTTGCGCGCTCCAAGTGGTTTATGAAAGGACTCAACTCATCCATGTTTGACTCGTACTTGTCACTGCTTTCTCACACCTTTTCTGCGCTTAAAGGCAACGTTCAATCGAGGAAAAATCCGCGATTTCATTTGTTTTGCTTTGCTCTGTGACTGGTCCAGAAAACATGTGCCACTATACTCAACTAATCAGAGGAAAGTTTAAGCCAATTACGACTTAGTCACTCACTTTTCCCGCGTTTCAGCTGGACAAGAGGTTTGCTTGTTCCTACCTCGAGTTCTGATTGGCTCCTTGTGATTTTGCGTTAGTTCTGATTGGCCGTTTTGGTTGCTTATCTTATTTTTCACGACACCCCAAATAAACTAGGCGTAAATAATATTTTGTCTACACTTCCTTTAATTATTTACACTCTAACATCAGTAAGCACACTCTCCACACTATTTTCTATACATTTCCTGTGGTACCTACAAGGAGAAGCCTCTTGAGTTGGTGATCAATTTCTTTATTCTCCTGACCTTAATGTTTGATTCAGTGGTGAAACCGTGGGGAGAAATTGGATGCTTATCGCTCTTAGTGGTTGAAAGGTCAAGGTGTCTGCGGCTGATGTGCTGTTTGTGTTTGTGGTTGTTTTTTTGTGATGCGACTAATTTTTTAACGGACGTAAACAAATCTGATCAATATCAGTATCTGGGCAACTGTCCATCTACCCCTCCCCTAACTCAACAACAGTCAATTGATAACAAGTTAAGGTTAATGTTGGATTAGGGGAGGGGTAGGTGGGCAGTTGCCCAGATACTGATATTGATCCCAATTTTTTAACGGACGTAAAACAAAATTGTACCCGATGAAAAGTAACGACTCATGTTTCTGTTGTTTTGTGGAATTGTATTGAGCCAGCTCCTCTATTTTATAGGTGTACAAAACTAGACGGATGAGGAACGTGGCGGTGAATCGGCTGTGTGTCGGGGTCCCCAAAGGCGAGGTGAGACCAGTTTAATCGGTTTTTATGGGATGTCCATATTGAATTGACTAAGTATCTCATCACGAGAGAGATAATATTCCAGGTGTCAATATGTAATAATTGAGGAATTTTAAAACCTCTAATTGATTTATTGTGGTCAATTGGAAGTCTGATAAAGGTAACTAAACTTACATTGCACTTTCCTTTAACGAGGTGCCAGCGCTTGAAGCTTCAGTTCTTTAAAATTGTTGATGGTTGTTTATCTGCCTTTATCAACTTGTGTTTAATAATGAACTTAGACCTCTAACAAGTGATTCTTTTATTTTCCTCTCAGTGTTTTGGATTGCTTGGAGTAAACGGCGCTGGAAAAACAAGCACCTTCAAGATGTTGACGGGCGATATTTCAGTTACTTCAGGAGAAGCCTTCGTCGATGGCTACAGGTGAAGTGTCTTCAGTTTGGTTGGTTACTTTAGATACACAACCGAGAATTTCGGTTATACTTGATTCAACGTCGGAGTTAATTTGGACTTGAGTTGGTTTACCTGACTTCGCTCTGTGATTGGTCTTAAAAACTCATGCCAGTCTCTCAACGAATCAGATGCGATCAGTTAAGTGCGTTATCCAGGGGTTTCAATGATCTTTTTCTTAAGCAGCTGCCGTTGGTGTAATATTAATAAGCAGCTGTGCCTGGAATAGGGTCAGTAGGGGAAAACTGAATACGAGAACCTGCTCCCAGGCTAAACAGACGGCGGCGAGAAGTCTTGTTGGTGGCGGCTGACCACCAATTACCGACTTTAATGGAAACGCCTTGCCTTATCCCTCGCTTCACGCGGTTTTCTGAATTTCGTTTTCGAAATGAGCTCTACTAGTGGATAACTGTTCTCATCCTTCGTTTTATTGTTATTTTTCACCATCAGTGTCTTAACTGACATTCACAACGCGCACCAATCCATGGGATACTGTCCTCAGTTTGATGGGCTGGATAGTAAGCTGACTGCCGTTGAACACCTTCGACTGTATGCACGCCTCAGAGGAGTTCCCGAAAAAGACGTCAAACAGGTTTGAAAGGTTTCCTCATTAACCATTTAGCTTCCGGAACATATCAATACCCAACTTTTCGTTACAATTTGGATATATATCATTTATCTTCCAGCCAATGAGGATATAAAAAAATGATTGGATAACAGATCTTGTAAGAGAAATTTTCTGTAGTTGTTAGTTATAGGGCCCATCTCTGTGGTTGTGTAGCCTCATAAAAAAAAATGGAAACAAACGATTAAATGGAACAGAAAACACTGCTTAACCCCGAGACAGGAACGTTGAGGGGGAACAAAGTCCTTTTTCCTCGTGGAGACCAGGTCACGTGCGAGTCGCTCTTGGGAAGTAGTGACTGTTCGCCTATGGCACGTCACGTATTCTCCTCCAATCGGAAAACGTATTTGGATTACGAGCCGGTGTAACAATCTCTTTGATCACTTTTGTTTACAGGTCGTCGAGAGCCTCATTGCTCGGATGAATTTGACTGAATACGCCAACAGATGTGCAGGAGGGTACAGCGGAGGAAACAAGAGAAAACTTTCCACAGCTATTGCCTTTAGTTGGCAATCCACCAATTGTTTTCCTGGTAGGTCACCGTTGTCTTTTTGTCCTAAATTTGTCTCCTAGTGATTCGCGTACCCCGTGAACACTACCACAGAAAATTATGCGTCACTTCTTGTTCATCTTCGCGATCCGTTCCAGTCTTCTCCTTTTCCGAACACCCTAACATCAGTTTGCATATTCTCCATACTGGTCTCTTAACATTTCCTAAGGTGCTGATAAGAGGAATTTCTTTAACAATCAAGAGCCTCTTCAGTCAGTGATCATTTTCTTTACTCTCGTGACCTTAACGTGTGATTCAGGGGCGATATTGTAAGGAGAAATTAGATGCTAGTCACTCTTAGTGGTTAAAGGATTAAAGTTGTAAACGAGCTGCACATGTGGTGTAAAAACGCTTGGTAATTTCGTTACGTTACGTTACGTTGTGTTTCTTTCCGTTACTTGTTGTGGTCATGAAATCTCAATTTTTATTTTCAGGACGAACCGACCACAGGTATGGATCCAAAAGCTCGCCGATTCTTGTGGAACGTAATCACTAGTCTCGTAAAAGAAGGACGCACAGTCATTTTGACTTCCCACAGGTAAACCGTCAGAGAAGATGTATAAACTTGTTTGAATCGATATATCTAACCACTATACACAAGTAGGAAAAATCAGTTATGCAACATATATTCGTCAATCTGCGAAGTTTACTGAAGATAATATCTATTGAAAACCTGGGCTCTCAAGGGTAAATGATAGCTACGGGTTGGGAATTAGTAAAAAAATTCTTCTTTCTTCTGGGAAAGAGTTGACATGCGGTTTATGCCAAGTCTTTTTTTGATCTCGATTACTTCTCTTTTACGCAGTTAAGGAAAGTTGAGCTTCCAACGGATCTAAGGGATTTAACTCTATATCTGACCACTTTGTTATCTCTTTGCTGTTTCCCTCTTAGTATGGAAGAATGTGAAGCACTGTGTAGTCGAGTTGCCATCATGGTCAATGGACAATTTAAGTGTCTCGGCAGTCCACAGCACCTCAAGAACAAGTAAGTGATGAAACTATTCACAGTCAACCCTTTGACTCCTCAGATATGATAAACAATTCTCCCGACAAGTCATTGTACATCTCCACTTTACGTTTTGCTTGTTCTTTCGCATTTAAGATACATGTAGACTTATGAATTTTGTTATGTATGTAATAGATATGGAGATGGCTATACAGTGACTCTGCGAATTGGAGGAGAAAATCCCAATCTGGAAGCTGTGTCGGAGTTCATAAAAAGCTTATTTCCTAGTGCTGTTCTCAAGGTATCGATTGCGTTGTATACCCTGAATTGTTGTTTCTAAGACACGTGACACACCCTTCCTAACCATCTGAACCACCTCCCAACCTACTTACTTACCAACCTGCGTGCAAACCTGTCTGCCTTTTTACCCATCGATAGACGTGCGTACCAATATATCTCCTTATCTGCTTATCTATCCAACAAGTACTTACTTAATGTTTAACTTACTCAATTACCCACCTACCTAACTTTCCATCTTTCATGTGGCCTCCCTTCCGGTCAAACTTTCGTTAAAACTTGCCTACCCTCTGTTCACCTTTCCTCCCATTCTATCCGGGTAACATTCCTACCTTTTACTTTCCTACTCGCTCGTCTACTTACGCCACCTGTGTTCCACGCTTCTTTCCATTAATCTTCCGACCCGAGAGGCCACAAACCCCGTAGCTTCGTAACATAGTTTCCATCCTTTTCCTTCCCAACCGACGCTCCTGTCTGTGTACCTACGGTTACCTTTGGTTTCTTCTTCTAGAAAGCCTATCACCTTGTCTGCTAACCCATGAACAGTACGAGTTTATATCTTCTTCGTTAACTGATTGGCTTGCTTTCGACTTTCTCTGCAGGACCAGCATCATAACCAGTTGCAGTATCAATTCCCATCTCAAGGCCTTGTTCTCTCTAAAGTGTTTGGTCACATCGAAGCCAACCGAAAAATATTTGACATTGAAGACTATTCCGTTTCACAGACAACCCTTGATCAGGTTTGTTGATCTTAATATGACCAACATCCGCCAGGTTTTATATCAGATGGATAGCCTAAGAGAGAATAAGATCCTATTAGTTATGATGAGAGAGTGAAAACCAAAAGATCGCTAAGTTAAGACAGCCAAAGTCAACCCTAGGGGTTTCAATGAAACCCGGTTGCTGGCGGTACACCGCCGTCTGTAGGACCTCTTAAAACTGTCTTTTTGACCTGCGGGGTTTTGCATTACGGCACCTTCTACGGGCGACGCAGTGTTTTAAAGTGTTTTATGAGACGAAGTCCTCCCTCTGTGTTTTAATGCATACATACATATACGCGTCATCACTATGTACAATCGAATTTAAATCAAGTGAAATTTAATTAAACGAACACACAAGACCGCTACTGTAGCTTTTCTTTTGCGTTCTGCTTCAGTACTTCGTAGCTGACCTAGTTCTCCCACATTCCTCTTAAACTGTCCGTCGGCTGGTAATGAAATAGCTATGCTAGTATTTAATTTTATGTCTCTCTGTTTAGGTGTTCATTAACTTTGCAAAGAATCAGACGGATGGTGAAGAAAATGAAGACGTTGCCAGTTACCCGCGTGAGTTCGCGATCAGCGAACCGCCGTACCGTGACGAGGACGCCGGGCCAAGAGCGTCGTTTGTCCGTTTGTCCGATTATCCACGTTTTGGGGATGTTGAGGTCTGAATATCCCTTAAAAAGTTAGAGAGAGCGAAAAAAAGAAATTCTGATTCCTCTCCGGAAATTGCCCTTTCTAGATCACCGCCATTTCTTTTCTACCGACAAACAAGCAGTTCAGTTCACAGAAACTGTACGAAATGTTTCCATCAATGGAGGTGTCTCTTTAGTGGGGGAACATGAACAAAGGTAATAGATACAGTTTAGATAGGATCAATGGTTGTGTCCCATGAACAAAGGTTTTCCGTAAGTATAAGTGTGTCAAAAGAGAAGTTGCATTTTAGACTTAACCCTTTAACTCCCAAGATCTTATTGTTAATTCTCCCCTCTTGCTGTTACACATTTCTTTATAAATCGGGAGCAAGAATTTGGTGATAGATCAAGATAGTGACTTTTACCCGATGAGTTTGAATATTCTCTTCACCTGTTTGCTGGTTACATCTATGGATATTTTACAGAGTAGTTTCATGTTAATCACTTCTGGGAGTTAAAGGTTTAAGACATTGAATTGAATTTGTAGAAGGTAGAAATATAGGGTCTGGTGGCTTTTGAATTTTCGTTTTTACTTTTAAGTACCTATGCCTTTTAAACGGCAGTCATTTTTAACTTTGAACCTATTCTATCTTGTTTCGTTGTCTGCTATTTCTTAGTTTGCTGTTAAAATTTTTACTGCCGATGTAATTTGAGCATTTTTTAAGACGCTTACTGTTAGGTTTAAACTGATTAAGCTTTTTTTCAAGTTTAAAGAAATAGTGGAGAAAAGAAATGATAATTGCCTTCATCGTTAAATCTATAAGTTTCCCAAGTTGGAATCGGTTTACTGTTGTCTATTTCTATTCTGACATCCGCAACATGTTTCTATTTTCACATGCGCAATGTTAGTGCTCTGGATGCTCGATCAAGGCTGAAACTCAAGCGGGATTCGTAGAGAAAAGCTAAATGGGTTCAGTCATCTTTTTTGCTATAATGTTTCTAAATGCAGCGTTGTCTGTTTGTCTCCCAAGCTACTTGACAAAATAATGGAGGATATCTAAGTTGGGAAGTGGCGACGGCGAAACGAAAATCCAACAGGGGAGGGGACGGACAAAACACAGATTCTCGTCTCTCTCCCTTACCCCCTCCCTCTCTCCCCCCCCCCTCTCCTCTCTCCCTGCCCTCCTGCCCTTCGGCTCCGCGGTTGCTTGTTAGGAATTATTAAGTTAGGCTGGGACAACTGGAAGCTTTAGGTCTACCGGATCTGAGGCTACAAGCTCCCGATGTCTTTTTAACGTATTCCTTTTGCTCTTAAGGTTAGTAAATAGCTTGTAAAATGTATGTTTTCAAAGAAACGGGTTGCAAAACAACCTTTAATTTATTAGACTTAGTACGCCCTCAATAAATTTTGAACATTGGTACCTAGTACACATCTCGGTAGAAAAAAACAGAGGTAAGCCTGGTAACAACAGTCTGGCACTGTTGTTCTGTAGTTCAGCTTCATCCGTTTTTTCTGCTGCGATTAGACTTGGTAACAAGTAGTGTTATTACAGATATAAATTGTCTAAGAACTTATTTTGTAAATGTTTTATTTTTAGGTATCTTTATATTTGTTGTACTTGTTTTAAGACATGAAATTTCTCAATAAGAGAAAACACGTAGGTTAAATACAGGAAACATTTCTTTCGAAGAGAAACTTCCTAAAAATCCTTGTGTTTTGAAAAAGCTAGGAAAAGACTTGGAGTCCTCCAATAAATTGCTTAATGTTACAAAAATCTTAATGTTTACTATTCTTGTCTTTGAGTACTTTTTATTAAATAATTTACTTTGTTTACTCGCTGCGCGACTTTTCTGAACCAATCACAACAAAACGCAAAACCAAAGCAATCCCAGATTTCTTTCGGCACTCAGCTGAAAATTTCTGTGAAGGCGCTGACTATTCTGACACAGATTCTAAAACCGCCCTTGGGCCTTCCATTTTGATATTGGATCTACGACCCCATAACTTTCGCTTCAATTGCCACTCTGTCGTCTACCAAGTCCAGTAATACTTCTAACAGTGGAACACCAAACGTTCCTTGTCGCTTTAGCGCAGATTCCACCTCCGCCAGCCAGGCTTTCTCCTGTTCGATCCTAAGCCTCGCCTCTTCTCTTTGACTGGCACTTTCGTCCATAATGTCGTCGAGATCTGCAGATGATAAGTTCAGAATCGAACACGCCTTACTTTGAGCTTCTTTCACAGCCGCCTTTGAAGTTTCTCGCCATTGCTTCTCGTGCAGTGCTTCTAGTTTCCGTCGCATTATGCGTGTTCGCGAAAGGGTTTCTTCCACAAGTGTTCTAACGAACGCTTGAAATTCTTCTATTCGCTCCTGTGCCTTGTCGAGCTTTCGTTGAAGCGAGGCTATCGTGGCTTCACTCTGATTGGCTAACCCCTGAAGCTGCAATGTGGCCGCCGCTTCCATCTCACTGACAGCTAATTTGGCTTGGTTGCGCAGAGTCTGGGACCTTTTAAAGAAATTATGCAGGAAAATCATTGAGATTAATTCAGGAATATTTAATCATTTCTTTAAAATTTAGATTAAAAACTTTCATTCCGAGCCTATGTTAGCTCATTCATACTCGGAAATTCGGTGCGATTTATTCATTACCATTCGGAGAAAATAAGAAATTATGTGTTACACTACCCACGCAAAAGTGAGATAAAAATTTGAAACAAAAAAAAACAAAAAGGATCTTACTGGGGTAACGTATTACATTCTAGGAAATTAACTGATTCAAAATTCCCCTTGTAAGGATAGAGGGTGCAATACATTTCCTGTTTCCAAAAGCATACCTATTCAGTTGATGCATCTTTTTCTTGAGTTCACTCTGACAACTCAACAGCTGCTGATGGTGGTGTTGTTTCTCCCGAGTCTCGCCGTCCAAACGATGTTCAAGTGTCTCGATTCTCACTCTGCTTACTTTCTCTCTTTCCTTTAACTGCGAGAGTTTTTCTTCCATATTCTTGGCCATCTCCGCATCTTTTTTAGCTTTTCCTTCAACTTCTTTCATCTTAGATTTCATTTCGTCCACTAAAGTTTTCTTCTGAGTCACTGCGTGCTCAAGCCTTATGTTGTTTTCTTGAATGTCTTTAATCTTCGCTCTCAACTGTTCGTTTTCGCTGTTTAATGTTCTAACAATGTTGGCTAACCGAATGCATTCCATCGTTGCTTGTCGTAACTCCTCTTCCAAACGCTTCCACTCTGCTATCGACAAAGAACTCGGTTTGGAATCAATTTCACTTCTCTCTTTCAGCTCCTCCGCCAAACGCTCTTTCTCCCGCGTGCAAAGCTTCAAGCTATCATTCAAATGCTGCACTGAATTCCTGGTGACATGTAACTTGTTTAGCAATGCGTTGTATTCCGTTTGTAAACTTTCATAGTCACTTGTCTGAACACTCAGAGCTTTCACTGCTTTGTCCTTGGACTGTCGAAGCGCATTTACTTCTTGCGTGAGACTTAGGATTCGCTGCCTCATGCTCGCCCATTCGTTACGTCTGGGAGTTTTCCTCACGACTTTTTTCGGCTGCGGAGTACCTTGCCGACGAGCTCTAGTCTCTGTAGTGACAGCACTTCTCTTTTCCGCACTAGGCTTGACATTATACGTGTCCTCTTCGTCCATTGATGGGGCATCTTCTGCATCTAAGTTCACATGAACGCTAGTGTCGACAAAACGAGGGACAGGGTCTGTTTGCGTTCCATGTGTCGAGGAGACTTTCCTTTCTGATTCTCCGGCATCCTTAGAAGGGCTTGATAAAATTCGATTAGCAATGCGTTTGACTTGCTCGTCGTAACTACTCAAAGATTCAACGTGCTGTTTGGCAAATTCTGCATCCTCTTGAGCGGTTTCACTGATATTATCAGGTCGTGCCATTCCGTCTGGTACTGCACCAGACATTTCTCTTTCATTCCTATTCGCTTCTGTATTGACAAGTTCATCATAACGCTTTTTAAGATTCTCGAACTCTTCCGCTAAACCGCTGAACTCCTCCGCAAGAGATTTATTTTGGCCTTGTATGGCTTTCATCTCATGCCGCAGAATTTGGTTCCCCTCCTCCAGCTCACTACACATCGTCTGTCCTCGGAGAGCTTTTTCTTGCCAACTCTGTAACTGATCTTCGAGTTTCTCCACTTCAAGTCGATGTGCTTCAAACGCCTGTGTCTCTGCTGAAATTTTATGCCTAAGCACGTTGCTCTCTTCTCTTTCTTCACGGAGGTGAACTTGTAGTTCTTGGATGTTTGCGACATTGTGAGAATGCTGCACTCGAAGAATATCAATCTCTTCTAAAACATCATGTCTTTCTTTAGCCAGTTCTTCATATTCGTGCCTGTAGTAAGCCAATTCCTTCCATACTTGATCACTGTCCAAGTGCCTCAGTTCACGTTCTTCCGGCCTTTCCGGAAGTGGCTTCACGCTTCCGGTTTCGTCAGCATTTGAAGCCTCGTAAGTTTTAATTTGTTCCAAGACAAGTTGGTAATTCTCTTTGAGCATCCTATAGCGTTGTTGCCGCTGCGCATGTGCGCGTCGCGTCTCCACAAGTTCCGCTTCTTTAAGCTCCAAAAGTTTCTTCAATTCATCAATTGTATCGCGACTTTCGCCCAGCCGAGTCTCCAGGTCACGAAGTACTGTTATTTTATCGAACTTTCTTTCCAACGATTCTTCATTTCCTACGATTTTAGATGGAGAGTCATCAATGGTCTCGTAGCAGCGATTGGTAAGTTCTTTTCCATCACGCTCTTGCAAGCTTTCTAGTTCAATGCTTTCACCGCGTCTGCCACTTCTTCCCTCCCCTATCTTTGCCTCTGTCCTCGCCTTCCTCTCCATTGTTCTTCCCTTGCTTTCTCGTTCATCATCACGTCTTGAAACGTCTCCCGAACGAATTCCCTCTCGCACGGCATCCTTCAATTCTTCAATTATCAATTCCTTGACGTTAAGATCCTCTCGCTGTTTGCTTGAGTTTTCCCTTAATTTCTCAATATCCTGCAGCAGTTTAGTCTCTTTTTCTTGATACTCCGAGCATCGAATTTGCAAATCAGCGACAGATTTTTGCAAGGACGCGAGTCCTCTGCGGTATTCTTGCTCGCGATCCATCAGAGCTTGCCGACTCCTTTGTTCATTCTCCTCGAGTTGCTGTATTATCCTTTCCTTCTCTGACATTTGCACCATAGACTGCTTGCATTCTTCTCCGACTAGTTCAAATTCCCTCTTCGCTGCCTCCAAGTCGCTCTCTAATTTTCTAATTGTTTCACCTTGTTTTTGCAATGACTGTAACTGCTGTTGTAAAAGATTTTCCTTGTTAGTCAATTCTATCTCAGCTTCTTCACAATTCTTGGCAACTTCGGTGTTTTTTAAGGTCAGGGCACTTACTTCACCATCCAATGTCTTGATCTTTTCCTCAAGAGTTGCATTAACTTCGATAACCGAAGCCATATTCAACTTTTCCTCGCTAAAATCACTCACTTGCTTCTCTAATACAGCGATCCTAATTTTTAGCTGATTCTTCTCCTCTTCAATACTATCCAGATTTTCTTTAACGGTTTGATCATCGACTTCTTTCTGCGCCTGGTGAGCTTTCAAAAAAGTGGACAAATAGCTATTTTCTTCGCTTAGTTCTCTTTGTTTTGTTGAAAACTTCTTTTGTTCCTCGTCCAGCTTCTGTTTTAATTCTTCGTTCTCGATTAGTAAGTCGTGATATCGCGTCTTGCTGTAGTGTGCTTCATCCTCCGCTGACAATAGCCTCTCTTTGAACTCTTTGATCTTTTCATCCTTCATCTTTAAAATCTCTAAAACTTTCTTGTCTTTGTGCTCACTCTTCTCTTGTTCGCGTGCTATTACCATGCTCACAACAGAGGTCACATCAGGTTGTGATGATTGCAATCTCCGCCATAAATTCCACACAAAATCCTTATCAGCTTTACATTGAGAAAGTTCTTCTAGAAGAGCTCGATTTTCCTCTATCAGATCTTCCATGGCTTTCTGCTGATAAGCTCCTTCCATGATGTTCAAAAGAGCAATCGATCGCTACAACATCGTGTCCAACGTCACATCATCATACGTCGATTTCAACCGGAAATAGTCATTCCCCGTTAGAATGGAAGCATAAAGTCTCATTTTTGATCTAGCATCGTTCTATCATGCATATCTGCTCTCAAAACGTCAAAAACTTGGTTAAAATCGAGTAGAACTCAACAGACTCTTCCAACCGCCATTGCCGCCATATTTGTTTTGGGACCTAATTCCTACTCGGAATGTAAAGAAGTGAGAGATCTGGGTACAAGCTATGAGATACCGCTTCCCTCCCTCCGCCTCTCTCGTCTAGGAATTTCAAGGCAGCTTTACGACTAATTGACTACGGATATAAATTATAAAGTGAATCGTTCTATATAGCTTTCGAAAACAGTTAACAATTAAAAAAATACTTTTAGTGTCAGCGACAATCGAGCGAAGTTAAAAAGGCATTTTTTAAGCGACACTGACACGGAAAGGCAGTCTCCTCTAACTGACGAATCTCAGGGGTCCTCAGGGTATTTGAAGAAAACTTCAAAGGTTTGTAGTCAAGAGAAACAGACAGTGATGATGTAAGAAGTTGTAAAAATGCAACTATCACCGCTTAAAACCCCAACAAGACCAATGCCAGATACGAACGTAACGCTGTTTGAAAGCCATCGAAGGGTCTCTAATTGTTCTGAATGCCGCTCTCGATTTTTATTGCAAGTCCGGCAAGAGCAAGTGACGATTGAGAACTGTCATTGATATCTCTCAAAATCACAATACATAGATTGATAATCATAAACTAATCTGAAATAAAAACACGAAAAAAATTATTATAAAAATGATATTTATAAAGATATTCAGATTATGATTACTTTTTATTTTATCAATATTATCATTAGCAAAGCAAAGAATTAGAAAAAAATTGGAGACATCCGATAATAATCGATAGTAGTTGATAAGAATCAACTTATGCCCTCTGTTACAGAATTTTGCCCCATCAGGTCGATAAATGTTTATGTGAGATACATGTTGGTGGAGGCCGTGCGTGGGTGATCTGCGTGGGAACGAATTTTAACTTCGAGTGTTAATGACATCTCTCACAAGTTATGAGTAAGCCATGCAAACGTATGAAAGATGTCATCAACGCGAGAAAAATACATTCGTATCCACGAGCAGGCATGCTGTTTTCATATATACTGATAACGTATTTAGATCACAGACAACTTTAAAACATTTTAAGAGCACCGGATACCACCTGCTCGTAAACTCCACTCGCAAAGCAAAAACCTTTACTATTGACTTCAAAGTGAAACAAAATTTTAAAAAAGTTTTTCTCTCAAAAAGACAGTTCGTATTTAGCAAGTTTCGTAATGTAAAAGAAAAGTGTTATATTGCTTAGCTCGGTCCCATTTCGTCATCCAGAATTCACGTACGGGGATGTTAAAGGTACGTTAGTTGCGTGCGGGACATCACGTTTTCGAATGGGAGAAATACTGATATTCCATCAACGTGTATACAATAATTAGTGCTTTTCGACGAGAAATCCAGTCTGTTATCGGGAAGCGATTAAGAAAAACGTTAGTCTTATTCAGCCACGGTAAACACTTCTTTGACAAAATGTTAATTATATCATCCGGTAGATCAACATCATCTTTTCCATCGTTCCGTATGGGGCGTGACATTTTCGCCCCGAGTAGGAAATATTTGACGCCTAATTTGCAGTTGTTTACCCCAAAGCAATATTTTTTTTTTGTCGGATCTTTAAGACGAGAGTTTCGATGTCGTGAACCTCTGGCACAAACACTGCAATATTAAAGATCACTGTAACACCATTGACTTGAGAGGCAAACAATAGATTTGCATTTTATCAAGAAGAGTTTACAGATTTTCTGTTCACACACTTCGATCTGCATAACAAAAAGTTAATCTTCTATCTTGAGTTAATGACGTCAACTCTGCTTTAATCAAGAGTGTCTTTATTTCGAGACATGGAAGGAGGACTGAGGAAAAGCAAAAGTTCCTAAGGGTCCCCTCGCTGATAAGGAAACATTTTTTAAAAATAAGACTATTTACAGTGATAATGTTTTCGACAAGAATTTAAACAATTTTGTTGCAATTGTATTCTATCGAAAGATGAAATTTCATGATAATTTTTCTTAAATGTATAAAATGGAAGAAGCTATTCGAAAATCTTGACCGGAAAAACGGACTCCTAGCCCCACCCTAGTCCGAAATATGTTGTCGCCTACATAGTACATGTCAGTTGTTGTACTATCGTCAAGTCAGTGGCTCCAAGCTAAAGTAGCGGCGACCGTCACGAACGAAGATGGATAGTTCTTCTGCTTCAAAGGATGGGACAGGAAATAAAAAATGCCAGTGCCTGAATAAAGTAAGCAATTTCATCACTGGTTCGATGGAAAAAGGGTTTTATAGGTGAGTAAAAATTTGATTACAAGACAGGCAAATAAAAGTGAATGCATATTCGCAGTTGAAGGACACTGCAGATGGCAGCTGTCACGGAGATTGTTACGGAAGGGAAAATTTTTGTATGGCGAAGAAAGGAAGAAAAGAAAAAGGAAGCTATGGCCAGTTTTTGGTGCAGTTTGAAAAGCTCTTCACTCCTACCTCACTTTTTAATTTGTATGATTTCCTTTCGTGTTAAATTTGGGACGCCATTACGTAACTATGCCGGCTGGAGAAAGAAACTGAAATGTGTTACCAACTGCACAACTCTAAACGCTATAACAAAATTAAAATTTATACGAGTGTTTTTTTTACTTAATCTAACTTATAGCTAAGAATAGCCCACGAAAAACTGATTCGATTAACGATATCTTCCCAATAACGTCCAAACGACCAGCCAATATTTACCTGTATATTCTGCAGTTGTTTGTATTGTGAAGTGTGAGCGAAGTTTTGATAGATAGATCGACAGTGGTCGAGTTAATATTTAACCGACATAAAGTGATGACCGTTTTGATGCGTATATTTCATGTGCGAAATTCAAACGCTGGTCGATGGCTGGAGTTTCGTTTCGTTTCGAATTAGTCACCCATAAGCATGATGTAATAGTTGCTCAATCGTTGCCTTAACCTTGGCCGATTCAAACACATGTTTACGAAAACAAGCGCTGTGGTACTCGTTTGACGCAAATATTTTGCCAGAGCCGTACGAGTTTACAGATTCTTCGGTTAATCTTATGTTCAATGTGGCTGCCTTCAAGAAAGAAAACAAGATCAGGCACAATGCCCGACTATTATGTTTTAATGTTTTCAAAAACCTAGTATTCGCTACATGTTTCGAGGTAAGGCAAAACAAGCAAAGCTTATTCGTAAAAATTCAGTGAAATTCAGGCAAATCGGAAGTATTTATGATATTTTGGAAATGAGCATGTTTGATCGGAAAATCTACGTATTGTTTTTTTTTTCTTCGATGTTATCTTTATTTGATTGCAGTGAATGTGCGTAATTAATGATAATCACAAAGGATTATTTCTTAAAAGGCAAGCTTGCAGTTTTGTTGATTAATGCATCGCCTAAGCATCGCGTAAGTAAGCTTAGTTATTTTACATAAATTTAAGCTTGAAGTTGATGTGAAATTTCGGAATAAGCATATTGCGCTTTAAAGTTAATACCTTATTTTGTATTTCAGCCTAACGTCCGTTTTCCCTGTATTAAGGCGTTATTAAATTCACACGTAATCACTCATAAAAGCAGCAATATTGGACTTTTGTCGATAATAACATTATGTTAACATCATACAGCAGTATTAATTACACTGTAAAGTACAGAATTTATCGAGATGTTAGAGTATGATTTTGTTGATAATTTTCTTGTCCTAAATTTGGATGCCCTGTGTTGTTTTCAATCTCATTGTTGTTTTCATTTCTCATTTTGGTTTATAACATATTTTCATTTATTTTACTGAGTATTACTTATGTGGCAAGTTTGCCATTTTTGTTGATAATCATATCACTTTAAGCATTGCATGTATGACAGGAGAGATTTTTCATTTAAGCCATTGCATCATTAGACACACAGCTCTCTAAGGAAAGAAAGCAATGACAAAAACAGTGATGTACGTTTGATATCAAGGCCTCTTTTTAGAATAGTGGAAGGAAATCTTAAAATATTACATTCAGTAAACTTGTTTGCTCTGAATGAATCATTTTTACAATCTTGATTAATAAATAACCTAGTTATGTATCTTCGTGAAGTGCATCATCGAAGGTTCAGACTTTGTGTCCAGGTACACAAACTTTAAGATGGTTAATCCTTTAACTCCTAGAAGAGATTAACATCTGATTTCTTGTAATGTTGTCCAGACTTAATCCAGCAAATAAGTTTTGAGAACACTTGCACTTATCAGGTAGAACTTGTTATCTTGATCTTATACCAAATTCTTGTAACTAATTTACAAGGAAATGTGTAGAAACTAGATAGGAGAATCAACAATCAGATCTTGGGAGTTACTGAGGATTAAGTATATTGATGGAGAAGATTAAAAAGGATTTTTCAACATTGTAGACTTATGTTATTTTTCTCCAGGTTGGGAAAAGCAGTTGGTGGAAATCCCTGGATTTCTATCTTAATTTCACTCATTATTTGTGGAGGATGTGCTGCTGGACTGATCAACTTTACCCAGGAGGCTCGAGGGGACAAGTTATGGACTCCTGAAGATTCAACTACACAAAAGCACAAACTGTGGGTGGATGAAAATTTTCCTTTAGAAGTGCGCTTTTCCACAGCTCTACTTGTGGCAGGAGATGTTCTTACTCCTGCAGTTTTGAAAGAGGTAAAATACCATAATAATATTTTGACTGTACCATCCACTATGTTTTCTGTTATTCTTGTCACAGGTCAGGAAAAGGTTCAGAAAATATAAATTTCTTGAAGGTCACAGGGAAGGGTTAGGGAATTTCACTCCAAGTCAGGGAAATCTTACAGCTTTGAAAGATGGCAGGGAAAAAAAGATATTTCAAATACATGTACATGTATGTAAAAGTGAAGTTTGTGGAGTTGTTAATTCAGTTTAAGTTTTTATAACTGTTAATTGATTTGGTCAGGGAAATTTGATGTTAGTTAGGGAACAGTCAGAAAAAAGTCAGTGAATTTCATCATCAGCCCATATACAAGTATTACTGTGGTAGCAAAAGGAAATCTTCAGATTTTAGATTTTGGATCTCCTCCCCTTCTATCACCTTTAAATTAACTTTTTATGTGCTATTCTCATTTTTGATTACTTAGGAATACTCACATCTGGAATACATCCTTGACAATCCCATGTTTTTATGTTGGTGTAAATTTTTTTATCCAGTTCAATTTTTGTTGAGATTTTACTATTTCATATAATGAAAATGTATAAAGGACAACAAAAACTGAAAATCTAACAAGTTTGAACTTTTTAAACTAAGAAAAAGTGATTGAATTGAACTAAAGTACATTTATTTACATGTATCACCTAACCATCAATTTTTTTCGAACTGATGCAAATTTCAGCTTCTGTAGTTGTTATCTAAAAAATGCACTTCACTGTTATCTTTTATGCATACCCTTAGGCACAAGGCTGTCTGAAATGCATTCAGGGCATGAAATTGTGGCTAAACAGGCGCCAGTGTGACTAAATTTTTCACTTTGGTGACCAAATCCTGAAAACTAGTCACCAAATTGGCAACCAGAATGCTTCATCATAACTTTACCCAGAGATAAAGTAAATTAAAAAGGTTGTTTGCCTCGTTAAGTTTGTTTCCAAAACACAGCACATGCATCTCGATCGGTAACTAGATGCCATCTTGGGTTTATGTGAGCTTGTAGGTTGTATGTCATCCATCCTAGTGTCCACTTTGTAGCATGTTAAAGATCTTTTTCTTAACTTAATTTTGAAGGGTCTGTCTAGAACACTAACAATTTAAAAAAAGGTTTCATTTGTCTTTCAAAGTGGCGACAAACTTTTTTTGAATTGGCTACCACTTTGAAAAATTTAGGAGCCAAGTGGCTATCAGAAAAGAAAAAAATTTCATAGGGAAACTATATTTTTGGTTGCTATGTGCTATATAATAAAACAATTATTCACCTCGGTGTTAAGTGAAAGTGGTGGATATTTACCTCGCTACTTCATGGCTCGGTGAATATCCACCCTGGCATTGGATGTCAATGTTGCGAATCAGTAACTTATCTAAACAACATTGTGTCTAATCTCTCCAAATATCATTTACTTGTGTTTGCATTTCTAGTATTGCCTTATATTTCACTCAAACAGTTATAATTAGCTGAAAATAGTGAAAATAAAACCAGATATTTTGATTCAAAATTTTATGAAATGTAAAATTCTGTAGACTTGCTCTGTCAATCAGAAACAAACCAATTATGAGAGTGCAACAGATATAAATAGTTCAAGTTAGATTCGCCAGGGACTTTGAAACTGTGAAGTTATTCAAAAATTATATATTTCTAACCTTTTTTGTTGTATTATCTTTTAGGCACTTATGATTCAAAACAAGGTCACTAAAATAGGCAATGGAACTGATATTTCTTGGGAAAAATTTTGTTTTAGGTTAGTATTTGATGTGTTAAAATCAATCTAGCAATATAATCAGCCATATATTAAGTACATGTTGTTTTTTGTGTTATCATAAAGTTTCATTTGCTAAGAAAGCAAGGATTTTTTTTTTTCCTCAGTTGTTTACAGAACAACTCAGAAAATCTCTGGAATGTTGTTTTATCAGGAAAATGGCAATCAGGCATGAAAAAAACCAAACTCCATACTACACGGGCACAAATAAACAATATTCCCTCAAAAAGTCATGTTATTCCCTTATTAACTGGTGTTTGGTTGTGTATTTGAATTGCCAACTTGATGTGATCTCCATGCAGTGTTCTTGTGAGGACCACAATAAAAAGCTAAGAATGTATTTCAAGAGATCATGGTTTTCTAAGTTCAATCCTCCAAGTTCTTTATATGAATACACTGTACCTTAAACACAGATATTGTTGAGTAATGATAATTTAAAATAATGATAATGATGTTTGAGACTAATTATAATAATAATAATTGTTATTATCTTAATGTTTTATTTACAGTATCTCCATTAACTAAAAAATTGTTCTTTTCCTGTAAATATTTACTACTGTTAGTAACTATTAACGAAACTAAAGATATCATAGATATACATGTAAATATAAAACAACGATTAGAGTTTAGCACACTGTAGATAATAACTGTGTCACTATTGTGTGACGGTGAGTAAGTCATCATAACTGATTATTTAAATAATGAAAAATGACTTTTTTGTAGGGTTGGTCCAGTTTGCTCTAACAATGGTCTACTGGAGCTTTGGTCGTTTAATGAGACTCTCATTAATTCTCTAACAAAGGAAGAAATCTTGAAGAAAATAAACCAGCCAGTCATAATAAGGTACCAGTTATGGAATTTCTCCCAAAGTAGTCACTTTGTTAGTCTGTCAGTTAGTTAGTCAGTCAGTCAGTTACTCAGAACGTCAGCCTGGAAACTCTCCATGGTGGCCAATTTACATTTATTTATCAGCTCAGTTAATAATACCAAATTACCTTGTCTGTATCTGTGTCTCAATTAGTTGATCAGCCAGTGGGTTAAATGTCTGTCCTTTTGTCAGCCTATTTGTCAGTCAGTCAATCAACCAATGGGTTTATGTGTCTATATGTATGTCTGTCTGTCTCTCTTTCTGTTCATCTCTGTCAATCATTTTTTTTGGGGGGGGGGTGTGCATTTTTTTTCATAAATTTGTTTGTGATTTTTAGATACAAAAAATTTTATTAATTGATTTACAAATAATAACAGGATCATGGAAGGGGAGATGTGAGAATTCCCTTGCAAATTGTAAACTAGGCTCAATATAGTTATTGTAGTACATGAACCAAGTAATGATATCCAAAGAGCCTATGAACTGAGCCAAATAGTTTGGGTAAGCAAGGCAGCTATATATTCAAGACCAATTAATCCATTTTTAATTTAATAGAATGAAAGTCGAAATCATTGCACTTGTACACTTGATCACATGTTCTTTATATGTTGATTGATAGAAACATTGAAGGAATTTATGAGTAAAGATACTCACATCTTTGTTTTATTTTTCAGTCCTGTGACAAACAAGAGATTTGTGCTGTCCCAGTACTTGGGTGGAATCGAGAAGAATGAGTCAGGTTACATTACAAAGGCTGAAGCAACATCAATGTCATATGGGATAAAATATACCCCTGAACTGAACAAAAACACAGGAGCTTTGGTATGTTATATAACTATATACTAGTGCGCTTTTTGTCATATTTATACACAGACAGGAAGTGTTTTGCAGGGCTTTTGAATAAAAGCTGATCACTGGTGGATTACTACTACCTACATGCATAAGATCTCTTTTCGCCATCTGTTTAGCTTGTGAGCAGGCTGAGTTGTGTTTGGGTTTCACATCATGGTCCCTTTCCAGGTACAGCTGCCTATCACACCATTGGCAGCTGCTGATTGAAGACGTTATTGAAACCCCAAGGGTTTTGGTTGACGAATGTTATACAATGTATAGATATTCAGTCTGAGATATTGGGATGGATGTGGAAAGATGCAGTGGAAGTGGAAAAGTACAATGTATCAGAATGTGTACTCTGCCATTACTGTTTTCTAGTTTTGAATAGTTCTACTCATGATGTGGAGATTTTCCTTTAACAATCAGCTCTCTCTTCTGATAAAAATCCAGTAGGGTGTATTTCAGTTTCCATTTGAAAAACTTTTAATTTATAGGTTTAATAATCCTTGTATGAATCTAAGTTTATGAGTATGTACAAGATATTACATTGATTTGTATCATGGATGAACATGATCACTGTTGTCTTCATTTTTTTTTTTCTGCCTCATCAATGTCATTACCTCATCTTCAACATAAGTGGTATATTAATTAATGTGATATCTGTATTCCTCTCAAATGGTTCCTTTGTGTGTGAACTCTACCTGAATAAGCTCTTTTCTGAGAAAAGTTGCCAGTCATAACTTCAGCTATAAGCTAGAGAATGGTTCAGTAACAGTTGTTCACAGCCAGCATCTCACTGTTCCATGTTTTAAAGGGACAAACTTAAAGGGAGATTCTGCAAAGTTTTGATTGAATAAATTGCTCTGAAAGTATCTATAATTCAGCACAAAATTACTATCTTTCTGTCATGAAGAAAATACTTGATTCTTTTATTAGGAGGATAAAAATACAGATGAATGGGAAGAAAAATTTGGAAAATTGATGGATGCTCAGGAGCCATCATCTGCAGAGCTGTATTATAACACACGTCTCCAGTAAGTTTTGCACAAAATAAATCACATTATACTTTGGTGTATTTTTTCCCTTTCTTTGGACAAAATAGCAGGATGCTGCGTCCAACAAAACTACTACAGAAATAGATAGTTGTTTTCAGTGATATTTTAATGATTAAAAATGCTTGTTGAATTTATCATCAGAGACCGAACAGATTCAGGTGACAGCATTCAAGGTGATGTTCAACTCCTGTCCATTGGGTACATTCTTATCATTATTTATGTTGCTGTTATGCTTGGAAGATTAACTCGTCTCAATATCAAGGTACTGTGATACAGTCATTGTCAGTTATTGTTGGTTTACAATCGTCGCAGAGTAAATTGTTGTTTGGACTGCACAGATAGTCAAGGCATGTATTTTTTAGGATACTTGTGGAGGGATTTTTCAGTGACTGTTGGAGGAAGTTAAGTTTAGGTTAACCCTAAATACACTCTAACATCAGACTGAGTATGCAGACTGAGTATCCATACATTTCCTGAATTGCTCTCAAGGAGAATTTGTTTAAAAATCAAGAGCTTTATAAGTTGGTGATCATTTCCTTGATTCCCATGACCTTAATGTTTGATTCAGGGGTGATATTGTAAGGAGAAGTTAGATGCTGGTCACTCTCAGGGGTTAAAGGGTTAAGTTGTTGGCTTTCCATTACTTGATAATTTGGTTTTATTAACTGAGTTGAGTTTCGCAAGCTGATGTTTCAAATGTAAGGAACACTTTGTCAAAATGAAGGAACATCAGCTCTTAATTAGTAACTCCTTACAGTAGCCAATTTGTGTTATCATCTCAGTTGATAAACCAAAATTGTCTTCTAATACCCCCCACTGATGTAGTACCATGATTTCTTTAGAAACTTATCCCCTTTTACCAATACAAGATTTTACAATCAGCTTGAAAAACATTCACCACTTTCTGAACTAATCAGATGTAAAACAAAGCCATTCCTGACTTTATCTGTCAAGTTTTCCTCACTCTTCAAGCAGCTGGCTTGCCTCAACCCTTTAACTTCCAAGATCTAATCATTAATTCTCCCCTCCATTTGCTACACATTCACTTGTAAATTAGTTATGAGAATTTGGTGTTAGATCAAGTTAACAACTTCCACCTGATAAGTTTGAGTATTCTCATCACCTGTTTGCTGGATAATGTAAGGATATTGTAGGAGAAGTTTCATGTTGATCACTTCTGGAAGTGGAAGGGTTAATTTGCTTTCTACTCCCATTGGCTCCTTTGAATTTGTTACACTCAACCATTGGTTTTTTTTAATGCTAATTAGTGTGATTTTGTTTTACAATACTGAAGTCAATTCTAGCCTATCCCAGGCAGCTTTTCCATGGCACTACATGTCAATTTACTATTTATTTACTGTAGGCTTGGCTGGCTTTACTTGGTGTCATTTGCATTGGACTGGCCATTGGTGTGTCATTTGGGCTGGCCAGCGCTTTTGGAGTTTTTTATGGTCCTGTTCACTCAACACTGCCATTTCTCTTACTTGGTAAGATTGCTTTGAATTCTGGGACTTTATCCATGGTCATTTTGTAGCCAAAATCATCCAGCAGTTGGACTATTGTGTCACTATCTTCTGACAATCAAACTTACCAGTGCATTGTTTCTACTGCAGGTATTGGAGTAGATGACATGTTTGTTATTGTACAAGCATGGAACAACTTATCCCCTGACACTCATAAGAACCAAGAAGTTGCAGAGCGCATTGGACTTGCCTTAAAACATGCTGTGAGTTCCATTTATTTATTAACTATAGATTTAGTAAAATGCTAATTTTAACAGTCAGTAGGCTTTATTGGAATGGGAATGGGATAATATGTTTTTTTATCTTGTAGCAAAGGTGGGACAAATGAAAAAAATATATCAGTTACCTTTCTGTCCGACCACAGACCTCTCAATTTTACCTTAATGTGGTGTACCACTGAGTTACAGAAAAGATGATACCAGCAGGGGTTTCAAAGCTAGTTACCAGCGGTTGACTGCTGACTTGAAGCCCTCTTACTGCCTTCTGTTTAGTCTGTAGGCAGATTTACATGTTTGGGTTTCGCTTTACAGCTCCTTTTTCTGGCACAGTGGCCAACTACACCATCAGCAGCTACTTATGAAAAAAGTTACTGAAACCCCTGTTGTTGGGTTATACCTTTACCAAACTTAAGTTTGTGTATGGCAAGGGTCCTCAGCATCCAGCAAGGATCAGTATGGAGAAAGAAGCATACTCAATAGACTAATGAAATACAAATCAAAACCTGCATTATTTTAAGAACTTGGGTTCTTTTCAAGTTAGCCTCCATAGGTTCTTATATAAATGGTGTTTACTGTGAAATGAGGCTACCTAGTTTCTTAATTACATTATTAATCATTGTTTTAAAAAAAAGGAACTTGTGTTGGTGGGCATTGGTGGGATACTGCACTGTATGCCAACCTCATCACACCCTGCTTTACATGGTTAACTTACATAAACAGTCAGATATGTTGCACAACTATGGATGTATTGATAGTACAGTATTGAGGTCTTATAACACTGCTTGTGTTCTGGCTAGTTTTTGTTACTTTTTTGTATCACATATGATGTACTGTATCAAATTTGAGAAAACACTTCATTCTAAAAATAAGAACCTGTATTGAGATTTTAGCCTAAAATGGTTCTTTTAACCCATTAAACCCTGAGAGTGACCAGCATCTAATTTCTCTTAACAGTAATACAGCTGAATCATTTATTGAGATCATGAGTTACAACGGAAATTTATTGCCAACTAAAGAAGCTTTGATTGCTAAACAAATTCTCCTTGTCAGTATTAAGAGAAATGTATAGAGAGGAGTATGGAGAATATGGATACTAATGTTAGGGTGCAACTCCCAAGATCCCATTAGTAATTCTCCTTACTGTCTGCCATACAGTTCTTGTGATGTTAGTTGGGAGAATTTGGTATTGGATCAACTTATAATCCCCCAACTGATATTTTTCTTCACACTCATCACTTGTATGCTTGATATTTTATTGATGTTATAAGGAGAAATTCTGTCTTGGTCACTCATGGGAGTTAAAGGGTTAACTAGGAAATTGAAGCCTAACAAGTTTTTAAATTTTAGGTTCTTATATCCAGGTTTTTGCAGTATATAACACTTTTAGGGTGAACATAGAATATGACAAATCAGTACTACTACTGGTAGTTACACTCTGTGAATCTTGGCTAAGATTTTTTATTTATTTTATTCCAGGGCTGTTCAATAACAATTACATCTTTGACTGATTTCTTGGCTTTCATGATAGGAGCAACCACCGTGAGTTGTTTATTTTCTATATTTTATGTAAATTGTATTATTTAAACATCACAATAGGCCATTTTACAGTTGTGTACTTAGTTGCCAAGCCTTTGATTTGGAGTGAGGCTGAAGGTGACCTTGTTGTGATAGAGACCAGTATCTTGTTAGCATGATAACAAAGTAATTTGCATTTGAAAAGCAGCAAGGTTTGTATCATGACAAGGTCACCTTTAGCCTCATTCCTGTTCAAAGGCTTGGCAACCAAGCACACAACTGTAAAATGGACTATTCTCAAGAGTTAATGTCATGGAAGGGGATTTTTTAACCCATTCATATGTATTGATATTACAATGAGAAAATCTGTCTTAGTCACTCATGGGAGCAAAAGAGCTGATGGTTTTGATGATCTTCCTTCCAGATTTTACCAGCCTTGAGATCTTTCTGTCTTTTTGCTGGGATTGGTACGTTGGATTTTCTGTGTCTTGTCTTTTTTGTTTTTGTTGTAGGGTTTTTTTTTTGCCTTGTTTTGTTTTTGTTGTTGTTTTCGTTTGTTTTTGTTTTTTACACGAGCAACAAAATCAGATTATCCTCCATTGTATATTTTTTCCTATTGCAGGTATTTTAGCAGACTTTGCACTTCAGGCCACTATGTTTACAGCCTTCTTAGCTCTGGATGCCAGAAGGTAAAATGCTCTCTTGTTCACAACGATGGAAACATGGTTCACGTTACAAGGTTACTTTGATTGCAGTTTGCTTGGAGACTGGATCACAGCGGGAAATTCTATGTGTTTTGTTATGAAGTAATCTTCCTTCGCCAATACAGCTTTTGCGTGAATGATGAAGTGCAAATTTTCGGTAGGGGTAAACTTTCTCTTGAAATTGCGGGACTCACTCACGTCCCCAGTGAATTATTCTGCGAAAGTTCAGACGGATCCAAACAAAAGCTGCCACGCAAAGTAGAAATTTTGTTTCAGGCAAAATTTCTTCGAAAATTTGGGATAGAGAGCGTCGGAATGTGTCGATGGATATTTGCGTTACTTTTGCACAATAATGTATGTCCAAGTATTTGGCTTTTTTTTTGTTACTTAAATGTCACTTTGTGAGTTTCATTTGCAACTTTCTTTTCTAACAGTTTTGCTCAATTGTGTACAGGCAAAATAAGAATCGAGATGGCTGCTGCTGTTGTATCAAGCTGAGAGATGATTACACAGAAAGTGAGCGTGGCAAAAGAGATCTCTTGCAGGGATTTATGGACAAATATGTTGCACGAGCTTTACTGTCACTTCCAGGAAAGGTAAAAACGTAGTGCAATTACACAGTTAAGAGTTTTAGGGGATATGTCCAGGATTTAGCCTCAGTGAAATTCGATTTCTCTTCAAAAGAAATCAAAAGGTGTCCTTATCAATGAGATTCTATCAAAACACACTTGATTGTTTCATATTTATTACACCCATTTTGAAATCACCAGTGGCCCCTGTAATCTGATTGGCTCCAATTGGTGCGATTTATTCACGAATCGCACCTTTTTTTGCTTTAAATCGCATCTTCTTCCCAACCAATGAGGAGGCTACACTAAAAACAAAACAACCAATCAGATTTCAAGGCTTGTTTAAAGTAACCAATCACTTTACAGGAAAATGAAAGACAAAGAGTATCATATGGCATATTTTGCAACTTTTTTTCCAAAACTCTTACTTTTCCTCCCAAAAAATGGATGAATTGAATTTCAGACCGGTTCAGTACTGCATCAATAAAATATTTGAACTGACCAAGTCCTTTAGTTGGGCGGTTTCAAAATAGGTGTAATCAAGTAGTAATTGAACCTCGTGTCGAGCAGTTTTGGTCTGAAATCATACTTGTGATTTCAAATCGAGCGCGCTTGTTCGATTTTGAAATCACGCGGATGATTTCAGCCCAAATTGCACTCCACTCAGTTCAATTACCATTATAAATTGTCGGTATTCCGGATTCTGTTGAATTGTGAATCGCATCACCAGTCTTTAGTTGGCCTTTGTCATTGTTTTGATCTTAAAAGAAATAAAGAGGATAAGTTTTTAATGAAACATTGATGTGCGCATTTTATTTTTGTAAAAATTTTTTGCGTTGTATTTTTATTATCTTGCAGATCGTTGTGATAATTATAACAGGAACCCTTTTTGGTGTTAATTTATACGGTACACTGATGCTGCGGCAGTACTTCGACCGTATCTGGTTTTTGCCAGTCGACTCAATGAGTTACAAGTACAGCACAATGAATACCAAGGTACAGTTAATGAGTCACTTTGTCAAAACTAGGACCCCCATTATCAGCGCGGCAAGACCCGCATTTCTCCGTCCCCGGGAAGATTTGAAACGAATAAAGGGGGTAATTTTTCGAGATAATGTGGTGCTGCGCCGGTGGGAGAGTATAACAGGTAATTAAGCGTTATCAACTGAGCTGAAAACATAAATTGGCCACCGTGAAGAGTTTAAAGGCTGACGTTTCGAGCGTTAGCCCTTCGTGAGAGTGATTGGTATGTAGATTTGAAACGAGTCGAGGAGAAGTTCGCCGGGGGTCTGGCACTAATAATTATTAGTTCCAGACAGACCCCTTGCTGATCTCTCGCCAGCTCGCGTTGTTACGCTCGTGCCGAAGCGTTATTAATGGGAGTTTTGGATCCACGTTTGGAGTGTTCACCGCAAACGTCAAACCGCGGTCAGCAGTTTGTGGTTAGAGGCTAGAAGTTTCAAGACTTTCAGTTTTTTAGATCGACGTCGGATTTCACCTGGAAAAAATCAACATGTGCGCCGCCATCTTGAAATACACAAAGGATGGAGGTCCTTTATTTGAAACACGAAATGTGGCCGAAAGATCGGTTTCTAGCGTCCCAAACGGAATGGTTATGGAGAAAAGACTTCACTTCACTTATATAGGACATACGCGAGAACTTTCGAACAGGAAGACAAAAAGCGTCGACGGAGTTTAACTACCTGAAACTGCCTTGCTTGAAGTTCAAACGTGGACGGCAAACGTGACCGCTGGAGTCTGGTCCCGTGACTCCTAGACGTTTGCGGTTACATGTATTCAGAAACAAACGTGGATCTAAAACTCCCTAAAGAGGAGTGGGGGCCCGCTCACAAGTTAGCCATTGCATTATGTAGGGTTGGATTAGGAAACAACAGAGGATGTGAGTGTTTTTTACCAAACCAAATTGTGGTATTGAGGCGCAGAAGAACTGGACGTCGCTCTCCAATAAGCCCCCCCCCCCTCCCCCCTCGAACAAGCGCTGCAGTTGAGGTGCAAAAATTTTTAATTATTATTTTATTGAATGCGGTATATGCTCTAAACCTGTTATTTTATTGCAGTATTTCCCTGTGGATGGGAGACCGGCAAATATCTACACAGGTTCGTGAGCTGATAAAATGCATTTTCCAGTTCATTTTTTATTATACGCAGGTGCGTGTAGTGAACTGCAGTGTGCGTGTTCCGCGTGTGTTATGCGTGGGAATTACACGCGCATCAAGCGTGTTTAATGCGGCAGTACACGAGAGCGGTACAGTCGTTTTCGAAGAAAAATTATCCACTGACTATCTGCGTCTTGTGTGGTCTAAGTTCAGACAAAGATAGCTCTCACAATTATGGTAAAAGTGCTTTTTGTGCGAGCTTCTTGGCTAATTCAAAAGTAATTAGCAAAGTATTATTCACCTCCAAGTAGCCAAAGAGAAACAACCAGACTTCCAATAATCAAGGAGGAAACTAGTTAGATCGACAGGGTGGCTTTAACAAAAATAGTGCTCTGTCTTCCAGGAAAATGACGCGAATCGAATTTGCGAATCTCCGCGCGAACTTTCGCTTCAAATTTCGAGGAAATTTCAAAAGGACAAACAAGGACATTCGTACATTTCATTGACATCACTTTTGCACAATACCGTATCAAGAATTTTAGAGAAGGAAAAAGTTTAGTGTTCAACATGTTTCATTAAATGATACTGTTTGTTGTCGTTTGTTTTTGTCTGCAGGAAAGTTTGAATATTTTGAAAATCAAGGCAAACTACACGGCCTTTACGATCTGGCAGTCAGTGACGAGTATGTGGTGGCAAGCTCAGTGAACAGTTGGTATGAAGAATACATTGACTGGGCCAAGAAAGTGAAACCAGGACAAGATTTTGATCAGACCAGCTCTAAATGTGAGTTGTAGAAAAAACTGGAACATGCGCACCATAGTAGTCTTGATCGATATATCGGCCTACAGTCGACCGACACTCAACCCATAGTCCGCCCTTACTCGGCACACTGTCGGTCAAGTATCCGTCGACGATCGGCCGACTGTAGGGTGACTATCGATCGATTCACCTCAGGTTGGTTGGTTCTCTTTTCCGTTCTTTCTGATTGGCCGTCGTCTTTGCTTTGGTTTTTCGACACTCAAGAGGAAATCGCTCAACTTGCAACTTTCCATTTTTAAAATTACTCTAATCACAATTCTAACTATTCAAAACACAATAAAACACACGTGCTGTATTAGAGCGCGCTTTTCGGTCGAGTGTCGTAAAATCACAACCAAAGTAATCACAATGGCCAATCAGAGAGAAGGAACATGGCTTGAAGAGCCAATGAGAAGGCAAAGTAAAACCGACCAAACTGCCTTAAGCGCGGGAAAACGCGCGTGATCAAGTCGTGATCGGCTTTAGTCTTGGAACTGATTAGTTGAGAAAGTTGCGCGGATTTTCTGGACTAATCAAAGGGCGAAGTAAAGCAAGATCAAAGAAATCCAAGATTACTCAGGACACTCAATTAAAAATTGCTCCAAATTGCCAAGCATTACTTGTACTGCTTGCACTATCGATAAAGTTCTCTTCTTTAGGAACAAAACTATCAGCAGCATTGAAATAATTTCACCATTTCTCCATTATAGGGAAAATAAACAGCAAAACGGAATTCTACAGATGGCTGGACGAGTTTCTAAAGGGGCCGGGGATCAGCTATCGTAATGATGTGCGAATGAAGAATGGAACGGGGTCGACCTATGAAATTACAGTAAGAAATGTTCCTCTTTTTTAAGCAACTGAATGAGACGAAGTCCCCTTCACTCGTAAGCCTTTGGTCATCTCTTTCAAACATGAAGATAACGAGGATAAATTCAACAACAATTTAAGAAGCTCTCGATTGTCGAACGACTTTTCTCTGCCATACCATATGAAATGGAAAATATGCATGCTAATGTTAGGATGTAAAGGGTTAATGCAATTTTCTCCTTAACATCGTAATGTAGCACTCTGTGGACAGCTATTGAGAACTCTCCTCCCCCCCTCCCTCTCTTGATGAGTGTTGTGTTATTTTAAATCCAGTTAAGATCATTCATCATTCATCATTCTCCGACAGGCTACTCGAATGAGATTGACGCATAAAGACATGGACTCCACACAAACAGAAGTCAAAGCTATGGAGGACTTGCGTGAAAAAGTTGGAGAGGTGTTCCCCGATGAGCTTGCCTTCCCATACTCTTTCTTTTATCTGGGATGGGAGACAAACAAGGTAAGAGAATAGCCTCACTTTATTACGTTGTGGTTCATAGCTCGGAAACTGTCTTAAACCTCAGACTTAATTGTCGTCCGTAAGCTAATACTCCAAGCCAACACGCTCATTAAAATGCGAGAAAGAATAGTGACAGAAGATTTTCATAGAATATTTTGTACGTGCTACACTTAGGGGAGTTTTTGTACAACTCATATCGTAACGATATGCTCATATATTCACTTAGCCTTTTTTCAATCTTCCCTTCCAGGTGATCTCCGAAGAACTGTTTCGTAATATGGGCCTGGCATTAATGACAGTGTTTCTGGTGACTCTGCTTGTCCTGGCAAACCTGTGGACCTGTCTTCTTGTTTTCACTTGTGTCGGCTTCACTTTGGTACGTGTCACCAGGAATTTTTTCGCGCACACGTGATTGTGAAAGGGAGAAATGGGCAGTGTTGTTCCCAAGCCTCTTTATTCTTCCTGTCCGAGAGAGAGATGGGGGATTCCTCTAGTACTGACTTAGGTAAAACCTCCCCCCCCCCCCCCCGGCAGGGAATTCCCCTGGTCTTCAGTACCAGAATATCTCGCAGAACAGTAAAAGTTTTGGAGGCGCTACCAGCACTACCGTACTTCAGCCCCCCCCCCCCCTTTTTGCTACATTGTTCGAAGTAACCCATATTTATTAATTATTGGCCACCAGGTCAACATCACAGGTACGATGCATTTTTGGGGCCTGACAATTGATACTGTGAGTACTATCTGTCTGGTGCTGGCGGTTGGGCTGTCTGTGGATTACGCTTCCCATGTTGGACACACTTTTATGATAATACCTGGCTCGCGAACCGGTGAGTGTTCGTGTTTGTCATTTTCAATCTGAGTTTGTTTTTTTTTTATTTAAAATCCGTGTCAACCTACTCCATCCTCAGGCATCTTGTTCCTTCTTGGTGTGTTATTGTCTCTTTTGGTGTCTTACCAAACTATGCACCATTCACACCAGCAAAACGTGTGTTTTAAACTGGGAATCAGAAACAGAGAACTGATAAACTGAATTTAACATAGGTTTTAAGTCGTCACTAACTTATATTTTCAATGTGCTGAATTTGAAGTCTACAAACATCGGTTTAAATAGCTTCTATGAAGGATACAATTTTAAACTACGCGGCACACACCTCAGAAACCCGACCAATTTTTTCGTTTTCAGTCATTAGGGTTCAAAATACGAATTAACACTAATTGTGAATCTTCTTCATTTTTGTTTGTTTGTTTTTTAAAGAACGTGCTCGCGCTACTTTGAGGGATATTGGGCCAGCAGTGTGGAATGGAGGTTTCAGTACATTTTTAGCTGTGTTTCTTTTGGCGTTTTCCAATTCGTATGTGTTTAAGACGTTCTTCAAGGTAAGTAATTAAAGTAAAGGTGTATCGTAACAAATTATGGAAATATAGAATCCACAGGAATCAATTTCAACCACTGAACTACACGCGAATCATTTTTTTTCTCGAAAACTTGACGTAACAGTTTGTTGTATTCCATGCGAGTGTATAAATGCGTGTTAAGACAAAATCGATCTTTGGACTCTGTGACACTCACAGGTCCTAATTATCAGCAAATGGTAGGTTTTGAGGAAAAAATGCAACTCTCTCCCTCTCTCTCTCTCTCTTCTTCCCCCCAAAAAAAAAAATCAAGAGATTCTTAACTCATTCGATGCGTTAAGTGTTCATATCGTGTGTAGAGCTATGTTCATTTGACTAGCAAAGTAATCCTCTGGTTTTGCTTTACTTACCTCTCTGATTGATGTGGAAATATCATGCCACCGCTTTTTGAACCCATCAGATGAAACGTTAAAAACCAATGAAGACTTGGTTACATGCATTTACCCACGCATCTGTCTGTTTGATTTTTCAGTGTGAGTTCTCCTTGGCCCCTGTGATATTTCCACTGTTCTGATTTCTTTTCTGATTACCTTATATCTAAGACACTCATTTAAGAAATGCTCTACCTATGCTCCTTAGTAATTGTTTTCAATCCATACTTGTACACGATTCAATCTTTTTTTTTTTTTTTCTGGTTTCTTTCAGGTGTTTTTCTGTGTAGTCGTATATGGTTTGTTTCACGGCTTGTGCTACCTTCCCGTGCTGCTCAGCGCTATCGGACCAGCTCCGTACGAATCGGCGCAGTCGCATCATGATGGCAAGGGAACTAGGAGCCGGTCACCGGTCCACCCCGCGGGGCTACCGGGAGATAACGTCAGTTATGAACTGGCTGTGGCTAATGGTAAAGGCACCCCACGGAAGAGTGCCCAAAATGGCGGATATCCCATCCCACCACCGGACTATCAAGGTGATGGTTTTAACATTTATCACAGCAAGTTTCGTTTCTTACACTAGGTTTTTAACAGCAATGTTGTATAGAACATAAATTTTCTTCTACTGTTCGATCTCTTAAAAGTTTCCTTAGCTTGGATTGACTCGGAGTATTCTTAAGTTCTCCGAACGGGATCTTGTTCCTTTGCGGGAACCACCACCCCCCTCTTTCCCTTTTACTTCTCTTTTGTCCCCTCCCATGTTAGTCTCCTCACTAGATTTGTCACCCTACCCCTATTAACTTCCATGCGTGACTCGTGTGGAATTTCCCCTTACAGTGTTACCCCTGAATCCAATATCAAGGTCGTGACAGAAAGGAATGATTACCAACTTAATAAGCTTTTGATTGTTAAACAAATTCTCCTTGTCAGTATCATATGAAATGTACAGAGAACATTATGGAGAATATGTATACTGTTGTAACGGTATGAAAAGGTAGCCGTGGTTGGGGAGGGTGAAATGGGTTCGTTGTTGTCCTTACTGCCCCTCTCCTACTCCCCAAGGTCCGGTTTATTTCTATCTAACGTCGTTTTTCTTGTGTATGTTAGGTGTTGATACGTCAAACTTGGCCAATGGATCCAAAGATAATCAAGCGTTCAAATCCAGTGTTGCTACAGATCTGAACAAGGCCTAGCCGGAACACAAATTAAGTAGGGTGTTAAAATTGTATACTTCCACTCTTCTGTCTTTGTTTTCTTCCTTTTCCAAAAGGCACCTATTTTAGATATTTTAGATAATGATAGAGTATCTTGGCGAGACAAACATCTTCTTAATTGTCATTTTCCATTAGCATGTTCTGTCAAGGAGTGGGCCTGGGCCTGGTCGGCGGGGCGGTGGCTGAGCGATAAGCGCGAGTTCACAGTTGCCCCGTGACGTCTTAGCTGGGAAAGTTATCGAAATATTTCCGATCAATAGGTTGTAGGAATATCGCTTGTTTGCCTCTCCTTGTGGGAATTTTAAAGTGTGTTCCTTTATCTCTGAACTGATTTCTGTAGAAGGTTTTTTTTCTGGAATTTATCCAATCACAATTAGTACTGGTAGCTGTGGCCTTAAAACCTGAGAAAATTTAATTAGCGGAACTTGCGGTCGAAGTATAGTCCTGAGGGAAATAGGATTTTTGTGAAAGATAACCCGCGGGCCTTGGGTTGTGGCTAGTAAACTAGTCAAAGAATTGCCACTTATTTTGTACATAACTTGGTAACGTTTTGGTACCATATTTAAATGAATATTTACAAGTGAATAGACGTTTTTAAACACTTTATTTACAAAACTGTATCCACATTAAACTTTGCGTATATTGTGTAGTTTTTTTATATGCAAAACTTGTCAAACAAGTGAATTAGCTTCAACTAATAACGTAAGATGCATGTTAGTAATGTGAATCGCACCTCTGATCCAAGTTGGGAGCGATAGCAAAGGCGTTTTAGAGATGCATACGGTGACCACAAGTGCAGAGCTTTCTCTCTCTCTCTCTCTCTCTCTCTCTCTCTCTCGGACTTTCTGTTAAGATCTCAAGTCTGCAGTGTTTTTGTCTTAGATAACAAAGCAATCCTAGTTCGTAAATTTCTTTATGTCAGAACGCGCTAAATGCACTTATATTCTACCTCTGGTTGCCTTACGCATCTCATAATTGTCTTTGCCGAAGTTTCCCTTGTAGAATTGAGTTACTTTTAATATGACTGCATTAGAGTAAATAATACTTTAGCACTTTTAGACTTAGCGTTAACACTTAACATAGTTTAGGATCAGATCTTAGAAAAAACTTGGGCTTGCAGCTGGCAAATGAACCTTTCTCCAAACCGGCAGCCATAGCGAGGAAGCACACGATTAAAACATTACTGAATATTAGAAGTCGATGCAACTCAAACTATCGGGAAAGAGATGGTCAAAAGACTTTTACGTATACATTCACAATCTTTTAACGAGTAAGGGTGTTGCGTAAATCCTCCAAACATAACAAATACTTGTGATTATCTCAAATCTTAACTCAGCTAAAAGATCATTTGCCAACGGGTGTCTCACCCAGGTGCTGGAGAAAGGTCCGTCATCAGTGTGTCTTACTGTTTAGGCCTCTGTGTAGTGTATATATTAGGTTTCCTTCGTGAGATGGGAATGCCAACTACATCCCAAGTCTGCTTTGTTCCCAGGCTCTCTACTTTACCTTCCTTGTCGTTGAGAAGAGAGACAAGGCAGGGAAAAAAGGAGAACCTGGGAACGAGTTTAATGGTTTCTCAGTTTCTCTTTGGTGTTTTTCTATATTACCGAACTAAGGTGCTGTAATCGTTTAAAATCCACGTCAGTCTTTTCCATCCTCCAGCAACCTCCTTGCCTTTTTGTTTACGTTTACCACTTGAGTAGTTGGCCCTTCTTACTCACTATTATTCCAAGATATCTTGTTTTTCTTTCCTAGAGAAGTTTTCTCGGTTGCCAAAACAAAAATTTCAACGTACTGTGGCGTGGCTCCTCAAAGAAATTATGAAAAGCGTCATATTTTGTGCACTATTTTTCAGTACATACGACGAAATAGTCAATTAAGTAAAATGCTCTTGTTCAAGTTGTTATTTGCATCCTATATGGTGAAGCAAAGTGTTATGTCCATATTTGTGAAAAGTTTACTCAAATAAAATACTACACAAACAAATCTACAAAGTATGATGTGTACGTCAGGGGGTGAGATTGCGAATGATCAAAGACAGCTAAATGTGATAACTACTTGACTAACCTATGACCTTAAATAGTAAGAGTCGAATTTAGTGTCACATTCTAAAGACGCCAAAATTGCTGCCTTGTCCGCGAGGGAATGAGGAGAGCGCTGCGCGTAAACTTTGACCCAGAACCTACGGAAAAATGACCAAACGTGAGTGGAGGGGGTTGCTAAGAGACTGGGCACAACGGGATTCTGAAAGTGTTACCTACCTTCCTTGTGTCTTGAGGTAGAATAACACCATCATCCCATAGACGAGCACTTCCGTAGTAACCATGTGATTCTTTTTCAAACCTAATTCACAAAAGAAAGGAATGTGGGAGTTGCACTTAATGAGGTCTTTCCGCAAGATTGCTTTGTGCATGCCTAGTTTGCGTTGCTTCATAGCGTGCGGCGAAGTCTCATTATTATGAGACTTTGGATGAGACGAATGTCCTCCGTCCAAAATGTTACAGAACCAATAGACAAAGTGTGAAAAATGCGCAAGATTTAAAGTTCAAGTCAAAAACCGGCTCTTCACTTCTCTTTCTTGCTGATTGCTCAAACAATTGAGTTAGAAGAGCGCTTGCCAAAAACTGGTTGCGGCGAAACTGGTGCTCAGACCATGTTGTCAACCGCCATCTTAAATCGTTTTACGGATTACCGTTGTACTTTAAGTCCGAGAGTTCCGTTCCCGTTACTGGTTTCAATAAAGTCCTGTCAGTGACTCTTCACTACGTGTGAAGACCTTTTTTGGGCCAAATTTCTCTGCATCAAGTTACTCAAATTCATATTTGTTTGAATTTGTGCCATCTCGCACCGATAAGATTGATTGCTGTGACTCGTCGCCGCTTAATAGCCAGTCTCTAAGGTCCAGCGATATCAAGGCTATGGAATTTACGCTACCTTCACATTTTGTACATAACATACTACCGTGCCTCGGAGGTGCATGTATTTACTTTCGTTAACAGTCTTTGAAAAGTCTCATGGCTGAAATGCCAAAATACGGTAAGATTGCGACACTTCCTTACTTGTTTCTCAGCTTCCCCTTCAATGCCACGAGTTTCTCTTCGTCCAAACTGTCGTCTTCTGCTTCGTGCTACATGAAGATTGAGGGAAAAATTAGGTTTAAAGGTAACGCGAGTGGAGAAAAACAACTAAAATTATATGAACTAGAGATTAAGGATATTGTTATCAACACAAAATTTTCCCGTCGCACTGCAGACAATGGAGAAATACTTCCAAAACATTATTTCTAGAAGTTTATTTTTACTGCTTGGTTATTTTAAGGATACAAAAAGTGTTGGAGATAGAATGTAATCTTTGCCATTTACCGTGAATGATTTAACCTTGTTTCTACGTCTCTCAATCCCCCCACCCTCCCCCCCTCCTTCCATAGTCTCCAAATTTGGAGCGAAAAGCGCAGAGGGGATGTGGTCGTTTAACAAAAAAAAATAGGAAAAAAAAAATTTTTAGGGGGGAGGGATGATGCGGTGGGGCGGGGAAAGAGGTAGGAAATTGTAAAATTACACTAGAGGGTTTTCCTCGTGCGGAAACTATTCCGGCAAAATCTCTCTCCTTCAGGGAAATCAGGGAAATCTCTGGGCCTAGAAATGAAAATTTTTTAAATTATATTTACTTAACATGAACTGTTATTCTCTATTTCCATCCTCTAAAATTATGGTGTTGGATTTGACCCACTCCTCCCTCGATAACTCGTCCGATGGTTTGTCCCTGAATTTCCGAAAATTTTCCAGTTAAAGGTCTTTTTAGCCTACGTGTTTTATTCCCGCGGAAAGACAAACCAAGGAGTATGGATTTGTAACTTAACCATTGAAACCAATCATTGATCTGAAAAAAAAAAACAAAAACAAGCTTACTTCTGCACAACACATGGAAACCATGTCCTCCACTGTATCCATAGCAACTTGAGCGGTGGGCCATGTAAATAAGAAACGCGGATCAAAAGAACGACCACACTAAAAAAAGGAAAATAAAAAAAAAAAGAAAGAAACATTAAAGGGAACACGACCAGATTATGTGAAAAGGGACAAAATGAACAACATCGTAGATGTGATTTGAAAATCTTTGATAATTACATGGCACATTTTGTTCCGTATTTTAAAATTCCTAGACTTAGCCAACTTTTTACCTAGTTACACTGAACTTAGCCAAATACAACAAAAAAGAAAATGAAAATTCATACAGTTGCCAATTCGAAGAATCCAAAAAAGCTGCCAATTATTGTTTATCTGTTTATTTTTAATCAACTCGTCGGTCAAATGTTCCATGTGTACATCAGTTACGAGGTAAGAGTTTTACTTCAGAGGCCATCAATAGGCATACCATTGCGTAACTGCTCGGTCCGTAACTGCCCTTCATGATGACAGTTATCTTTGGTACCTGATTAAAAAATAAATAATCCATTTCAAGATTTGTCAATGTTTAAAAAGAAGTTCAAAGAGTAATAAATATCTGACGTTGTTTCTTTCCAAGATTTACTACACGTATCTTATAAATAGCGACTGAAATGAGGAACTCATCATGAGAAAAATTATTATTCTAAGAGTAAGAAAGGATATAAAATAAGCATCCAGTAATGAAAACTTTATATAAAACTTTTTTGAACTTGCCAGAAAATTGAGTCTCACATTGTTTTGACAGTACCACACAAAAGTAAGCTATCAACGTAACGTAAATCGGGAGTTCCGTATATAAAAAGTCGACAGTCTCGACGCCTGGAACCCGTTTTTCGAACCTACCGGTACGAATATCTTGCCTCGAGTGACACGAATCTCGTCTTGCGATAGGGTAGAAAATAAATAAACGCAGAAGCAAATTCAATTTTCTCGAGGCACTCCGAAGCAATACGGCATGTCCACAACCAAGCGACTTCCTATCACGAAGCACGAATCGGTAAGAGATTAAAGCCATCGTCGTTGAAAGTATCGCGTGTAAAAGTTACAGCTGCTTGCATGACTGTGTAGATCATTTGACCCTTGCTACTTTTTCTCCGAAGAAACGATACCTAGCTAAAAAATCTATTTTTAGGAAAACCAGAGAAACGATGCTCAGCTATTTAGGGGCTTAGATAAACTTCCTTCCACTCGATTATGAAGTGATTTTATATCCATTCATGATTTTGGGATCGCGTCCATTCATATGACGCCTTTTCACTCGGAAAATGACCATCAAATAAACATTTTTCTGACTAGCATTGGCGGCGTGAAAGTACCTCAATCCATCACTTTCCGTGAAATTCCCATCACGCATTAGACTGTGTTATTTTTTTAAACCACGCATCATACCTGAGCACAAGCTACCACTGACATCAGTTTTGCTTGATCTTTGATCAAACAGGCGCTGTTTTCTACGGGTAAACCGGCGTGAGTCTGGGGCAAAGTGTTTTGAAGGAACAAGAGAGGGATGTTCCGCTGACAACACAACTCCACAAAATGCGTGCCCTAAAAAGAAAACTCACAAATATAAGTCTCTAAGAGATCACTGATCAGAGAACACTTTTCATTTGATTGACACTACATCAAAACCCAAGGAATCAGAAAAAAGAAAAGTACTTCCAACAGCCAATGAGAAGTCAGAATAAATATTCTGCGCGATAACACGCGAGTGAACAAGTCGCGATTGATTTAGCCTGTGAGTGCGTCCTCCTTATAAATGATTTAGGACGAGTGTTTCTTTACATGCGGGAAAGTAGGAGGCCTTGAACAATGCTGTGAAGTCTGCAACGGGTCTAGCACTGGTAATTCATTGGTGCCAGACCCCCGGCAAACCTCTCTCCGACTAATCTCAGATCTTTCCACGGGCGTTTATCGCTTTGATTTCAACTCCCAAACAAAGAGAAATCTGTTGGTTATTTTATCTCGCCAAAGATAAGTTGTGATCCAAATTTTTTTGAAGATAGCATTTACCAACATAAAAGTTTCGCCGATCTCCACCCGAGCAGGGAACAACGACTAAACTGTTGGCTTATTAAGGTAACTTTAGATAACGGGTTTTACTTGATGTACCGGTTTTCAATGTTGTATTTCGTCTTAGCTGAACTAACATCATATAAATTTACCTTCAAGGACGCTTGAGATGTTAATTCACCATTATTTGCGACAATTCCGACCAAATACCTAAAGAGGAGAATGAAAACCAGATTTGAAGGTATTTTCAAGATAACCCCTTGATTCATTCACAGATAACATCACTACAATCTTTTCAAAAGGTATGAGTAACACTCGGCCTAAAAAAAGTAAGGATAAATTGTTTGACTTGAGCCCACTACACCAAGACATATCCTAACCCATTAACCCTTAAAAGTGACCAGCATTTAATTTCTCCTTACAATATCACCTCTGAAGCATACATCAAGGTCAAGAGAATGAACGAAATGATCACCAACTACAGAAACTCTTGATTTTTTTAACAAATTCTCCTTAACAGCACCCTAGGAAATGTATGGAGAACGGTATGGAAAATATGCATACTGATGTTAGGGTGTTAAGGGTTAATAAGGATGTCACAATGTAAACCTCACCCATGAACACGAGCAAATCCTGTGATTAGTTCTGGTCCAAATCTGGTTTTAAACTCCTGGAACTGGCTTCCATCAACAAGTCTTGCTAATACCTAACCATAAAATTTCAGAGAGGCGTTCGTTACCTTGTTTTTCGCTGCAATTAAAATGTTAAAAGCAACGTTTGATACTCTGAGGAATCTCTCACCTCATACATAGGAAATTGTGTATTGTCATATAGTGCAAGGGCTAAAAGATCATCGCTATCAAACAAAGGAGCTTGTACATCTAGAAGAAAAAAAAAGAATAAAGGGGAAAACCAGCTTGCTGAGGATGCAGATCTAACGTAACATTATCTACATTTCCTAACTGAAAGACAGTCAAACAGAAAGGTTCACTGATTGACTGACAAACCAACCACAGAGACAAACACATACGTGGTTGCCTGACTAAAGAAATGCATTGATCGACCAACGAACTAACTGACTTACCACCAATAAGATTAAGTGAACAACTGTATGCTAAATATTCTGGTTGACTGATTAAGTCAGTCCCTGACTAAATATCTAGCTGACTTAATAACTGACTGAAACTCTGTCTGTGTGTCTACTTGTATGCTGTCTGACTGACTGACTGACTGACTGACCAACTAACTGACCAACTGACTAAATGTCTCTCTGCCGGTCTGCTGTCTGACTCCCTGACCAGCTGATTGACCAACTGAGTAACTGACTGACTGCCTGAACCCCTGACTGACTGATTGACTGACTGCATCAACTGACTGACTGCCTAACTGAATGCTTGACTGAACTCCCTGACTAACTGACTGACTGAACTCCCTGACTAGCTGACGGACTGAACTCCCTGACTGACGGGCCACCTATCTGCCTAATTGACCAACACACTGACAGGCTGATTGAATGACTGAAGAACAGTCTGAAAGGACTTTCTAAATAGCAAGCTGACAGTTTGGAATGGTTAATTGACTGACTGACTGACTGACTGACCAACAGACTAACTGACTGGTCAGCTAACCAAGATGCCAACTGACTGATTACATTTACTACAGCTATACAGTGTTGTGTAAAATGATTCCACCTGATGAAGTAACCCACTGCTCTCTATTTAGCGTGGCTACAATATTTCTTGTTGTTTCCATTGCACTGTCTTCATCAGCTTCAAAATGATCTGTACATCCACTGACACTGAAAATAATACCAGCACCATTGATAAGTCTCAGAAGACTAGCTGACTACAAAAAACTCTAAATATTTAATGGAAATAGCACAACTTTGAGGACAGAGCCAAACATAGTTGGGGAGGCAGGGGACAATGCATTTAACACATATTTAATGCAAAAAATTAATTATCTAACAGATTAGAGTGGTCTTACATCTAATAAAATGCCTGAATATACAAACAATGGTTCCACTAATAATCTTATAGAGGTTACTGAACATGTAAGCAAGTAACAATTCTACGCATATTTTAATTGGTTCTATTGGAGAACAGACACATAGCTGACATCACAATTTACAATTGTTTGCTTCTTTATTATATAAAACAAATAGATTCCATGTTAATGCAGGTTGATACAATAACAAATCCCAGAAGACCACAAAATGTAGTAAGAACATTATTGACAAACTCTGTTGCACCTTGTGTGCTACTTTTTTGTTCTTACCACATTTTTGACATGATCTGTGATCTGCTACTGAACAGATGCTAGGCATTGTGGATTCTATTTGTTAACTGTGCAAACCTGGAGTGCATCAAAGCCCCGCCTAGTTCCTCTGCACTGACAACTTCCCCAGTAGCAGCCTAAAACAAGACAAGTCCATAATTCAGAGTAAAATGAAAACCAGGCTCAGTTGTTCGAAGGTTATCCAATGCATAAATCCCTATCTGGTGGACAGTGTAGTGCCTTCTGCTCTCACTTATCCACTGGATAGAAATTTATCCCTTGGATATGGTTATCCACCCATTATAACTGGGCCCTGAATGTTTGCAAAAATTTCACCAATTTGCATGCCCATATACTCAGTTATAATGACCTACCTTTACTAGCGGAGGGCCACCAAGGAAGATTGTACCAATTTTGTCCACAATAACAGCTTCATCTGCCATTGTGGGTACATATGCAGCACCAGCTGTACAAGATCCACACACCACACAAATCTGTAAATACAAGTCCTGATGATCAAGACAATGGTCTGATCTGGATTATATTGGCCTGCACAACCAGACCTGATCCTAGTTTAAGAAATAATTGAGATATTACGAGCATCCTGTCTTTAACTGCAGAGGCAAACCTTTAGAAAAGAAAATTTTATTTAAAAATAGCATTAAACTGCACTTTCTATCAGTTTACTGGTATATTGACCCACTTGGGATGTTGGGAGAACAGTAGAAAAAAGTTTGTGAATCACTCATACTTGGCTGATAAACTTGCAAATTGTTCTTGTGTCCACCAAACATCTTACATGGGTAACATAAGGCCAGTAAATTGACAGAAAGAGCCATCTATTGCTTAACCCATTCACCCCCAAGATCTCCTTATTAATTTTTCCTTACTATCTCTCATACAATTCTTATGATGTTAGTATGAAGAATTTGGTATTAAATCAACTAATAATCCCCTCATTAAAATTTTTTGTTCTCATCACTTTTCTGCTTGATATTGTATTAATATTGAAGGGAGAATTCTGTCTTGGTCACTCCTGGCAGTTAATGGATTAATAATGTAGCACAATGATGATGATGATGATGATGATGATGATAATAATAATAATATCAACTTACAGTTGGAACTGCATTCATTGACATCACAGCCTCATTATAAAACACACGCCCACCAGTTTCTGGGAATATGTCAGCCTGTTGTAAGACCAGTAAATTTGTAATCAGAATTACTGAAAGTTTTTAAAATAATAATAATATAATAATAATAATAATAATAATAACAATAATAACAATAATAATAATAGGGTATTATTAAAAACAATAATGACAGTGGTACTAATAACAGTTACTTTAATAATGATAACATTAAGGTGTTAATTAACCAAAAGTTTACATGTTGTCTGTTCAGTAGTAGATTATAGATAACATCAAATATGTGGTAAGAGCAAAAAAGTGGCTCATGAGGTGAAGCTGATGTTCTCACCACCTTTTGTAGTCTTCTGTGATCTACTGATGCAAGGACCCATGGAAACACAAAATATAATTAAAGAAAGATGCTTTTTTCGTCTTGTCACAAGCGTGGGACAAAGAAAAAATTCTGAGTCCCCACAAGAAATCAAACCTCAGACCTTCAGATTCTGTGCTCTGATACTCTACCTGAGCCACAGAGACTCCACAGTGAGCAAGGTCTATTACGAAGTTTGTATGACACACGTCCTGCATACTGCTAGGATCAGCAATGTCAATAACATAATGTTTGTAGATGGAAATAAGAGAGATGGAGATAAGAGAGACAAAATATTATTGTTTTACATAATAAAGAAGCCAAAATTATTAATAGTGATGTCATCTAGTGATGTCATCTGTGTTTAAGGTTGATTCAAGATTTTCTTTCCATAGATCATATTTTGTAAGAAATCGCTCTCCTAGCCTTGCGCTTATCGATTTGTGTGACAAAATTTCTTCTGCATTTGATAGAAAAGAACATGCCATTGGAGTATTCCTAGATCTTTCGAAAGCATTCGATACGGTAAATCACGACATTCTTTTTGAAAAACTCAATCATTATGGGATCCGTGGTCTGGCACTAGAATGGGTCAAAAGTTATCTTTCTGAGAGGACACAATTTGTCGAATTTAATAACGTTAGATCTGCCCCACAGGGGATTCCCTGTGGGGTGCCTCAAGGTTCTATTCTTGGTCCCTTATTTTTTATCCTGTATGTTAATGATTTGAACAATGCTTCCCTGCTTGATGCAATCTTGTTTGCTGATGATACAAACTTATTTATCTCCCATAATGACCCTGTTTACCTAATTAACACATTAAATAGAGAATTAAACAAATTGTCAACCTGGTTTGCAGCAAACCGGCTCTCCTTGAATTTAGCCAAGACTAATTTTATGGTATTCAAGCCTTTCAATCAAAATAAGTATTAGTTCTGTAAGGCAGTAATTCTTAACTAACTTAGTTAATATGTGTGTAATTCAGCTCATTTTAAAAATGCTGAAAAACAAATTGTTAAGTGGTGCCAAAATGGTGGATAACCTTGGGCAAATTGTTCTTGCCTAAAACCAGCAGAGATGACACAGATCAATAGATCATAACCTGGTCCAGAGACAAAAATAGCAATAATAATACTAATATTGATAATAAAAATAATGATAACCATAATTATAGAGCAACAGAAATTAAGGACAAATTAAGTAATCGTTTTACCATACTGGTTAATCTGCTAATTAAAACTTAACAAGTTTAGATAATTTTTTTTGTTTATTTTTGTTCACAAGAGCACACCATCATATTAGTTACTATCCATCAGAGAATAGACACCCCTAGTGACTAGCATCTAATTTCTCCTTACAAAATCACCCCTGAATCAAACATAAAAGTCAGGAGAATAAATGAAAATGATCACCAACTGAAGAAGCTCTCGATTCTTGAGCAAATTCTCCTTGTCAGCACCTTAAGAATTGTATAGAGACCAGTATGGAGAATATAAATACTGATTTTAGGATGAACAGGGTTAATTACCTGCAATGGAAGAAATGCTCCTCCTGAATCCATCAGAAAAATACAAGGAAGTTTGTTCACTTCTGCAATTTCTTGAGCCCTGAGCTGCTTCTTAACTGCAATAGGGTAAATAGTTCCACCTTTCACTGTGGCATCATTAGCAACGATGACACACAACTGTCCTGCAACTTGTCCAATTCCTGACACCACTCCTGCGCTTGGCACGTTGCCATATTCAAGATCAAGCCCGGCGAATTGTGACAACTCAAGAAAGTCAGTTCCGTCATCCAATAGTTTACTAAGTCTCTCTCGAACTAAAAGCTTTTTGTTCCTCTTCGTGTGCCGCTCAATTGCTTTCTCACCACCACCCAGCAACGCAATATTTGTAAATTCTTTAAACGATTTAAGAATCTCAGTTTGTTGAGTTAGCTTTGATAAAAACGCTGGACTATTTCTATCGACGTAGCCGTCAATAACTTTAAAGTTAGGAAAATTTGATACTGGTTTAGCCCATGCAGAGTTAGACAAAAGTGATCCGACGAGTCGCGATGATATTCCACGTAAGCGAGATGTCCCTTGAAAAACACTATTAGACATAGTATTGTCGAAAATCAAAGGAAAACCGCAACGAAGTAAGCCAGTAAATCCCTGTAGAGGAATAATCTCTGTCTTATTTGAGGTGATGAATCCACTCGATTTTCACAAAAATTCAATCCATGAATGATATCTTATAAATTATTGGATTTGGAAAAACTAATCCATAGGCGCCATCTTGGTTTTAAGCTAGGTGCCTTAATAAGGTATGCCCAGTCCATTCGCAACGCGAGCTGCGCGGTTGAAACAGCAGATGACGGACTCGAAGAAGATAACATCCAGAAGTACTTAACCTTTTTTTATCCCTAATAATGGTCCTTAGCCACCGCCTAGGATTTCAGAGGCGCAATGGATTTTCAGTGTTTCTGTGGGAGTGCTCCTGAGTCGGTTTGACCAGCACTTACCCTTTACTATTGCACATTTTTGGTGCACTGATACCAGAGTTGCTGACTTGATAGCACACCCCAGGTGGACTCAATTCACGTCGACTCTTTTCTGAAAACGACGTCAATTGGATTTGAGTTTTTAATGCAAAGATAATTAGGGACCGGTCATCATTTGTCTCCAGCACTGAGGTGAGGAGGTTCGAATGATTTTGGTTTTGTCTCAATAAAGTAGTAGAGGGCGCTTGCACACCACCGGAGCAATCAAATTGGTTTAGAATTTTGACGGGAGAGCGATGAGCCAATTAGGAAGTTTAAAGTAAATTACGCGATGTATGTTATAACTTGTAAATATAAATATATATATATAAATATATAAATATAAATATATATATATATATACACCAGACCTTTTTATAACATAGCTAGTAAATTTGTCTGATCAAATTCAATTGCGCGAGCGTGCCTCATATTCCTATTGTGTACGCTCATGACGTCAGCAAACAAATCTCTCGAGAAAAAAAATTTCCATCGGGTTGAAAATTTTATAAAACAATTGGTTCATCGAGATATGAAGCACGCGGGAAGTTTGGAGAGCACTCAAGAAGCTAGAGTTGCTCTCGGCTACGCCTCGAGCAACTCTTACGCATCTTTCGTGCTCTCCAAACTTCCCGCGTGCTTCACATCTCGATGAACGCACGCTGACGTATGAACCAATTGTTACATATAGACCTTTCAATAGTCCTTGACAATCATACGGAGGTTCGCATCGACGTTCTTTACATATGTCATAATAGCTCGAGAGTGACCTTTCCCTTTAATCGAGACACGAGGTTGGGACGCCTGTGATGCAGCAAGATTCCAAAAATTCAACCTCAGAGATAAGGCATTGAACAGCCAGGTCAAGCGATTAGCTACACATGGCCTGTCCCTTTCCTAAAATAAGGTAACTGTTTAAATTTTCAGGATAGCTTGGTGACAGTAAGATCTCAAATGAATGTTAGGATTCACTCTTGAGTCGCAGAAGCTTTCCGTAACGTAATCCCAAAGGTATTAAGGAAGAGATTTATGGTGTCTGGAGGGCCAATTAGCAATCAAATGAACAGATTTACTGAAATTGTTTATTTGCTTGTGACAGTATGCACTAAGCACTTGTTTATACCTTCCAGATCAATAGCAATAAGTACAAGGTGTACTTCTCAACATCAACCACTCACATGTTGAAATTCATAAGAGAAAGCAAACTTTTCCAGATGGTATCAAAGGATGCAACACAAACACAAACTGAACATACAAAATTCTCAAAATGAGTGTTAAAAGTCTGTTATCTACAGACAAAAAACCTTATCTGAACCTAAAAAAAGGAGAATTCTAGCTAGCTAAGCTTACACAGCTACGTAGAAACGAAAAACGATAGATGTATGGACGGGTTAATGAAAGGTTTCTTTACAGCCATGAGCTGGGCTTACTTCTAATTAAATTCAAACTGAAATTAACTCTCCTCTTCACTCGAAAAAGATACGGTACTTGGAAATTCTTTCTCGCAAGAACCACAATCGAGAGTCAAAGTGAAACATGAATCCCGCCCTTTGACTTTCAAAAAGCGCGATACTAACGTAACGTACACAGTATAAAATTGCGAATGTAACCACTTAAATTGGGTAGACTCATCTAGTTGGTAAAAAGTTTATGTACAAAAAACAACAGTAGAACAATAGAACACCATACTTAAAATGCTGACACTGTATCCAATTGGAGAACAATAGAACACTGTATCCAATTGAAATATTTTAACATTAAATTTTTGTCAATAAATTTGCAAGGTAAAAATTTCGCTCTACATTACATCTAGTAATAATAATATCCATACTTGCAAATATAATCAATAAATAAATTCCGTAAAAAGTTAAAAAACAAGATGTCCACCACTTTACTGACAAAGAAAGTCAATCTCTTCGTCACTTTCTTCCAGCAGACTCTGATCCAAATCTACGGATGCGTTTTCATCGTTAAGGAAGATCCTTAGAAAGCTTTTGTCTATAAGTCTTCGTGTCTGTCTGCTTGCCTATCTTTCTTTTTCGTCTGTCTGTATGACTCTTTAAATGCTTGCCTGACTGTCCGCTTCTGTCTTTTCATCTGTCTGTCTTTCCGTCTGCCTGCATGCTCATTCGCTTGTCTGTCTAACTGTTCGCTTGTCTTTTCGTCTGCCCATCTGCCTGCCTGTTCATCTGTCTGTTTGCCTTCCTAAATGTGTCTGTCTGTCTGTCTGTCCGCTTCTGCCTTTTCGTCTGCCCATCTGCCTGCCTGTTCGTCCGTCTGTCTGTCTGCCTCACTAAATGTTGGTCTAACTGTCCGCTACTGTCTTTTCGTCTGCTCATATGCCTACCTGTTCGTCCGTCTGTCTGTCTGCCTTCCTAAATGTCAGTCTCACTGTCTGCTTCTGTCTTTTCGTCTGTCCATTTGCTTTCCTGTTCGTCCCTCTGTCTGTCTGCCTCACTAAATGTTGGTCTAACTGTCCGCCTCTGTCTTTTCGTCTGCTCATCTGCCTGCCTGTTCGTCGGTCTGCCTTTTTGTCTTTTCCTCTGTCTATCTGAGTATCTCTACACTAGCTACTGAGGCCGTACTGAGGACATAACTTAAAATCAAAGGATATTACTTTCTTTTTAGGCCTCTTTCCTTTTGGTTTTGTCTTTGCCTTCGACTGTCCCGCTGGTGGCATTTTTCGTCCCTTCACAACCTTCCTTGGCTTGGGAGCACGCTTTTCCCGTGGTTTAGCACTAGGGGTTTTTAAATTTCCCTAAAAAAGAAACAAGGATAAAAACAATCAAGGATTTGGAGTAGTATGAACACAAAGAAGGAAAAACATAAATGACAATAATAAAAAAAAAAACAGAAAAAACAACAACAACAAGATAAGAGAGGCATACTTCTAGGTCCGTCATCTGCCCCTCTCCTATAGGACTTTCTCTTCCTCCGTTCCCAGAATCATCACTATCCTCTTCTGACGGGTCAAGCATCATCATCAGAGTTTTAAACTACAACAGACAAGCTTTTATCAACAAATGTAAAAATAACGATACGTATTGTTAGCTAGTACGCTGATGGAGAAATCTAACTTGAAAACCAGGGGCAGAATTTACGCCAGGTTTCTTCGAGCATTAGCATTCAAACAGACCTCTCTACTAAACATTTGGAGTCTAAATAGAATTTACTCAAACTGTGGCAGCTCTTACAGAAAGTACTTGGACGTGATTGATAAGGGTTTGTTTGCTGGTTTATTCCGATAGAGAAATACGCTTGACAAAAGCATAGTATGGACGCACAGGCACATGGGTAGAGAGGATACCTTTCTGTAGAAACTGTGATGGTACGTCAGAGCGAATGACAAAGGGCTAAAGCTCGAAACGTAATCTTTAGAAACTCTTACTAGTGGCCAATTTACATTATCAACTCTGTTGGTAAAACCAAATTATCTATTCATTACTATCTATCCAAATGCTCTGACGCTCGAAACGGCGGCCAATTTACGTTACAACTTAGTTGATAGCATCAAATGACTTTGCTATGCTCTCCCACCGACGCAGCACCACAGTTTCTTTAGAAATGTACCCCCTTTACCCTTTATTCACGGGTACGTTTGACTCTCTCAGCCTAACTTGGCAGTTAAATAAATTACCAGCATCCATTCAGTAAATTTGCAAGGAGCTTAGGGGATTTACCAGCGCATACCTCTAAATAGTCTTGCACAAGCTGTTCGTGACTCCTAACCGCGTCTGGCTCTTCAACATAACGTAATACTTGTTCAGGGTTAAAGAAAACCCCTGCTTTCCTGGATACTGTCTTGTCATAGGTCTTCGTGGGTTCCGAGGGTGAATACTTATGGCATTTACTAAAATTGAAAAAAAGTGGGAATTTAAACCATCCTCTCGTCTCGGAACCCTTTCACCGCCGGTATACTGTAGAACATACAGGTAAATCTAAAGTCGATGGTGACTGATTTTTAATCTTATTACAACAGCCTTATTTCATTTTTGCGTAACTAAACCAGCATAGCTTCTATAAAATTAAGGATTAGGCGGTAGAAAAGACAGGACGTTTTCCACCAATTAGAAACGCAACCCAATAGTCAATAAAAGGAATAGGAACTGCTGGAAAAATATGTGAAGGACATTTCTTCCCATCTATCCTCCCATTGTTGTTCACTTGTTCATGTCGCTCTTGCTGTACGTCCTTTTACTATTGTTGCTCTTGTTATCATTCGCCAGGCATCACTCATATATTTTATCAGCCTACACTAAAACTTAACTGTCAACAAGACGATATTTCGTATGCCAAGCATTAAGAGTGTTGGACCATGCATGTAGCCCGGATGTACCTGTGTTTGGCTACAATGATTAAATGTTCTGTTTAGCAAGCTTCATGTCAACAATTGCTATCCACGTTTGTCGTTTGCCTAGCTATACTCAACTTTCACTCTGACGAAGGACTAACGCTCGAAGCTTCTGCTTGAGAATCTCGCTACGTTGACCATCCAACATTTTCAATTCAGTTCATATATAACTGAATAATCTTGAACTTTATATCAGTAAATCATACTTAACCATGAACAATAATTCTCAGGGAATTCTAACCTGTCTGAAAATCCATACATTTCTTTAAGATGTTGTTTTAAATAGAGAAGAAGTAGACAACCCTGAGAAGCAACACAACGTTGCTCAAAGATTGTTGGGTCTGGGGGAATCCGAGCTAAAACATAAAAAAAAAGACATGCAATAAGTTCTTCTGAAATCATACTCATAAAATCATGTCATAAACTGGAAACCAAAGTCGTAATGACGAGAACATAGGTAAATGTGACATGGAACTAATCGTAGTTCACAGCACACTGTGTGTAATCGGACTGGAGAGCGTGTCAAAGCGAGTTTGATCTGTTTGTTGTAGTTTTGGATCAACTGTAAATCAAATAAAACCAGCGAGCACAGCAAGGCAAAACCCAAAACAATTCCAGATTACGATAAACAATCTGTAGACACTGCACTTTGCTACCAATGGCATTTTCGTGTACAACAACTATCAGCATGACTACAAAAAGTAGGATAAAAGGTAAGCCAAAAGTGCGTCAGAAATTCGACTATCCGGACTCGATAAGAGCCGGATTTAGTGGTTGTTATCCTTTATTCTGTTCGTTTGTAAATAAACTTTACACATCCGGGAAAGTCTTTCGTTAAGATATCCAACGATCAATGTTTGTTCACTCTAACCCTCTGAAAAAATTCACATACACACACACTGCAAACACACACAAACATCTTTACACATACTTCTTTAACTCTCTTGTTAGTAGTGAGTCTTCTAATGAACCACTCTCGCGGTTATTAACTGTTTTATCCGACAGATCATACTCATTTATAGACGATTGTTTTTTTCTCTCCTCTTCTTTAAGTTACGTACCTAAAACGGACTCAAAATTTTCTTCCTCTTCTTCGAACTCATTGCCTTGAACAGGAGGTATCTGACCTTCACTTTCGATGGCTGGTTTAGCTACGGGGGTCATGGCCTGTTTAGAGAGATAAACTCATAGGTTATACAAGACTACGCTGTAATAACTGTAAGACTCTACTTCGAATGCAAACTATTACGTCCGGGGCTTTAGCCTATTAAAAACTACAACCACAGCAGATCCTTGAAAGACCGGCATTTTGAGTGTTCCTTAACAGGATATTCGACCACAAAATTAGCCATCAATGTTCAGTAGTACTTTCAGTTGTCAGCAACTCCCTTCTCGGTAAATTTTACAACAAAATCTTGAATAAATGCATGTACGAGCTTACCTCTTTGAAGGACTGGAGTACATTTGCACCAGTTACAGAGAGGATGGTGTCAATGTGATAGATGACAAACAAAGGCTCTGCTTGTACAGAATACGGAAAGTGCGCCATGTTATCAGAAATATACAGCAGTAAGTCCAATTTAGCGCCCTGAAGAAAGGATAGAGAATGTTCCTTGAGTATAAAGTAAAGATTTTTCACTAACCTACACGAAATTTCAAGAATAGAAGTGGAAATAAAAATAAAAAAATTTTTCGACGTGTGTACTTAGCCTTTCAGGTACGTCAACAAATATACGCCCTATTTTTTGCAAAGCCACGCTCAGAACCATCTTAATTTTCACCTGAACACTGACTTTTGTGAACAGAGTCAAGACGGCTTTAGTTAACTCTATTTACTTCCACTAACAAAAAATCTTCAAGAGCTCCATTGATTATCTAAAATCGCAGCCCTGGGCAGACTACCTTTAATCAACTAGCCGGCCAGCCTAAAATTAAGTTTGAAAGTTCAATAAGGAATCTCAGTATGGATGAAAAGCGGGTTTACCTTATGATCATCAAATATCCTCAGCATGGATTGTAAAAGAGACCGTCTGGGCTGTCTGCTAGTCCGTATAATGGAGTACAAATGACCAAGTGCGCAGTGATTTGCTTCTTTTCTGAATCCACGTATTGCGGTGTTTTTATCCTTTAAACAAAATCAATACAATAAACATTAAATACGAAGAACAAGTATGAGAAGCAGTATCGTTAGGCAAAATCATTCTTTCAACTAAGATCCATTGCTAATGGTAGCTTGATTCTCAACGCAAGATATAACTGTTAATATTATTTTGTAGTTGTATCCTTGTAATATTCTTTTACATTAACAACTGGAATGATACATAATTACAATTCATAAATGCAAAAAAGTCATCCACTTGATTCAGCAACTATTTTCTCAAGCTTTACTAAGACACACATATCTGAAGTAAAAAAAATAAAATTCAAACCTTGTATATTAGACGTTGAAGCTCAAAGGACATTTTTATTCCAGCCAGGGCTTTCATCTAAAGCAACAGAATAAAGTATCATTAGGTAATTTGTCAATTAAAGCGGCAGACGTTTTCTTTTATCAAAGGGATAATGTAGGAATGCAAATTCGTTCAGAACTAACCTGGACAAACATGGAATATTTATTTGCGAGTTCCGAGAGTTGTTGATCCGATTTTACTCTCATTTGTTGTTCTTCATCAGTTCCAATGGCGATCAGATACGGAACACACTGTTGAAAACAAATGCAAACACAAAACAAAATAAGACAGAATTAACTATTTAACTTGGTTGATAATTTACTCTCCCGTAAACAGAACAATAGGCGCCCGTAAATATGGGGGGAAAGAACGCTTAAAAAGTTTGATGTGATTCTTGAGAGTAAGATAAACAAATTAGTTTTATCAACAGGAAAAATCATGAAGACGTTGAAAATAAACCTTTCCAACCTCAAGTTAATACAGAGGAGAGTTAAAGTTTTTCCTTCCATCACTATCCCAACTGAATACTACCAAACAATTTACTGCCTTTTTCACAACGAAAAACGGTAACTCTTATGACACAAAATGTTTTCGAAAAATTACTTCCGAAACAAGTTTGGATTCCGTCAGAGACGAGTCTTACTGCACGACTAATCAGGGCTCCTACGAATACATCATTCGAGGAATTTTTATCGTTCTTCCAGTCAACCAACCTGTACAGGATGAACAAGACCCTGCCTCAGAATCAGATTTACAACATGTAAGGCGGCCATACGAACAGAGGGCTGTGGATGCAAGAAGCTCTCCAGTACACTCTTGAGGTAAACTTGCATTACTGCACTGGTTGTACTGGAAAAAAATAAATTATATTCATTTCAATACTTTTCTTTTCCAACGTTTTATTTTTCTCTTTTTTCCTGGCACTGTGATAGCTGACTTGTTTCCCGGTTAAAAAGCGGTGCCCTAGTGGTTACAGAGCTAGACTCTAAATCGAGAGGTCCCGGTTCGAGTCCAGGCTAGGTCACCGTGTTGAGTTCTTGGGAAGGACACCTTACACTCTACTTTCAAGGTTGACACATGCTCACGGCCCCGGTTGTTCGAAAGGTGAGTAACGCTATCCACTGGGTAAATCTCTATCCGGTGGATAGCACAGTACATTTCCTTCACACTTATCCGCTGGGTAGCGATTTATCCGTAGGATAGTGTTATCCGCCCTTCGAAGAACTGGACCCTGGTCGCCTCATGCGACAGAAACCGAAATAAGCATCAGTATATAATGGGCTACTTGGCCTCGAACAAGAGGGCTTCTTACCCAGACTGAGTGTCTCCAAGTTCTTTAAGATTTTGGTTTTCTTTCTCTTTTTCGACCTTCCTATGTCCTACAACAAGTCATATGACAAATGAATGAATTTACAAACTGAAGCATCAAGACTGATTTAGTAATACTCGATAAAGCACAAACTGATGTGTAACCTAAGCGATATGCACACTTTATCTCTTATGATAATCACAGATAAGACTGCATAACACCCGATGGACTTCATACCGTCATGTATGTATGTATGAGTAAAATATGTTGAATTTCTCTTACTGTGATGATCTTGGACATGTAGTCTTTTCTCCTCTTCTAAGAGGTGTGTCTGCAAGTTCTTTAAAACCTAATCAAATTACAAACGGAAGGGGAGAATATCACACTTTAGTATAATTGCTCCGGTGTTTATAGAAAAAATAAAACTCTGAAGAGCACAAAAGTTGCTATAAAGTTTGGCGTTACCCTTTTCAGAAGAAAGGTATGAAGTTTTAGCACACTGAATCAAATAACCTGTTAAATTCTAATGGAAACTGGCTGCCTATCTCGAATGATTTGAAGGCACGTGAAGGCACATGAGCGATTAAACTAAGACACTTATTCGCCTTCGGCGAAAATTGTAAAAACAAAGCGGCACTTTTTCAATAGTACAAGAGGGTGGGTGCCGTATAGGCAGCAACAGAACAGGGCAGCAAACATCCCAAAAGGAAGGTAGGTCACCATGGCAACCGAGCAATAGCTCACTACTAAGCAGCTGTCAACACAACAGCATCAAAACGGGCAAAAGTTTGTGCCATTTTCCTGTAAATCTCCCTGACGCCGATGGGGGGCCTGCACATCAAATCAGTGAGGCTAGGGCATTGACTTGGTATTAACCCCTGCCTAAGCTACACTAAGCCTTATTAACAATGTTACCAGCTTTGAAAATGAAATGCATACCTGAAGCTTAAGTTTCAAAGGCTTATTGGCTTGCGATAGGATTCCCTGATAAAGTTCCTTGGCTTCTCCCTTCAGAAGCAGCTCACCATATCTCATGCAAAGAAATCCTGTACAAAATCAGAATGATTATGTTCAAAGTTGTGTCAAATGACATACGGAGCTAGAGTTCCGCTCAAGAATATCAAAATAGAACAGCAAGCGTTATTTTTTACGCAGACTGTTCAATACACGATACACAAGGAGAACCGAATTGGCAAGCGTTAACTGATAAACAGACGGTGCAAATGATTTTTATGACGGTCAATACAAGTCACAAACAACGTGGTCAAGCCACAAAAATAGTGGTTCAATAAAACTTCCTGAAGAACACCTTTTGGAAGAATTAGACCACCGCTTCCTGTATGTTGAAAAAAAGAAAAGCCAATTTATTTTACACAGGAATGATAAACTTACCCAAATTCAATTCACTTACCTAGCCCTGTAATGGCTTTCTGGCAGACCTCTTCGTCAGAGTGCTTAGTAAAGTAGATATACACAGCGAAAACTCTGTCCTTAGTTGAACCCTGCTTGAAAGAAAGAAAACTTCAACAGGGATCCCATGCAATAGTGATTCCTTGAAACTAAAAAAAAAATCAAATCACAAAGGTGTATGTGTTTTGCTTGAACCACTAAGAACACTCTAACAGTCTGTTTGTGATCCATTGTTTACAATGAAGTGCAATCAACTGTTGTTAGATTGAATTTCTGGTCACGTTTCGTTTCATTCTTTTTAAGGAAGCTTTCCTGCATGAAACTAACCTCGTTTTTCGGTTTCGCGTCGCTGTCGAAATCAAACTGCTTGCAGAGTAGTCCAAGAGTAAACAACGATCTTAGTAAGGTTGGTCTGTTGACCTGAGCCTTGCTTGGATTCTTGGTCATATCTGCTTTGGCCTTCGCTAAGTAACCTGTAATGAAAGCAACATGAAAAAGTTCATAACCAACAACATCTATATTATCTATATTCTGAGTGTCGGTGTACATGCGAGGTGAAACAGAGAGGTTACGTTGTCAGTTCTTTGACACGCTGGGTTTGTTTATGTCACCATCTAGAGCCGCGCGACTTTCCACAGTAAACTTAGAGCGATACGACCTTTACGAGCTTTAGCCCTTCGTCAGAGCGATGGCGAAGGGCTAAAGCTCGTAACGTTAGCTTTGAAACTCTTTAAGGCGGCCAATTTACCTTATTAACTCAGTTGATAGTACCAAATTACCACATTAAGTTATTACTCATTAATAAAAAGAACACAACAAAACTATCTGAGCCTCAATGCTGTTTTGATCATCAGGGTTTCTATAATCCTCGCTACATTTTTCATAACTAAAAATAGCGGTCGCTCATCGTAGTCCTTTCCTAGAACCACTGAATATTAACACAGGTATCCTTGAAGGAAATTGTGACTTACCATGATACTTAAGGAAGTAGTCCTTAACAAGTCTGATGTTATGAGTGACTTTATTTACAACAGCTCCCAAACAGCTAATGCAACTCTGGACAACCTGGAAAATGAGAGCTTGTGATTTATAAACTTTTCTCGTGTTATCCCAAAATCTCGCGTGGGTTATTACGCCAGTATACTCGGCCGATAGAAAGTCCATGCCATTGCTTAAATAGGTTTTCTTGAGATCTAAACAACAGAATCAGTTATTTGAATTCATAATTGATTCTAACATCGTCCATACCGTCTGCCCATGTTTGACAGTAAGTCTCATTAGGTCCTCCTCTAGGCTTGCCAAGAATGTTTCACTGGGATGTTCCATTAAAGGGACTACCAGTTCCAAAATGCGTGCCACGTTGTGGATCACAAGGTAGTCTCCCTGGGTCTACAAAACAAAGGAACATAGCAGCTAAAGAGGGAAGCTCATGTTTTGACACTTGAAGTTCTCTAGAAGTTGAGCCCAGAGAGTGCTTGGCTTCTTATTTCTCCTGACAGTATCCTCCTTGAATCAAATGCAAATGTCATGAGAATAAAGGAAATGGTCACCAATTTAAGCAGCTCCTGATTATCAAACAGATTCTCCTTGTCAGTACCAGAAGGAATGTCAAGAGAATAGTGTTTAGAATATTACTACTAATGTCAGGGTGTAAAGGGTTAATTGTTTCCAGTATCTGAATGTTACATGTATTCTGTGACCAGAACAAGCATTAAAGATGTCGTTGATACTTACACTACACTTTGTACTAAGGTAAGGGTGTAAAGTCATGGCATGTTTTACTAACAACTGCGGCTTAATCTTGCTTATCAGGTACAAAGTAGACAAGCTGGACACCAATCTCTGGCTACTGGAGCCTTTGCCTTCAGACTGAGCTGAAACAAGACAACCTTCCAGAGTTAATTCACTTATATAGTGTACGGATTAAGAACAATTAACCTCTGACATTTTTCCCTTTAAATCATAAAAACGCACTTTATCATTCTTCTTGTATACAACAGACTGTAAAGCTTGACAGAGACATACCGGACTGGATAAAAATGGTTGTCTTCTTTTAAATGAAAAGGAGTCGCAGCAGTTTCAATGAAATAATCCTTGACGGAGTACCTTTTTCAATACATTTTCTCTTTGACATTTCCTTGATTTACTGTTACAGAGCCACAGGTTTTTCACAAAAAGAAAAAATTTCACTACTCACCAACTGCTCTTTCCTCCAAACTCAGCACATTTTCAACCAAGCAATTAACAATTTGTTGACTAGCTTCTTCTGAAGCTTTTGCAATAGAGTCTTCCTCGTTGTGAAGCAGCTATTGAAATGCAAAGGCGATGACAAACAGTTTGCAATTGTATATAAGTGTTTGTTTCAATAAATGAGTGATGTCTGTGCACGTAAAAAAAAAAAATTTCTATTTAGCTCTCATTTCTAAATTCCTCTCTAAAATCCAGTGGACAAACACGATAATAACATCTTGCTCTTAGTGCAAAAAGAAAAATTTACATCTTTGTTCAGAGTTGCCGTCAAGTCTCAACTATCTTTACCTGAATTTAACACTGACAGTGAACTTACGTTTTCCAAGAGCTGCTCATACCAGTCCCCATTCTCACCACACGCTGCAACCTGAGTAAAAGATGTACAAGATGGTTTGTCACACTAAAACTTAAGCGAAAACAAACATGTTTTAATCATTCAGATATAAACACTTACCACATCAGTCATATGGACAACACGTTTCACAAGAACATTAGAGTTTTCTTCACCCTTAAGGGGCGTAAACCACATCTGTTGGAAGACTTTGGTAACCAGTTCCTGAAAGAAAAAATAATACAATTCTAACCTGAGTAAAAATTCATCACAAATAGACACATTTGAGGAATAGGATTCTGACCTGAGGTGCTTCAGGAAAAATCACTACTTCTTACTGCCATTATACAATTACCTTTATTCCTTCTTCATCACATATTCTGCGGATAATCTTGACACAGATTTCAGTATTTTTTGGAAAATCTGGATGGTTGATGCAAATGTCCCTGAGGATTTTGATCACTCTTTTCCTTACACTTATCCCAGTGTCCTGTCGAAAAATCAAGGCACACGAAAATCAGCGTAAGTACGGGAGATAAAATTGTGACAAATTTATTCCTGATTGTGGAATACTGTTACCATAAGTATCTTCAAACCATGACAATTATTTGGAAATCATAATTATCGTGGAAAATTGTGAAGTTGATTATATTGTTAAAAACGAGTTTACTGGCATTTCAATTTGTTTGTGACATAAATGGGTCTTTGAATGGAATAGAACTAAATTTATTTCTTGTTGTAACCTCGATGATCTCAGTGATTCATCAAAATTAATTTGAGTTTTTGATTAATCAACACAAGTTTCTGTCTTAATCTAGGTAAAAAAGGGTAACTTACATTCCCCTTACCCACTGTAATCCACAACTTATTCTAAGGGAATAAAGCCATTCTGTGTTTGATTATTAATCCCATAATAACTGTTGATCGAGAAGGAAAGTTACGCAAACACTCTGGACATATACATGCTTAAACAAACTAAATCCTCCTGTCATTCCTGTTACCAAGACACAAGGAATGCAGGCTGATTACAAAGTGGCCTCAGACCTCAATTTAACCCTTTCATTCCCAAGATCTAATAAGGAGCTCCCCCTACTGTCTTCTTTAAATTTCTCATCATGTTAGTTCTGAGAATTTGATATTGAATGATACACTCTGCACTATTCTCCTAGTTAATATTTCCTTGATTTTCATCATGTCTTCTTGACAGTATATTGATCCTGTGAAGATAATTTACTTCTGAGTCAGTCCAAAAGTGAAAAGAGTTAAAATCAACAACAAGCTACTCACAAGTATCCTCTCAATTATCATGTCATAATACTGATGAATTAGCTCTGGTTTGTTGAGGACAAAACGTCCAATAAGCTCAACCGCGGCTTCTCTAACACTGGTTGACATGTCCACAAATTTGGCATGGACTCCTTTCTGCATATCATCCTAAAATTGAGAATGCACATATATGTAGGATACCGGTCAAAAAGTATCCCTGTAAAAATATTACCCCAAAAGTTTCATGGGCTCAGAGCACAGAGAAAGTTCCTTAAGAAAAATCATTTTCTTAAAATAATAGAATTTAAGATAGATAAACAAATCTGCTGCAGTGCATTTTTTTAAAATCACTTTGACATTAATTTTGCTATTTTTATAGTTACTATGGAATGTTGATCTGAAACAAGAAAAAATGAAACTTAAACTGGTACAAAAAAATTTTAAACACCAAATGCTTCTAGGATGTTCAGGAAGTAGAAGGAATCAGAGAAAAAAAATTTGGTAGAGATAAAGATACCTAAAAAATTAACAGCATTATCATCACCATCATAATAGTCATTATCACTTTTTTATGACTAACATTATTACCATAATCACTGTTAAGTATTATAAGCATTTAGTAATTACAGAAACACTTACCCTTGAGAGAATGGAAGGATCAGCAGAGATGACAGCCGAGAGAGATTTCATTGCTTTTGTTCTTATTGCCACAGCACTCTCTGTGAGTACTCTTAGGATCTGTGAACAACATAAGCTAAAAATTATCTCATGGATACTCCTTCAACTTGTAACTTTGAAAGTTTCACATGCTAAGCAAGCAATAATTGACAATAATTATCAAAATGTATTTTCTTGGTTTGGAGGAGAGTGCATATCGACTTGCATATGGTCATCATACCTGGCTCAGATAAGCATCAAAGCTCTTTGAAAATGATCTTGATGAAGCGAGATATCTTGTGACCAGCATTGCCTGCTCATAGTCCAAACTATTGTGAGAAGATCTGCAAGATAGAACATCTTAATCTGTAATCAAACGCTATAGACAGCCTAAAATCTTACATAAAATTAGGGGAAAAAAATTACCCTATTTTGGTACATTTTCAAAAAGCGGAAACATCACTGACAATTACATGGTAGAGTTAGAGCTGTGATAATAATTACATGTATCTCCTGTGATTATCCTTTAAGTGGCAATGTAAATGTATCTAAAACTATTATAACTAACAGATAAACTGTAAGAAAAGAGAGGATATAAATCAACGTACCTGATAGTTGACACATTTCTTCCATCCAAAATAGAAAGTAAGAAAGCCTTTTTGTCCTCTAATTTGGTGATACTCTGTGCATCTATGAAGGAATCATTAGTCAGTCCTTCACCACTATCTAGGGGATCTTCCACTGGTGTTCTTAAGCAACGCTCCATTTCAACATGGTTATCCCTAATCCACTGGGCCAGGAAGAACTGTCTTGCAAACTGCAAAAAGGAAAATTTGGGGTGAGCTCATGTGTTAATGTGCTCCACATTGGTAACATTTATTGCTTCCATCAATGCCAGGTAGTACAACATTTAATATTCTTGTTATTACATACATGTACCCATATGCACTACAAGAACTAAAACAGAACCTAACAGTAAATTTAGAAGTTTTTATGAGACACATTGATTTTCTTTAAGTAGTACATCACTGCAGTAAGTCACTCATAACATAATAAGATCTAATGTTTGAAATAACTATGCCAATTGAAATCAAAGATAAGAAATATCTTCAATCTCTAATAAAACTCCCAGATTACAACTATTAGAGGCTATATCTGTATTTTATTACCATAAAAGCTGCATCTGCGTTACCCTCTGAATTCAACCAGTTTGCGAGTGTTTTTTGAAGAATTTGGTTTCTCTTGCCAGAACGTTCATCCTGAAATGCAAGTAAAAATATCGCAAATTTACATACTTTTCTGTTGAGCAAAATGTCAATCCAGGAGATAAAGAAGTAACTCAACTCTCATGTAGTTTGAGACATAATAATATTTTTATGATATGCCTTCCATCTGTCAGCCATTGTCAAGGAGTATATTAAAGCTAGAACGCTGAGGAAAGTAACAAAAACAGGTACCTGCAATAAACTTTTAGTTGGTACTTCTTCCAAAAAAAGTAACTGAAACTTAGATCATTAATGCAATCTTCCAAAAAATTTTAGGAAGACTGACTTTGTGCAAGCAGCAACTAAATTTTGTCTCAGGAACATGAATCTTTGCAAAAGTTCTTAAGTCATACACATGGAATTTTCATGCAACTTGTCCCTCCATCTCTCCTGGAGCATCCTGACTTCTGATGTTTACAAGAAACATAGGACTTACCAGATGAGAAACTTCATCACCAGAGTCTTCAGAGACTTCCCCAAGTTGCTTATATGAAACAATTAAAACATAACATAAGTAATGTTTATTCAAACCAGTTGAGCTCCTATCAGGAGCAAACTACTACTTTTGCTTTTATTATTTTACTTCTCAATATTATTTTAGTGCTATGAATCCTTATCAAAAGTCATTCACATCATATTGTTTTGGTTACCTCCACTAAAATTTCTGTAATGCTTTCTGTATCTTGCTGACTGTTCACTGCATCTTTTCTCAAATGAGCTGCCACAACACCAAGATAGTCGATGGCTGAAACCCTCAGACTAACATCGTTTGTTTTATTGTTAAAGGTCACAATCTAACAGAAAATTAAAGGCATACATTTTTAAATTAATGTCTGTGATTAAATTTGTATATTAGTCAGTATGTGTGAGATGTGGGGAAGTAATGCTTGCATGCTGAACTCCAGATTGTGATTTTTGGAGGGCAACAACAAAATCACTGCACTGTGTCCTACATTTTTAGGGGATTACAGTTTGTGTACAAGTAGGATCAGACAGATTTAACAGTCTTGCAGAACTTTGAAATCTGACCAGAAATACAAATTCAACAATTTTAACAAACAATGTTCCTCCTATCTAATACAATATAATACAATACAATACAATACAATACAATACAAAGTAACAAACCAGACTGAACAGTTCCTTGAATTGTTAAGCCAGACTTACTTTTTTGCACCTTAAAGATGTGAAAATACCATTGTATATTATCATTTTGATTGTATGCCGTTGTTTTGACTGAACACACAATGTCACTTGCAGGGTTTGAATAAGTTATTTTTGCACTTGATGCACGCACTTTGCTTCTGCATAATTATGATAAGCTATCTCGTATTTTTTCATGTATATAATTGATACGTAACCTCATGATTTTGAGTGCAATTTGGAATAAATAAGCCCTTGCAAATTTTTTCAAAGACCACAAACTGCACTTGCCCTTCAGGCTCATGCAGATTTGCACATTGATCTGGGGCTTCACCCTTGTCAACTACTGTCAGTATCAGCCCATACAAATCTCAAGTTTGCCTTTTTATTACAACATGTGTACTATAGGTACTGTATACAAAACTTGAGTTACCAACAATCTGCCAAGAAGAGTGAGCAAAACCTCGGCAGCTGGCCAGTCTGGTCTGTTAAGTGTAACCAGCAGATCTTGAAGAAAGTTCTCAAACAGAGGCCTGTAATCTTCTTCATCTTTACCAACACTTATGCATCTACAATTTTAAATGCTTATTATGAGTTGCGTGAGCTAAATATTATTCATAGTAAAATTACACATGATCAACATGTCATAATAAGGACGAAGAAGAGCAGTATACAGTATACTGTACATTACACTTTTAAAATATAAAAATTCAAATGGGGAAGATCTGCTGTGCTTGTGCATGCATATAATAATAAAACAACTTACTTGTTCAAAAACATCGACAAGAAATTCTGTGCAGTCCTCAGGGCATTCTCATATGATGTGATGATAATGATGTTACGGTCAATCTGAAATAAGTTGTCAATAGCAAATACCTTTTGGACAAAGTATGCCTAAGACTTCTAAATGTTGAGAGGAAAAGGGGAGTTATTACAATGTAACAAATGAAAATGTCAAGCCTTTATCTTAAAGGAGTACAAATTTTAAGAGTACACATAGAACATTCGAGTGTACATGTGCAGTCCCTCAAAACTGGATATGCCATTCTCAATCCTTGATGTTAATAAACTTCAAAGATCAAGGCTTACAAATCTTAAAAATGGTTGAGGACTTTCAACAATTTTCCAGTAAAAAAAAAGGACTTTTTTACTCTATTATTTTTTTTGTCTGTCAAGTACAAGTACTAATGGTAAGCCTGATGCAATATTTGCACAGCTTACATGTGGTTTGTTCTCATCATCTTCAGCTTCATCCTGCATGTCATCAGTATTTTCTGGAATTTTAACTGAGGATTGAATAAGCTGAAGCACCAGTGCTGTGACCATCTGAATGGAGAGATCTCCAGTAAGTCTGAGGAAAGGAAACAGAACAGTAAATCTCATAAGTTACAGAAATCTCTCTTGTCTTGCTCTATTGAAAGGTTACAATCCATAACAGTGGAAGACTAAAATAAAAAAAAACAAATTTACAATGTGTAGAGGGCTTATTGGAAGCCTCTAAATACTTTACAATATGGAAGAGAGAGGAACAAGTATTCTAAAATAAACATAAAGTTCTTGATAACAGAAACTTTCCAGTACACAAACCTATAACTCCTGAGTGTCCTTTTGCTGCTAGGGAGTTTGGCTAATGATGCAAAAATGTCTTCCAAGATTAAGTCCCTATGTTTGACATATTTTCGGAATATCTACCAAAACAACAACAACAAAAAAAACATCTTTCATAATGATTATCTAGCCTGTTCCTTATTCAGTACATGTAGCATGTTCCTTTACTTGTCTTTAATGTCTAAAAGATAATTATTTCTAATCAGTGTCTATTCTTGATCAGAATGTATACCTAAAAGTGACATTCAGTTGATGAAATGTGCCTAAAGACAGCTGACTTTGAGCTGTAAACAGTAGCAACCTATCTGGCAGTTAAACATCGGAAGCAAATTAATAATGGTAATAGGACCAAGTGGAGTCCAATTCGGTTTGTAATTGTACGAGTGATTAACAAAATCGGATGACAATCGAGCGGGAGCCTGATTTGTTAATCATGACTATGATAACAGACAGAATTGGACAACAAGAAGTCCTGTTACCATATAATCATAACCATTTCAATTTTGAAAAAAAAAAATACACCTAGAAAAAATATATCCAATGGAGACAATGTCTTAAGTTAAAAACTACTCCATTTTGGAAATTCTCCAGTTTTTCTTTGGATAAGTGGTTGTTGCTATGGTTATTTTGATCATTTCCGTGATTGATGGATTAGCTGAGTGGACTTAGCATGATTGGCTGCTTCAACTGTCTGATTACAGGTGTCCGATTACAGCTAACTGTCCGATTACATTGTCTGGTTTCAACTGTATAAAATGATTAGTGAAAAATGAAGCTGCAAATTCACCAATAATATTCAAGGAATTTGTAATGGTTATGATTGCAGTATATAATTATCTTAGAAGACATAAAAGTCTTGATGGGAACATACCGATCTAACCAGCTTTAGAGCACTGTGTTGAAGGTCACTAATATTTTCTACAAAGAAAGGTGATGTCCCCAGATTTGAAACCTGAAGAATGAAAAAAGAAAGATTGATTATGATCACTTAAAAAAGAAAAGAATTTTAGTGCCTTACAAGCAAGGAAACAAGGATATTGAGAATCCTATTTTTAAGACTGTTATGTTGTTTAAAAATAAAACCCAACCTGTAAAATGTCTGTATCCGTAAGTGTTTGGATATCCACAAGATCTCCCAAAAGTGAGACAAGTTCACAAACTTTATTGTAAAACAATGACATGGATTTGAGCTTAGCACTTGATGACTTGGCTCTCTTGGCTTTGGGAATTAGAAGAACACTTTCTGCAAAGATAAATAGCTCAGACCATCAGCTATGAAACAAAAGGTAAACACCACAAAATATTTGTGCTTGCAAAAAAATTTTCATCTCAAGTTTTTTTGTTTTGTTAATTAATTCCTTCATATCAACTTAGAATTTCATGCTATAATGCACAAGTTGAACACTACAGATGTATGACAAAAAAACATGACTAACCTTCCAATTTACACATACATTTTGATCAATAATCACTATGACTGCTTTTGAAAAAATGATTTCCAATTGCTCTTCAGCAAATAGCTATCATGTACAAACTTGGCATTCACCAACCTTAACTTGTCTCTTACCATTAGGATCTGATTCTCTGTAGATGGGGTCATACTCAGGGAAAATGTTGCTTCTTAGTTGGTACTTGGTGAATGAAATAACCCTTGCAATGACCTCTTCAAGATATAACTGTTTAGGCATGGAAGGAGATGTCAGGATTATAAGAACAACCAAAGAAGACTCTACTGCTCGAACCATTCTGTCAAGGCATAGGTCACGCCACAGTCTTTGCTCTTCATCATCATCCTGACAAATAAACAGTAAAAGTTCAAAATGAAATTTACTTCAGAAAATAATGAAAACAACCATCAAATTTTCATGCCCTGAGGCAATGGACACTGTTTTGTGTCTGTCTAGGTTATGGTATACTGCTACAAGAATAAAAGTAGACAATGGTATACAAGAAAGATTTCTTGGTATTAAACATCTAAAAATATAATTGAATAAGATACATGTATGCTTGTTGCAATGAAATTTTACACTCACTGTAAGGTACAAAGTTCATTTTCATACCCATACCCATACCCATACCCATACCCATACCCATACCCATACCCATACCCATACCCAAACCAAAGGATTAAGGTGAAATAAATATCCAAGTTTGTAACATATGCATGGTCTCACCTGGTCTGCATTGCACTGCAACTGTAAATGTAAGCCATCCCTGATATGCCGTTCCATTATTTGTAGAAGCCTCATCAAATCATCAGAGGGCACCTGATTAGAATAGAAAGAAGAAAGGTTCAATAACTGATAGGGAATTTAAATCCATACTAATAGATTAGATCATTTACTGTAACATTACCTTCTGCACACTGATGTGCGTGGGTGCTTAGTATGGTTTTGACTGCACCCATCACAAAGGGCATTCACTTGCAATATCTATAACTTATAGGTACATGGGTGCCTCACCTTATGCAAAACTCCTAAAGATTTCAGCTTTGCCATTTCAGCATAAAACTCTTGCACAATAGATCTTGAAAGAAGGGTTTCTGGCTTCGGTTCCTGATCATCTTTGAAGTGAGAGAAAGTAAACCATTACCAGTATTTTAATCTACATGTATCATAATGTCAATTTCTAAAAATAGTTTTGTCTTTTACTAAAAAAACATAGACCCTCCACTTTTACAACATTTTTAACAACTCCTCCAATCTTCACAGCAGTGTCCCAAGTTTCATAAAAAATATACAAAATGTTCTACTCCTTTGGAATCACCCTCATTAACTTACCCAAATCATGAAAGCTTGGTGCATTACACTCATCATCAAATTCAAAAAGGTTCTCAAGTAAATCTCCCAGTTTCCTGAAGGTTAGTGTCTCCATGATATCTAAAATTACAGAGACCAATATCAAGTGTCATTTTTGCTTTTAACAAACATACAGCCATGCATTCTACATAAATGGACAAGTGAAACATTACCCCTCTAGCACTTACACTCAAGCACTTACCTAGTTTAAACAATGTTTCAAAACTGTACTGAGTATGATAATGTTTGTGAGAAGCACAGTTACACTTAAGATCCAGAATTACATGCACAGAGGTTCACACTATATCTCATAAACTGAGCTTTCTGTTCAAAGTTGTTCTATCTTACCTTCAGATTCATGTGTTTCTTTGACTTTTTGCTTCTTGCTTTTACTCCTCTTCTTAGGTGGGGCTATAAAGGAGTGCAACTGGGTCAGTGTACGTATTTTGTTCACAAATGATGCACTATTGTGTCTGCAGATCAGACAAGATTCACCACACTTTTAAGACCTGTTCATAAAATATATTACTCTGTAGCCAACCACTTTGATGAAGATACCCCTTTGCTTTAAACCTCATGTAATGTTCTCCAAGTCTTGACACAAGATAAGTAATGAAAATGTTCTCATGCAACACCCCTCTATCTACCCTTTTCCTCTCTTCTCTACCAAAGAATAACTTTAGTGTTGTTGTTCATACTAGTGTAAATTGTACAGTACATGTATTCGTCAAAGCTTAGTGATAGTCCAAAGGAAAGTACAACCTAACATTTCAGTTCTCATCAACAAATATGAATAAAAAGGAAAAAATTAATACCTTCATCCCATTCATGGCTGCTGTTGATTCTACCCATATCATCACTAGACCTCCTTCGCTTTTTGCTCCTGTGTATCTCACTTTCACTATCTGGTAACACCTCTCTTACTTGATGTGTTTCTACCTCTTTAGAGCCTCTTCGCTGCTTCACTTTTGTTATGACTAGCTTTGGAACATACAACTGAAGTCCCTTGAGAGAAGGGGACACCCTTAAATTTGGTGATGTAAGGTGATTGTGATCAGGCGTCAAAGGTTTTTCAGTTCTATTTGGCAGGATATTAGAATGTGTTGGCTCCTCTTTATGTAAGTACATTGCTGACATGGGTGCTAAGGTGTGCATTTCATCAACAGCGTCAACATTAGTTCTGTAAGGGTCTTCCACAGACTTCCTACTTGATCTTGAAGATCTACACTGTGAGTGTATGTCACCTTGTTGTTCCTTGAGCATATTGTCTAATTCTACAATCTGAGAATTGTACACCTGCATTGAAGTAAGTTCACCAGGGTTATCCTCAACGTCAAGCTCGGATTTGCTTTTGGATGATTTACGTCTTTTTTTAGATTTTGACTCTCGTTCACTTGTTCTATTCAACATACTTTCCTGATTATGTGACTGTCCAGAAGTTCTAGCAAGTAAATGAGTATTCTTTTGCTTCTCATTAATTGCAGCTAGCTGTTGTGATGCTTGTCCAAGAACTGAGGGATCAAAATTAAAGCCATTTTGTGATGCAAGTGCCTCCAGGGCACTGAGGCTATCATAGACACTCTGATTATGAACACTTCCTCTCCCAACTTGAGTATGAGATTGGTAAAATTCATTTTCATTCAAGTTTCTTTGTACAGTTGAAGACAAGTCAATGTTCCTTTGTCTCTCACTAGGATGGGGGGCTTTTAATACACCTGCGCACACAAACATCAGGAAGCAAAAATACTCATTGTACATAAATGCTTAATACAATAAAAGATAATGATATTCTATCAGGTACAAAGAAAGACTATCTAAAAACAACCTAAAATCTCACAGCAAAATAGAGATACAGGTAAGATCCTGGTCTAATGGTGTTTGCGATTCGTGCAGTTTTTCTTTTATAAGACATTTCTGACAATCCATTTCATAAGTAACCATTTGGTAATTAAATATGAATCACTTCTTAACCATGGATGCAACTTGGGAAAGAGCTCTACTATAGCTGACCACTTACATTTCCAAGCAACAAAAACACATTAATGTTTTTGTCAGCCTTTTAATCTAAAATTTTCAATGATATTTCTAATTTTTAGGCTGCGTCACAACCATGAGCAAACAATTAACCATGTAATCTATTTTTATCTCAGATTATATGTAGAATCTTATATCACATGTTTAAACAATAGCAACAAATCTGTCAAGAGACATTTTATTCCCAAAATTGTTGAAAATTCACCAAATTAGCCTTTGGTATCACTTTAATGAACTTTGAGTGACAGGTCTGAGGAACCAACCTTGATCACTACTGGGTACATTCTGATTTGTACTTTGCTGTAGTTCACTCTTGGAGAGAGAATGTCTACCATGCCTTGTCTTTGCTGGTGAAAATGCCTGAGTTGGAGTCAGCACTATTTGAGGTTGCATCAAAGGTACATTTGGTGAGCCTCCATTTATATGTACAGCACTCTCAGCTAGTTAAGATAAAACAGTTATTATAATTATTATTATTTATTATGTAGAGATGCTTGTAGCCCATTAAGGGGCTTCCTAAGAATTTAGGAGAGAATTACACTGATGAGAGAAGCAGAAATCTATTACTCTCAACAAGGGTGATTTGTACAGAGTCAGACAGTTGCAAATGGTAACAAATCCCCCATGATAGCACCCAGACTCCCATTTGTGTTTCAGAGATACAGTATACAAGTACATCAGTCATTTCTCACACCAATCTATACTTCTTCTCAATTGGTCTAATGAGCTAGGCCCTCAACAACCCACATTTCACTCCAATCCCACTGCATAATTGTTTTTCCTACCTTTACAGTACAGCAGATCAGTTTACTCAATTCAACAATTTACAGTCTACAATTTCAGATGAAATAATTTTTCATAGTTCAGATACATGTGTGTGAGTGTACATACATCTTGGTTGTCTAGCAGTGTTATGGGCACCTTGAGCAGTTCCACTAAACTGAGGATATGGTACTGGATGGCTTTGTGCTTTCAAAGTGTGAGGACTGGATGCCATTAACCGCAGACTAGCTGCATGTTCTGGTGAGTTCATGTAAGGAGAGTTTGCCTGCAACCCTCCAGGAGAACCAGCATACAATGGCGATCTCACATTTGAAGGACTAACTCTCTGGCAAGGGGACATTGGGTTGTATCCCACTGGAGAATAACCTGCAACAACAACAAAAACTAACTTTAACCCTTTCACTCCCACAAGTGACCAAGACAGAATTTCTCCTTTCAAAATCAATACAATATCAAGCAGGTAGGTGATGAGAATAAAGAAAAATATCAATTATGGGATTATTAGTTGATCCAGTATCAAATTCTCTGACCTAACATTATAAGAATTGTATAGAAGACAGTAAGGAGAATTACCAATGAGATCTTGGAAGTGAAAGGGTTAAAAGATGCTAGCATTCAAACCAGGACTATTTTAATTAACAAGAACTCAACTTGAAATAAGAGTTGCAAATTTGGCAAGCTGTTTTCAACAGTCATCTTGACTTTAGTTGGTGTTTGAAGTTCTAGTGCTCTAATACCTCTAAGCCCCTAACCCTTTGACACGTAAGAGTGACTAGCATCTAATCTCACCATACGATATCACCCTTGAGTCTAACATTAAGGTCATGAGCAAGGTTTGAGCTAGGATTTGATCACTGGGGGACAATTTGTCCCCTCAGCAGAAATTTTGGGAGAAATGTTTATTTTTAGGGGGACAGACAAATTAATTTTTATTCAACATTTTTTTTTTTTTACATTTATACTGGCAAGCCAACAAAAACATTTTTTACCTGATCCTTGTAATACAAGAAAAGTGATACAAAAAAGAAAATTTAAGTTATTGGTTAAGACTTTATTTCCTTGTTATATTTAAACAGAGGATCAATGACTATGCTTTACACTTCAAAACATTTCACAGCAGAATCTCGTCCTAGCATCCCCTTGTAAACTTCAAATCCTTTCTTAATTACTGGTACACATACATTTACTAATTCCTCTGTTGGATCTAGCTGTTAAAGTAAAGTTTTCATTCCTAAGAGGTCTGTCAAGATGATTGACAGCAGCGAAAAACGCAATCGTCAGTTGGCTTTTGAACTTCAAAATTTGCATGTTTGTGAAAAGCGCGGTAACATGTCACATCAAAAACATGTTTGAAGATTAGAAAGCTTTTTCACTCCAAATCGAAGCCAGAGTGAATTAAAGAAAAATTATACTGTAGAAGAACAGTGTATTAATCAGGAAGAAACAAATGAGGATTGAAAGAAACCGAAAAAATCACGAACTTTCCAGAAAACTTGGTCACAGATCACACATGGTTGCGCTATGAAAAGGAGGTGATGTTCTGCTATTTTTGTCAGAAATCTAAGACAAACTCCTTTGCATCAGCAAAAGGGTGTACAAATTTTAGAACCTCAACTCTGCATAGACATAAAGACTGTAAAGAACATGAGGATGCTGTTAATGAAGAAGCTATGAGGGATACATTCAACAACACACAGCACCATGTTTTTAGAGCACAATCACAAGTCATCCTCACAGCAATGAGAGCCGTCTACTGGCTGGCCAAGGAGGATGTAGCAACAGTCAAGTACAACTCACTACTCAATTTCTTGATGAAGTTGGCCTCAAACAAATCTTCAAGTGGGAGGAAATGCTCCAAAATAATCTCATCAAAGTGCTGAAGGTATGCGAGATGCTATTGCTACAGTTCTAAAGTCTAACATTGACAAACTAGTAGAAGCCATTGATAGTCATTCCTTTCCCTGTTAATTGATGAATCAACTGATGTCATTAATCATGAAAATCTTTTTGTTTATGTTAAGTTATTGAATGAATTTAACCCTGAACTGCACTTTTCAGAAAACATCAATGTTCAGAATGGAAAGGCTGATACTATTACCACTGCTGTTAACTTGCTAATGGAAAAGAGAAACTTGCACAAAGACAAAATGAAAGGATTTGGCAGCAGTGGAGTAAGTGTCATGACAGGAAAAAACAATGGAGTTTCAAAATGAATGAAGGATGATAGTCCATTTCTTGTATCTATCCACTGCATGGCTCACAGGCTTGCACTTTGCACAAGCCAAGTGGCTAATGGTATTCCTTATTTGGCAAAATTCAAAGAGATCCTTGCTGCTCTGCAGGGTTTGAGCTAGGCCACACCATTGCACCAATCCTGCACTGCTATTGAAATTGTCTGATTGTGTTTTTCACTGCCGTCAATCATCTTAATGGACCTCTTAGGGAAACAAAAATTTACTTTAATGGGTTCAAAAGGTCATGGTTTGTGATTTGTGATTGGTGATTTCAATCTGTTTTGTGTCTTTCTGTGTCTCAAGGTTTGTTGCTTGCAATTGTAATTATGATTGACAGCAGTGAAAAAGCAATTGCGAGGGTGGCTTTTGAACTTTAGAGTTCACATTTTTGTGAAAAGTACAGTAAAGATTGCCCGGTGCATTCACCACACTTGCTTGAGCACGAGACATATCTGTTCAGTAGAGCGTGACTGAAACGTGACTTTAGAATGAACTTTAAACGTCCGACAAAATATACTTTCCACATTCTGTTTTAGCTTGCAATTTCTGTACTGAAATAAAACTCTTCGTGTGTGCTTCCTTTTGAGTTTTTCCCTAAATTTTGAAGGAGACAAATTATCCCCTTGGCTGTTTTTTTAAGGGACAATTTCAATTGCAGTGTAGGATTGGCACAATGGCACAGCCTGGCTCAAACCCCACATGAGAATAAAGGAAACAATCACCACCTAATGATGCTCTTAATAGTTAAAGAAAGTTTTTTTCCTTGTCAGCATTTTAAAAACGTATAAAGATACAAAGTGATGTTGGGCTGTTACAAGTTAATAGTCTTTGACTATGGTTTACACTATCACACTTTACATACTGGCAGGTTACCTTGTGGATCTTGGTAGCTTTCAGAAACAGTTTTCACTGACTGAGAATTAAACACATTGGGTGTTTGTGAAACAATCGCCTGAAGAAGAAGTGGGCTTCCTTGGCATGAAATGCTGTCATCTTGATTTGTTCCATCTTTCAAGATCCTACATAACAACAACATGTTAGATAGCAATTGTGATTACTGAGGTTTTTGTTTTACAACACTCAATCAAAAGCACTTTATCACTAAAACTTCCCAGCTTGTAAGGCTGCCAGGCTTTGCTAGCCCTTAACTTATTCTCGATAGCCAATGCTCAAAGCTCAATTTTCAGTGTGTGTAAGTATGAGTAAATTGGCCAAGAAGGAGTTAAAATAAAGATTGCTATTTTTCTTGCAGTCAGTGTCTGAAATAAATGCTTTTCAAGTTCTGCCTCAAGTCCAAACTTTATCTAATGCTACAGAATTTGAAAATGAAAACCCTTAAAATTTTATGATAAAAAACCCATTCACCAAGGTATAGAATACTTGTCTTTAGTCCTTTCTTTTTTCTTTGGATATGGCTATATGCTTGGCAAAAGATCCATAATTTTTTGGCACTAAATTCCATCTGGTCACTGTTATATGTAAATACAAAAAGGCAGTAACTGGTGCTAAAATTAGATTATTATGATATCATAAATGAAATGCAGCAATTACTTTCAGAATTGAAGAAAAATCACAAACAAAACTACCAGAATGTTAATACAAGAGGGAAAGTAAAAAAATAGCATATATTTTAGGGGGAGTAAATGAACATTTAACAGCAATTTCATGTTTACATACGCATTTCAAATTCAGATCTGCCATTTTGCAAAGTTTTGCATTTTTATCAACAAACCAGTACAGTGCCAGTTCAGTTTAAAAAAAATCAAAACATTACTATTTTTCCCCTTTTCAAAAATTATTGTTCATTATAAAATAGACAAGAAACAGAAGGGATTAACAAAAAGTTACTCCACGTACTATTTATAAATCATCCTTTAAATAGTATGATATGACGTGACTTGGTATAAAAGTTCATCTTCGTGACTTTCATTGTTTCCACCATTGAAATGAAAAGAACCACATTTGATCGATGGCGATCAGAAGAGATAAACTGTCTAAGGAAGCCATTCTAATGAATATACGACTTCATTAAAAACTTCCATAAATTCTAATTACTCACAATTGGTCTGAAGTTGACTTTGAAATACACAGTGCCTGAGAAAGTTGTTGAACGAGAGAACGGTCAGGTCGATTGAGTACTTCCCTAGCTTCTTCCGTAACCTTTGGACTACGAAGTAAAGTATTTGATCTTCTGGAAGATGAAGGCCCAGGAAATGGTAACTCTGGAAGCACTACAACGAAAGAAACATTTGTTTATGTATGAATTACCGAATGCAAAGGCTGCCCAAAATATATTATCAACGGAAGTTAAAAAGAAATTAAGTGAAAATTTGAGATTTCCGACTCATTCGTCCATCTTCTTTCAACGTTCCCTTCACTCACATATACCACTTGAATTATCATGTTACACACTGAAAAAAAAAGCAGTAAAATAGATAATTTCTGCAAAAAAATTCCAAAAAAAACTTACGATCGGTGAGGCTACTGATGCCAGCTAGTGTAGCGATTGGCACGCTTGTATCCATGCTATCGAGACAAAGCCTTCAACATAAAACAAAAGCTTGGCACACAAGGCGTAGAAATAACCAGAGAACCTTTTGAATGACTTTTAACCCATCACGGAAAGAAGGAAGTTGAGAAGTTGTAAAAATTCTCACCGACAGCCATGATAAATTTAACAACAATGGCGGGAATAATCAACACTCCATTCGAACGCGCGCCAAACCACCGCGGCCACCATACATCCGGGGTATGGGTTATCCTGAGGGACTGGCTCTATTTTGGTGGTGTATGCTTCACAATGCGTCATCCAGGACTGTTAATTTTTTAAGGCCTTTGACTGCTGATGGTTAAATTTCAGGGCCTTCAACAGTTGCTATTTACTAGGAAGATATATTTCTATGAGTTAAATTAATATTTCGCTTTTCTGGTTTTTTTTGTCATGAATAATGAATGTTATGTTTAGTATCTTGCGCACTTTTGCGATTCTTTTTCATCGGCTTGTTGTGTTAGTAACCCGCACACCTTTAGGATTCTCTTACTTTCGTGGTGGTTACAACATTTCAGTTGCAAAGTATGATCAGGGTACGAGATTATGATTTTCTTTCATTGGATTGTTACATTAATATCTCGCACCTCAAGGATTGTCTTCGATTTGCTTGTTCCACGTTGGAATATCTAGCACACTTGTAGGATTCTCTTTTATTGAATGGTTGTGTTAGTATCTCGTGCATCTTAAGGATACTCCTTTATTTAAAAATGACGCAATTCTCACGCACATTTTAGGATTGAGTTATAATCGATTGTTACTTCAGCATCTCGTGCGCCTTTTGGGTTCTCTTTTATTCGAAAGTTATCTTATCATCACGCGCATTTTAGGACTGACTTTCACTGGATTGTTACGTTAGTATCTCGTGCACTTTCAGGATTTTTTTTCATTTGTTTGTTGTTAGTGTCTCGTGAACTTTTATGATTCCCTTTCATCGGATTGTTTTTTTAGCATCTCGTGCACTATTTTAGGATTGTTCTCATTTGATTATTACGTTAGTATCTCGCGCACTTGTTTATTTGATTGTTACGTTATTATCACGCGAAATTTAGGACTAATTTTCAATGGATTGTTACGTTGGTATCTCGCGCACTTTTAGGATTTTTTCATTCGAGTGTTAGGTTAGTGTCTCGCGCACTCTTACAGGATTATTATTTGATTGTTACGTTAGTGTCTCGCGCACTTTTAGGATTCTCTTTCATCGGATTGTTGCGTAAGTGTCTCGCGCACTTTTAAAATCATTTTTCATTCTATTTTTCCGTATGTATCTCGTGCACTTTTTGGGATTCTCTTTAATTTGATCGTTACTTTACGGTTACTTAGGCTATGGTTTTACGACACTGAATCAAAACCGCTCCACCCTCGGGGTAAATGAGCTTAAGAATTCTTTCTATTAACACAAGAATCTAGAGACTGCGAATGAGACAGCCAATTATAAAAAAGAGATTTACGGTAAATTAAAGTTGCGTAAATCTGCGTAAAGTTCGTTTAGCAACTTTACGTCAGTTTTCAAGTATAATGCACGTAAAGGCACATTAAGGTAGATTAACGTCATCAGACGTAAAGCTTGCATCAAGGTATAGGCTGAAGAGTCAGATTTACGTTCAGTATAAAGTGTGCGTGTATCTCTAGTTAGATAGTACAATTGCTGACTTTTGTGTTCTTTCTCTGATTGCCTAGAAAATTTAGAAGAAACTCGCATCCCTCAGAAACATGCTTTGGTCAGAGGAGAAAAAGGCCATGGTGGGGCTGGCCGTAGGATGCTTGACCTACCCTAGCTCGGATGAGTGACCTTTCTGAGGATGAAAATGGAGAAAGGCACCTTACTAGGTATCTTGTGGAAAAGTCACCGGTGGAAAGGTCTAGACAGTCACAGGTCAAGAAAGCCCTTGATGATGTATACATCAGGAGCCTTCGTCCAGGAGCAAGGGTGAATCTGGTGACAAGACGGGCCCATGCAAGGTCATCAACACGATACCAGCCCATAAGAGGTCTGGATTAGGCAGTCAGATCTGAAGAGGCAGTTGTTACTCCCATCACTCCGCTTCAAGCAACCACAACTCCATCCCCTAAAACTCGGCCGCCATACGTCCTACAGAGCCTGTCCAACAAGAGTAACCCCTCCTAACCCAGCTCATCAGCCTTCTACAAGTACCAGTCCCAAAATAATGACCACCTTATCTCTCAGCACTCGTCCTTCAACATCAGTAATTCCCTCACTACCCGAAACCCTCTTCCAACTACCGGTGTCAGTTTTCCAACTATGGTCACCCCATTCTACGGAACCTGCTAAGTAATAGTGGCTTCCCCCTCCCTCCACAGGACAGATCATCAAATAGTGGCAACCCCATCCCCAAGTGCACTGCCTTCAACTAGAGCTCCTTCCTCGATGCCAGGTACCAATTTAACCCCCAAGACTTCCAAAAAGAAAAATACTAACTCTAAAAAAAGGACAGTGCTCGTAGGCGATCGCGAACTGTTTCACCAGTTCATCAATTCTATAAGGTTTTGTGGAATAGTCTGAACAGTATAATAAATATTTAGATCAATTTCGTTCATCTATTCACTTGTTGTTAATCAGAAGGTCATTTCCGGTCAGCGGTCTTCATTATTTTGCTTACGTCACTAACACGTATGGAAATCACCTCCTCATAGTTTTGCTCTCGATGACTGCCTGTGTAATTTGGAACAGTTTTAAAGATAGTTGAGTTTTTCGGGCGGTTGTATTGCTTCATCACAGGTTTGCTTACATGTATTTTGTGGGAAAAAAGTTTACAATTTTCAGTAACACTAATTTTCTGTAGTGATAAGAGATCAAAAATTTCAATTTTCATTATTAATGTTACTGCAGTAAGTGAAACGGAACAATGTTATAGATATAATTTCTTAAATATGCTTACTTTCAATAGAAATATTAGAACAGGTTTTTAATTTTTCTCTCTGTTGACAATATTTCAAGTAAGATTAGAGCAAAATTTTCAGTTGTACATGTACACATCTTGACTACTGATGTCAGAACAAAGTTTCAATTTTCAATGTTTCAGTTATCTTATTGTTTTCAATTGTTTCCAAATTGTCATATTTCAAATTATATAAAAATAATGTTTTCAAATTTTTGAACTTAATGCCTTCTCATTTATTATATAACTGATTGATATTTTTAAAACAAGGTTTTCATTTTCTGTGATTTTATTTCAGAAAAATTATTCAAGTACGACAAAGATTACAAATAATGTCCTACATGTTATTCCTAAGAAATGTTCAAATGTTAAATTACACACATGCATGCACGAGAGCATGTTTTTATGACAAATATACAAGATTGTGAACACAGCAGGTAATTTAGTGTTAACGACTGAGTTGAAAACGTAAATTGGCCACCGTAAAGAGTAAACTTAGCTTTTTTGCTCTTTATGGTGGCCAATTTACGTTTTCAACTCAGTTGTTAACACTAAATTACCTGTTATACTCTCCCACCGACATAGCACCACAGTTTCCTTAGAAACTTACCCCCCTATATTCATTTGTGAACACAGCAGTTGGATTGATTGAAGGATTGACTGTCCCTATTCCGAACAAACAACTTTTTAATCAGACTCTAAAAGAGGGCAACCAGTTAATCAGTTTTGCTTTCATGTTTCCCTTAAGTCATATAAAGTAAAGCTGAATGTTTAGTTTCTGTTCTAATAGGATTTGAATTTTCACAATAAGTAAGCAGTTTATACAGCTCCTTTACACTCAAGAATAAAGTTGACTTTACGCCAAGAGTAAATTTGGCTTGACGACGCTTATACTCTTCATTTATGTGTATAGGTAAAGCTGGTGTAAATCTCTACTTTACACTACCTTTACGCCTCTTAGGGAAGTCTTATCACTCTAGCTTTACGTCATAGCGTAAAAACTGCGTAAAGCTTTGCCTTTACATAATGTACATGCGACGTAAAGTGGAACTTTGTAACAGCTTTAGGCTAACATTACGCCAACTTAAATCTTTTTTATATGCTTTGCAAATGGAAGAGAAAAAAGAGGCTCAGATGGAAACGACGAGGAAGACATGTCAAATGAAAAAATGAAACGAGTAATGCGAATGGCAAAGCGTCGAAAAGATAGAAATGTAGAGATAACTTTATTTAACGTGGACAAAACACTCAGCCGTAAGATTAAATTGCAAGTTTTCTACAAAGAAACTGTGACAAACCAAGCAAACTCAAAGAGAAGACCTTTTACGAGAATACAGAAGCGAGCGCAATTGCTGGTCAAAACGGGGAAAGACTAATTTCAACGTGATAAGACACAAAAACTGGGACGAAAATTCAATCGCAACAAGAGTATAAGGAAATATAGTAGTTCATGTAAATTGAAACACAATAAGAGAGAGAGAGAGAGAGAACCGCGAAAATGAGAGCCACCGGAAGGTTATGGGGAGCACAGATTAAAACGAAACAGCCAATAGCCCTAAATTGCTGTTAAGTACACCCGCAATTTTGGTCTATCAGGGACCCGTAACCTCAAAACTAAAGGTGCGTTGCCGTCACGCTTTCAACATCAGGCTGTCGACGAATATAAAAACAAACGTAACACTGAGGAAATTGAAGGAAATACAATTAAGAACATAAACTGTATGCTCGGCTACAGTCACTTCATTCTAAAAATTATTCTATTGCTTACTATTACTTATTATTGCTAATTGCCGACCATATTTCTTCTCTTGCGGAGACAATCATTTGGACTGTAATAGTAAGCTTGAAAAAATGTCTTCACTCTGATTAGCTGAGAGAAATCCAGTTTTCAAGTAATACAATGTAAGAGAGAGGTATTCCAGTAAAGAAAAGAGTAGTTTAGAGGAAAAGGATAGCAAAAACTGTTTCACCAGACTTTAAACTTTCTTTCGGCCATAAATTTCACTTGCCCTTTGGGTCTGTGCAATTTTGTTGGTCTTTGAAAGAGTTACTCGTGCATATTTGTGCCAAATTGCTC